TGTATAAATGCTTCTAGTTATGTCTAGGGCCTATGTTGTGCATATAGTATATATTTGCCTAACCTTCTAGGATATCTAGAAAGATGTCTGTGTACTAAGTTTCCTAAATATCTAGCTATTAATATAGATTAATAAAGATCCTTATTTTGTCTATAAGGATGTTGTATAGTTAACCTGTGTAGTTATTATTCTTCTTCTATGCCTTTTAGAATTGTATAATCTTGTCTGCTAGGAGTTTTTCTTTAGTGGTTTCCCTCTGGGGTGGAAGTTCGTACGGGCTGTGATGTGGTGCATACACTACTGCAGGCGGTGGTGTGTACGATTGAGGGTGTGGAGCAGGCGTTGGGTAGGGTGGCATGTATTGTTCGTACAGTGATCAGTGTAGTGCTGGCTGAGGTGTAAGAGCAGGTGATGCTAGTACGTTTAGTGTTAATAGCAGCATTGTGTTTAGTCTGCTTCTGTGCGGAGCCTTATATAGTAATAAGGGTTGCGTACAAAGCCTTTCTAGTGCAATTGCCTTCCCTTATGCTATATTATACAGCTTCTAGGCTTAGGTACCTTTAGTGCTTAGCTGTAGTGTAATTCTCTTGTCCTCTAGCACTTATATAAGCTCCCTTTTAAACACGTAGCTAAGTGCTAAGAAGTCTTATAGTGTCTATTTTTTAAAATTCTTTATGTATACACTTAAAAGAGTAGCGCTTTTTTAAGTTATTATGTGTAAATTAGTAATTATATAACTTATGTATAATTAAGTCTATAAGCTTATTAGAGCCTCTAACATGTTAATCTTGTTATTCTAGTACTCTAGGCTAGTCTTGTTTTATAGTGTTGCCTCTAATATCCCTATATCCTTTGTAAGTTATTTATATAATAAGAATTATTTCTTATTCTTCTTATTATTACACAGAGTTGTTAGTTGCTAATAGGATTTTATTATAATAGTATAGTTAATTACTTTTCTAGTAGATTGCGCAGGTACTGCTGTTATCTAGCTGCTAGGTTGTACAGCTTTAATAGCTTTAGTGTGCGCCTTACACTATCTCCTCCTTACTTTGTACAGTAGCAGAGCTTGCTGTATAATGCAAAGGATTAATGTGCTATTGTCTAGCTACTAAGTTATGCAGCTTTAGTAGCTTTAGTGTGCGTCTTACACTATCTCCTTTTTACTTTGTACAGTAGCAGAGCTTGCTGTATAATGTAAAGGATTAATTTACTATTCTAAGAGATAAGTAACTAAACAAAGTACCTTATAAGGTGTAAGTACTCTACTGTTACTCTTTCTAAAGAATAAGTAATAAAATAAAGTACCTTATAAAGCATAAGTACTTTATTATTACTCTTACTAATTTATAGTTAATTAAATTAACTACTAATTAGTGTTAAATAGGCTCTAATAGCTAGCTGCTTATAGTATAAGCACTTAAGTAGTAAGAGTAAGAGTAGTGTACAGTGTGCACAGCGTACAAGGTAGGTAAGGTAAGAGCAACATGTTTTTAGTTCTATTACTCTTTTCTTTCCTCTATATAGAGGAAAAGGGGGATATCTAGATGTTCGCGCACAGAGGTTCGCGCACGAGCATCATGTGACATAGATACGTGATCCTGCTCGTGCGCGATCGTTCGTATCCAGGCCGCGACGCTGCTGCTGCGTACGGACAATAAATCTAATTAAGATTATTTATAATATAGCATGTTAAGCTTAAGTTAAAAATAAATAATTCTTTTAGTAAATATCTATTCTAGTTTAAATTAACTATAGCTAGTAATGTAGCTACCTTAACTCTTAATACTTTCTAGCTTTTAAGTTAGTCTTTTTATATCTTTAGCATAAGTGTATGTAAACTTTTTAAGGTTAGTATTCTTAAATTATGTCTACGCTGCCCTCTTAGTAGGCCTTAAAATTCTAAGTTATGCTTATGCTTTAATGCTATAAGCTCTTTAACTCTTTTATTTAGCATCTACTAGTCTAGTGCTCTGTCTAGATAGACATAGAAGCAGTCCTTTAGGGCATAGATGTGTCTACATGTAGAACATTTAGTGCCTTCTGTTTTAGCAGGTTTCTAGCTTAAAGATAACTTTTTATTATTTTCTTAATAATGTTAATGTTAAGGTTTACTTTGTTTTCTTAACATTGCAACTTCTGCACTATAGGCGTCTCTATTTATGCCCTAGATAGTCTTTCTACTTTTAGTAAAGTATAATAAGTTATCTATTATAAAGGCAGCTTTATGCTTTTCTATATGTATTAGATAATTTAACATTATATGTTTTTAAAAGCGCTTTATTATTTCTTTTTAATTTATATTTAGTGTAAACTGTCTACTTTTCTAAAAGGTTGTAGACTAATAAAGAGTAACTTTATTTATAGTAGTTAGAAAGTTCTTTGTAACAGCATTAAACTGCGTTGTTTCTAGAACATTTTATGTCTCTGCTTCTGTGGCAGCGTAATCATACTCTGCTAGCTACAGGTTCTATATGCTTACGTTTCTTAGCAGCTTTAGGGATGTATTATATTAGTTACACACATGTTCTTGTTTAAATTAGTTGTTAACACTTACTATAGCTTTAAAGTTTGTAATCTACTGTCTAAGTAGTTAATCTAGGGAACAGCATGTACGCTGCAGATGCAGGCTAACTGTTAACTAGATAAAGACAATAATCTGTTAGAGGCTTAATTACTCTTTTTTATAATTATGTCTGTTACTCTTATACTTGTTAGCCTTAATCTTGTAGTATTTAATGGCTTCTTTAAAGGCTCTAACACTGCTTGTTGATAGCTTGTTTAGGTGCGTAGGCGTTTTAACGTTAGAGGCTGGTGAAAACTCAGCTATTAGCAGCATCTCTAGAGCTCTTGGTTTAGAGATCATTTGGATGGTCAACTTAGGATCCACTTGCGGCCAGATGCCGTGCGCTACACATCTCGATTGCAGCTGCATCATCTAGGCTCTGTAGTCGGTGTGGTCTCGAAGGACGACTGTCGCGTCTCGAGGAGGCTGGGTGGCCATTTTGTATTAATAGAGGCACTGAGACTCTTAATTGTCAGATTAAAGCACTGTTTCTAGGCTTCCTAAGATGAATAATGGGTTTAGATATGATGTATAGGATGATTAATTAATTGTATTAATTGTGTTTATTTATTAATCCTTTTTCTGCTCTACTCGTGTTGCTCAGCCTTTTGTTTTGCCGATCCGAGTCCCTCGCGCACTTGCCCTATGCGCGACCAGCTTGCAAAATGCTGCAATTTTCTGCAATTTGCTGCAAACTGCTGCAAAATGCTGCAATTTGCAGCAACATACTGTTCGAGCTTATTGCTCGTACTATGTAGCAGCTTTCGTCAAGCGTTCCTCCTGTCTTGACAGTAGGTGCGCAAATCTGACAGGCCATCTAGGAACAAAAGTTGGTACGCCTGTCGCGCCTTTGCCTTAGTCTTGCAATTAAACACATGTTTAAGCTATGCTAGGCCTAGTTTATTATTTGTCTAACCTGTAGGTGATAAGGCGAAGAAAGCTTAATGCTTAGAGGGGTTAAAATCCTGTAGCTAAGAGTCTTGTATACAGTTAGAAACAGCTTAGTAGATTAGCGCAGGCGTAAAAGAGCTGCTGTTAGCGCAGATGCAGGCTATTGTTGTGATCTACTTGCAATTGCCATCCTGTATAAGCTGCTGCTTAATACCTTGCTTATACTACTGTCTAGAGAAGATTTGCTTCATTTTTAACAGTACCCCAATTAGGAAGCCCTTTTCATCCATATTATAGGTATGCTGTGGTTCTATGCTATATTGCTCGATTTTTTTGCGTACGAGCTTGAAATATAGCGAGTACTTAAATGCTAAGTCGGCTTTGTTACGCGCAGCGTCTATGCTAGATGTCCATTAAGATAATAGGTTGATAGAGTGCCTCTTAATAAATTAATTAACCTAGCTTTTGCTAGCTTACCTACCACCTATTTCTGTTGCAAAATTTTAAATTATCTGTCTTAAAGGGGATAGACCTCTTGCGCAAAGTCTATTAATGTACTCTACTAGCTCTTTCTCCTGCACTAGGCTGAGTAGTTGCTGATTTTCAAGTTTCTCTGCACGCGGGCGGGTAACGCGTCGGTGACGCCTTGAGAGCGTAGATCGATTAACGCCATACTGCCTAGCTACTGCAGCATAATTTGGTGATTCTCCAGGTTTCAGCGATTTCAGCGACTCCAAAGCGGCCTCAATACTGCCCATATTGGTTGAGAGAGAGGTGGTTGAAGTTTTGACAGCTTCGCGCAGAACCGTGCATTACGCGAGGCCGTGCATTACACGCTAAAACACAGTAATGGGTATGGGCCACATGTGTACAATGAAGAGGGTGAGAGGAAGTTTGAGCAGTTGAGCAGTAAGTTGACATGGGTGTCTCTACCCTGAGGTCGAGGTTGTTCACGAAGAGTGCGATGCGATTCGAACTGTGTTTTGCACAGGTATAATCAGTAACTCAATACAGCAACATACCAACTATTGACATAGCTTCATCAAGAGTTGAGATGCCACCCTCATAATTTAGTAGCCCCAAGTACTGCCCTGCAAGAGATCAGCTCCATCCGCGAAAGAAAAGTGATGGACTCACCAGAAACTCGCCATCGTCCGCCCAGCACCCTGAGCGCGCTGACGTATCTCTGTATACTTACCACCATGCTGTCGACAGCTTGGCGCTCCTTGATGAACTATGCGCACTCAGATGCCGCATGGTAGAGAAGGTAGCAAAGTAATAGGCTAGCAGTGGTCATCTCTAAACTCGTGCTCATCGCCATGCAGTCAACCATCTGGGAGACCCGAATCTTCGCCAGATCCTTTATACCACTAAGGGCGGCTTGCCGCATTTCCGTCTCTTCCATTACTCGGCGCTGAAGACTTACTTCTGGCTCATTGCATCCGTATTGGCCGTACAGAATAAATCAAGCGGGACACCAGGGAGCGAAAGCGACAATGGCGTATTTTTGCGTTCGATCATACTGTTAATTTATTGACGGTAGATGTTGGGAAAGATCCGCATCGAGCGCAACCAAGGTCTTATGCAACTGCAAAGCCTCAGACAAACGGAATGCATAATGATGAGGAGAGGATTAGTTGACAAACACCTGATTCTCCGCCGCTCCAATGCTGGTCCTGGCAAGGGAGTAGATCTTGGGGTCCGGAATCGGGTGCTGCGAGGAGCATTCCAAATGTTCCAAGATTGACGAAGCTAGAAACACCTTATTAGTATAGGAACGTGCAATTCGTTGAAGCCGTGACTCACTGGTCTAGCAGAAATACGGACCACTAAGTCCTTCGTTCTTCCTCACGCGGTATAATACCTCCAGTGGACGGGTTGAAAAGCTGCACTGCATCTCTTCTATTACGAAGCCCCATCATTATCCCGAGCCTGACACCATGACCCACGGTAAGGAGAGCAGTTGGGAATACGCCAGGGGCGACTTCGTAGAAGGACACTAGTATGATTGACTGAAGCAACTGAAGAGAAATCATACCACATCCCTCAACTAGCGAGATTAATTGTTTAGTAACTGTGTACAGGGATGTAGTTGATGGTTGTTCGTCGTCGGCAGAAGCCCAATTTATTAGCTTCATACTTGAGATTATCAAAGCCTTACTAGCATTTGTTTGCTTGTCGAGTCTAGAAGCGGCATGCTGCTTACGCTCTGCGTTCAGCAAAGGAAGTAAATAGTGGAAAGAGCGGAAATAATCGTCCCATCTAGAGCCAACTTGACTGGGAAGTATGTGCTCCCAGACCCAGATCGGTACTGGTATACCAGGATCCAGCGTTTCCGGGAGGTTCTTCAACAATTAATTCGAGTCTAAGAGAGAGAGTTCCGGAAATGGGGATGTGCTACTGTGCATTGTTTTGGGTATTGGCTTGCGATCACCCGTGCTAAGCTCGTCCTGTGGACCATGGCGAGATGGATAGGAGCAATACTTGTCGAGGCGGATGCACTAAAGCACAGCATTAAGGTCAAGGTGACCTCTCATAGCTGCGGATCTTCGAGGATGACAGACCAAGGAACACGCGGTTAGCTCTCTCATGCATTTCCGTTTGAGTTTCCTGGAATTGTTACTAATGTGTTTGGGTTCGTGTGTAGACCTTCGGGATGCGCACTTGCATGCATGGCATGCTTGAGAAGCTAATTTCGTCGAGGATGCCATTGTGGTGACAATCTCGAAGAAGCTGAGATGGTCCTGTACGAAGGCTGGAGGGAAACGTGATTGCAACCATCGCTTAGTAATCGTCGGTCTCTCGCTGCAGCGCTTCTGTGGTCATCATTCCTGGCCCATGATGAAAAGCCCTATTTGCTTGTTGGGTTATAATGGAATCAATAGTGAAATATGAGCCATACGGTTAGCATTTTCACCACTAAAGACCTCTCGGGGCAAGAAATATGGTCTGCTACAATCACGCCCACAAGCCCTTCGTTTAAGTGCAATGCAATACCAGGAATCCAAATTCCCGGTATGGAGATGTTGGAGAAAACGTTGGCGAGAGGGTGTGGACCAGCCGTACCAACGAACCGTGGTTGTGTGACAGCCAGATACTGTAATTCGCGCCTCGGATGGCGGTGTGGAGTATCTTGATCGCCCTTGTTGGCTACTGATGACGGTCTTCTCCAGACCTTCTTGTTTGGAACCTCAAGTCACAAGACATGAAGAAAGGCGTCTGAGGGTGACGAGGCCAGATACAGTGAGAATTATTTGCAATACATCACACAGAATTCGAACAGGGGTCCGGCCGGCGTCTCGTTAACGGTCGTCTTGGTGGTGTGGGTGGGCGCGCGGAGGACGAGCCATTTGTGGTATGGGAGCCTGTAAAGCTCGCAAATGAACAGGCCTTCCCACCTGCTCAGCCCTATGGATTTTCCGTACCTAGGCATCAATATGTGTATAATTCTGATGGCTTGTAGGGTAATTACTTACTCTTATTATGGGCCTTAGTAAAATTTCAGTAGGTGATTGTGCCTAGCATCTTTGAGAGAGGCTACTTTGAGCGAGCTAATGCTAACATTTGCGGAAGATGTCTGGCATGAATGATGAATAGAAATAAGAATATTATTCCTTATCCTGTCAAAGACCGTCACAAGACAAACGAAGCAGTTACTTACAACGCCCAGTATATCTATCTACTCCTGATATCAGAGAGGGCCGCGCGGGTATCCATCAGTGCGAAGCTGGCTTCTTGTTGGTTGACCCCTCAAAAGGCGTCCCAATCATTGGGCCAGGTCCCACGATAGCTTTTTGGCCTAAGACATTAATGGTATTCTCGGATAACTCTTTACAAGTGTAGCCGTTTGAGGGTTGCCCCACGCCGTTATTGCTGATGAGTGCCCATGGTTGCTCAAAGCAAGGCGCACTGGAATATCGAGAGAGAGGGTTCACATGGGCGGTCCCATCGTTCGGAAGCTGTAATCGGATCATGCGGGAATGATAAGGGCACGACGGCAGGAGGTGGATTCCTTGATCTGAAGGACTTTAGCTATACACTATGTGATGGTCATGAGACGGAACCAAGTCCCTCACTGCTATTTGAGATACTCTCCATTGAAGCCATTTCAAGTGGAGATGGAAAAGCATTTGGCAGGGAATGGATGGCTAGGATGGTCTTATCCACTGGGACCGGGACTCGAGACTCAACGGCGACGTTGGCCACAACCTCCCTGTGACGATCAGCCATAGGTATTTAGGAAGGGACCAGTACTGACCAGGTATGACGACCGGAATTGTTCCGAGGTGGAAGAGGGCATTGGGGTATGGTGGGTAGAAGGAAGAGACTAAGAACGTTGGAGGTGAAGAAGCTGCTGTTTGGAGGCGTGGTGGATGTAGTTAAAGCACACGCTGATGACTTGAGGAGAGCAGCTTAAATAGTAGGACAGTATGGTATCGGGTGTCACTACCACCGAGTACGAGTCGAGAATCGCAGATGGGGAGCCCAATGCCTATCATTCGCTGGCCTCCGCCATCATAACATGAAGAGGCAGCGACAGGAAGCGAGAGGCCCTCCAAGTATGGGTCAGGAGTCAACAGTAAGTTTATAATCATTGAGTTAAAAGGGTAAACTTCTAACCTTGCTTATAAAGAGAATGTTGTCAGGTATCATTAAGTAAAGAAATAGTCGAAATAATAGGATTAGCCATTTTACCAACGGTCTCCATAAACTGAGTGCAGATGGTGATTTAAAAAGATAAATATTTTTCAAAGATTCCGACTGCGTTTACTTGGGTCAGCATGGCCACGATCTAATCAGCTGGCGCAGGTTTGCATGTGTGAGCAAGGGGTGAAAAGCAAAGTATGTGCGAGGGAGATAGAGAAACGGGAAGGGCTATCTAAGCAAGGGTCCTTGAGGTTCGTCCCGCGACCATAGTCCTGGGTTACGAAAAAAGTAACCACTTCAAACCCCAGCTAGAGCCCGCTCTTCATCACGCAAAGCATGGGTACGTCCGTTGAGCTATCTCTGGGCCAGAGCGATCAGTGGAACAAATTAATCATGATGCGGACCCCTGTCTAGCTTTCATCGTCCTCCAGAAGGGGAAAGGGTCTCGATGTCGTGCCCACTCCACCCCAAATGGTCTCCAGGACACGCATCTGACATTCCGGGCCACCTTTCAGTTAAGGAAATTAAGCACCTGCATACCGGTGTGGCCACCGCTGCTTCAGTGCCAAGTATTCGCTACCCAACACTGATCCATGTACTATCCGCTTTGAGGCTTTACTTTATGCTCATATCAAAGAGTAGATATCGAGGGTTATAATACTGCTTGTCAATGAAAGGTATTCATCTAAGGCCATCGGATTTTTGGGGGGTTGAAGTTGGAAAGAAGATTTTGTCGTATAAGGCTGATCAGCGCAAGGGAAGAAGCGAGCGAAATTGAAATAAATATCCACGAACGCTCATGTATGGGGCTGTGAGAATGTGTTTGCCTGAGACATGTATTCTAGAAGTGTGCAAAATGTGTGCGAGATTTGTGTGCCCTGCAAGGATGGGTGGGCTGCGACGATGTGTGTGGTCAAGGACGTGTGGGCTGCAAGGACGTTTGTGGCTTTCGAGGATGTGTGTGGGCTGCGAGAAGTGTGTGTGGGCTGCAGTGGGTTTGTGGGGTCAAGAGTCGCCTTGGCGTGGCAGCCACTTTTACGATGGCGAGAGAAGTGGATGAGAGGCTTGACAGGGATGTTCAGAAAGGGACAGATGTTTTCACAAGGCCAAAATTACAAGCTCGTGCTGCTTTTTCGCCTCGCGAACTCAGCGGTTTTGTCGTGTGCGAAATTTGCTGGATTCTTGGCAATGCTAAGTAACCACTTTTCCCTCACAAATCTCATTGAGATTCAGGTAACTGCACATATCGCTCTATACACTCCACTAAATAGGAGAAGGACGTTATATAGTAAGTAAGGCTTTTTAATAGACCCTATTAGCCTTATCTTACTAATTTTTAGAGTAGTTACTGCTAATTATACCCTAAATTACTTATCTTTGTTATTAATGTAAATAGATAGCTAGGAATGCTCCTACTACTTATTAATTAACCTGTAACAAATAAGGGAGTAACAACTATAGTATTACTACCTTTAAAGAGCGCGCTACAAGTACTCTAGCACTAGCTCCACGCAGTAGGAGCGCTGCGCGCGGTGGGAGGGCTGGTAGAGTCGCTTAAGGTAGCGTACGCGCTGCTTCAACTCTAGCTCCTCCTAGAGCACCTGCTAAAGCTCCTAATAAACACCCTGCGTTGCTAAATCTGTTTATTGTAAAGAGAAGAGCTCCTGCAGGTAGTTTAAAGGCTTAATTAGAGGACATAGAGGTGTAAGCTGTGCACTACTAAAAGCTTATTAAATTGCGCAGGTTACTGCATAAAAAAGGCGTTGCTAGTAAAGATTATAATAATAATAAGAAAAAAAAGCTTAAGAAGCTAGCATATAACAAGTAGACACCTCTAGTTATTTATTATTATAACACCTTTACTATAGGACCTGCTAGAACGCGCAGTTATAATAGTTAGATCTTATTAAAGAAAATGCAGTAAGTTAAAGTTATAAAAAAGGACTTATAATAAAAATTAAAGCGCTATGCAAAGAAGACGCTAGATACTTTTAACGCTATAAAGTTTATAAAAAAAAAGGTAGTTAATGCCTATGTTAATTATAATTTTATGTTTAACTATGTTATCTAGCCCTCTGTATAAGTTTAGGTTAATAAGGCTACTATTCTTACTTATTTAAAGGGTAATAATTGTTAAACAGCCTTTATAAAGGTCTAAAAGCAGATTAAGAAGATAGTAGTTAACGCAGTTTTTAGAAAATGCAGCGCTAAGGATGTTAAGTTTGTAAGCTATAAGGTTACAGTTAAATCTGTTAATAAAAGGGCTAAAAACTACCCCTATATAATTGCTAACTTTAGATCTGCCTGTATAAAAGAGGTAATTAGTATTACTAATAAAGAGTACTTTAACTTCTTAAAAAACGCAGTTTAACTTACTTTTAAAGTAAAAACTAGATGTAAGGCTCTTACTAAACTTAGGCAGCTACAACAGACAAAGAAGAAGGGCAAAACTTCTAGTGTAACAGCTAAGGTTGTTACTGCTCTTAATAGTTCCCTAGCACTAGCTGCTCTAGTAGATAACAGCTAAAGGTTGCGTAGTACAGCGCTGCGCAACGTGAATTTAATCTAGCAACTCTAAGGTTACTAAGCACGCAGTAAGTTTATAAACACCCTTATTTAAACATAAAGGTGCTAGGATTCTAGCTGCCTAAACATTAGTAACTTCTACTATTATAACGCAGCAGAACAGCTAGGCTCTTACTTTAAAATAAAGTAAACTAACCTTAATGTTTAAGCCTCTGCTTTAGAGAGGAGCAACACTAGTGTTTTAGTTATAGCGCTTTTAGAGCAGCAGAAGAACTATCTATACAGTAAAGGCATAATTAATTAAGAGGGCTTAACACCTAGTTATTAAACACTAGCCTAGCGTTACAGTGCGTAGGCAAACTTTATAGCTAATTATATAAAGAAAGTGCAAGAGATGTATTAAAATATTATAATAAAAGATAAGCTTAAGCATATATAGGAGAGAATTAAGAATAGAGAGCAGCGCCGCAATAAGAAGGAGAAGAGAGAGCAGCGTTGTTATAAAGAGCTTAAGGAACTAGAGTTTAGTAGGAAACTAGCCGCAGATTAGCGCCAGCCTCACCTATACCTAAATTCTTATTATAACCAGGTATCTAGCTATCTGTCTCCTCTTACTCCTCTTGCTCCACCGGCTCCACCAGCTCCTGCAGCTCCTGCAGCTCTAACTCCAGCTCCAGCTCTCGCCAACCTTCCCCCGCTGTACAATCCTCTGCCCAGCGCCTTTTAAGCAAACGTTGCTGTGAACTAATTGCCTACCTAAGCCTTAAGCCCTATAGATCTGTTACAGGATAAATATAATTTAGTAGAGGAGTTCTTTAATTAGATAATTAAGCAGCAGAAAACTAAAGCTTAGAGGCTAAAGTTTAAGTGTGTAAAAGGAACTATAACTGCTAACTTTTAAAGTTTAGATAACTTTAAAGGCATAGAAGATCTAGTGTCTAAACTGTACAAACTAGCAACAGTAGACTATTATCTACTAGATAGGATTACGCGCAGTTTTAGGCGCTATTTAGGTAAGTTTAAACTAGAGCACTATTAAAAGAAGGCTGCGCTAGCAGCAGAAGCTCTAGTTAACCTGCAGATTAGTAGAGAGGGATTTATAAAAGGTAACATTAATTAGTTTAGACGCTAGGTCCTAGATTTATATAGCAGATAGTATAGAACAATAGGGCAGCTTATTGCAGGCCTGCTGTATAATAATACTTTATGTTACTATATAATCTAGATTGCTACTGTAGCTGCTACCTGTTAACTTTACCCCTCTTATACGCTCTTATCTAGGCATTTGCTTTATTAAATACTTTATCCTTAATGTATAGTCTTTCTTTACTAGTGTGCTAGAAGTGCTTAGTAGTAAATTAATTACAGTAACTCTTACTAACAGCAAATCTTAGGAAGTCTTTAAACGCGTTAAACTTATGTTAGTAATAGTAGTAGTAGCGCTAAACTTAGGCCTTTAGCACTAAGAAAGTTAGCTTAATTAAATTATAGTTAAGTAAGTATAGCAGCAGGAACTGTACTGTATAGCCTCCTCTTTAAATTATGTTAGGTATTCTCTTGTTATAGTAAGCAGAGCAGTTATCTAAAATAATACATATTACATATCTTTTAAACTAATAATTAATAGCTAGCAAAAGCTAGTTTTCTATCTAATTAAGGAGACTCTTTGTATTAAAATAGCCCTACTAAAACGCTGTATAATTAAGGTATCTATAATAGAGGGAGTAAGCTAGTAGAATTAACCATGCTTGCCCACAATCTCTATCCCTAGCGTATTAATTATTGTTACTAATTAGACTGTACGCGCAGCGCCTCTAGCCTGTTGTTTTGTTAAAATTTAACTTATTAATAAAGACTAACTAATCTGCTGTATAGTTTATTATAATATAACAATAGTTATTATAAAGGTCCTTACTGTGCTTAACTAATAGCAGTTTAATAGCTTTTTTATTCTAGCCCTTTTTCTTTAGCATTTTAGAGATATTTAATTAATTAATAAGCACCTTATGCTTTGTGTACAACCACTACTTTATCTTATCCTAGTACATCTAGCTATGCGCGACAAGCTTATTAAATAAAGCCTCCTAGTCTGCTAGGGTAAGCCTAGAAGGACGCCCTAATTAACGCGTTTTTAGGGGCGTAATTGTACTATATTTCATGAGGCATTAATAGATGTTGTACACAGTAGAGCGGCTCGCGCGCGAACAGATGATGACCTCTAGAATAGGGACGCTAAGCATAAGGAGATAATATGTAATAAAATAATAATTAGCAGTCTTCTAGCTGTGTTTTAAGTAGGACGAGGCTAGTAGCAAGGCCTCTGGATTGAGAATGCGCGCTTCCATGAGACGCGTCCCCTGAGGGGCCTGCGAGAGGACTGCAGCCAGATCTATGATCTATTACTCTGCAAAATTTGTAAGATAGGCCTTATTTATACATTTAAAAAGCTTTACTTACAATAAAACGCGTTGTGGTTGATTATATAGGGCGATATGTGCAGTTACCTGAATCTCTATGAGATTTGTGAGGCAAAAGTGGTTACTTGGCATTGCCAAGAATCCAGCAAATTTCGCACACGACAATTGGCCTGTGCGATGTGAGGCTTCCTCAGTCGGCTCCTCTGCACTCAATTTACCGCCTCCACACACCAGCGTGTCCGATTTGGCTCGCGAGAATATGTGTGGTAACACGATGTCTCCCACGGCCGTGGCAAGAGTCAGCTGGGGGGATTGCATGCGAGTCTCAGAGCGTTGGAGGCGAGCGACTCGCGCTCTCTGTTCACTGCGGTGAGCCGCTGCCCAATGCAACGAGAGCGAATTTGTTTCCTGTTCGCGCCCTATTCCCCTTGGTTCAAGGATGGCCGAACTATCTGCTCTGATGGAGGCAGGTGGATTCGAGAGAGACATGTGTTGCTTTACATTTATTTCATTCTGAGCTCTACCCACACCTACACTACAGTCACAAAGAGGCCGATTCGCTGCAGTGGATACAAGAGGACCTGTCACAGAATGTCAGCCCTAATTGGTGACAGCTCACGACAGTTAAACGGCAAAGAAGCTATGAGGAAGTTCTGCTGTATGTAACTGACAAAGAAGCCCTGTATGCTCAACATTTAACCGTAACGGTGTCAGTGGCGAATGGCAAAGCCCTCGCCTTGCCTATGCCACTTCTGCGTCTGTAGCAATACATAGTCAGATTGGCTTCGTTGAAAGCAGGCTATAGTCTTCACATAGGCGCAAAAATAATCGAAATTAGATCTGAGAAGTGAGATTAAGTGCATGAAATTCGCTTCGCTAAGGGTAGGCAATCCAGTAGAAGAGGGATAGGAGACGAGTAGACGGATAAGAGTACCTTCAAGTTGACATGGAAAACCGAAAGACTGGGAGGGTGCAAGTGATAAGTAATGAATAGCAGCGTTCTCCCCTCATGGGGTATTGAGAACAAACGTCACAAACGTCACCGACATGAATGAAATGCGCACTCACTTCTTCTTGTATAGGCTCTATGAGCCTTGATCATCGTGGGTCTTCCGATTCATTGATTGAACAAGACTAGGAGTGCTGAAGGAAGGTGTTGCAAGAGCAAGGAATGTCAATAATGGCCTCTCCGCTTTATGGTCTAAGTTAATCTAGGATTACAATCTAGGGGAACCGATATTGATCCAGGACAAGAGGTGGACTGAAGCGGTAATATTAGAGATGGGGTTTGATCTGGTGTATGGGATAGCGATACGCGGGAGCGCAACCATGGTTCCATCTCCAGGGAGAGTACGTAAATGCGAAGCTCAAAATTCCGGTACATCACTGTGCACCTTCAGGAAACACATTAAGATCCTCTGTTTCAGTCAAACGCACCACTTCAATATGGACGCAATGCTCCGAGCTCGATTCGAAAGTCAAGTTCTCCGTATCGCGAGTCGGCGCCGAATTCGAACTCAAATCCACCTTTCCTTGCTAGCTCCGGTTCTCCTCGCCGGATTCTTGTCCCAACGCTAGCACACAGGAGCGCCCATCATCTCAATTCCCTTCTCTGCATTCGTTACAATGCCAATCCTTCAGTACCTTGGCAGTCAGAGTTTCAGGTCTTCTCAGTCTTCACGAAGGCTCTTGGAAAGTTATGCTGGAAAGTTTGGGCTTCTTTCTAGAGCTCTTTCTAGAGCTCGCCTTGGATATGTAGACAGTAGTGATTTTTATAAGTTCTTTGCTAGCCGGTGGCTAAAGGGCGTTCCAGTAACAAAAGGTCGAGTACCACACTGACGGGGACAAACACTGCTGAACGTATGTGGAAGTCGGGGCTGGTGGAGATGGACTGGGATCAGATTTTCTCTATTATCTCTAGGCTGGTGAAGAACTTTGTTATTGAAGGGTTAGGAATGTAGCTAGAGGTGATGAAGGATGAGTCTTCTTGCAGTAGCTGTACGCATGGCCTCCAGTTTAACGATCTCAGTATTGCTTTGGCGGAGTCGCGGAGAGCATTCTCTTTCAAACCCCTTGCGTATGACAAGAAGTACACAGTAACAAGGTTCGCTATGGGAGAACTTCGGTTTCCGTAGTTCCTCGGCTCATCCCCGCCATCCGAAGAAAGGATCGACGCCGGGGATCTGGCCCGTCATCATAAAATGCCTTCGATATCCGCCAAACATATACCCGGCGCAGAGTATAATTTTCACTCGAGTGCTTCCCCAGGGCTACAATGAATGGAAACATTACGAATTGTGCCAATGGCACCCACAAGGCGTCAAAATTGCTCTGGAGGCATCCTGCCCCGCAGTCTACTCCGATGTGGAAGTTCCTACAACATGTGAATGAGAAATACGGGCTGCGATTGCAGAGCTATGAGACGCTTCATAAGTGGAGCATTGAACATATAGGGGAGTTTTGGGACACGACATGGGAATATTTAGGCATCAGGTCGAAATCTCGTGCCGCCAAGGTCAGTCACTTGATGGACTGGCTTGGAATCAGGAGGCTGACATAGCTGTAGGTAGTGGACAATGATGGGCCAATGTTTCCTCGTCCTACCTTCTTTGAAGGTGCATATCTCAATTTCGCAGAGAACCTCTTATATCCCGTCCAAGAGGTCGATCCCGAAAGCCCCGCTATAATCGCTGCTACTGAGACTACGAGGGAAACAGTGACATGGAAGGAGCTGCGGGAGCGAGTGAGGCACTGCCAAGCCGGAATGTTAGCATTGGGGCTGGATGAAGGAGATCGCGTTGCGGGATACGTTGCAAATCATACAAACGCTCTAGTCGCGATGCTAGCCACCACCTCCCTAGGAGGGATCTGGACAGCAGTAAGCCCGGACACAGGGGTACACGCGGTGTTGGAGCGCCTGAGGCAGATTGAACCGGTCTTGCTCTTCTCAGACAATGCCGCCTTTTACAATGGTCGAAGCCATCCGGTAATCCCAAAGGTTAGAGAGATAGCGTCGGCTCTGTCATCCCTCAGAGCCGTCGTAGTTTTTCATACCGTCTCCAATGTGGAGGATGACCTTGGATTAATTAAATTCCCTTCTGGAAAGGCATACGGCTACTCAGCCTTCACATCCCTCGCAATGCCCGTGTCGACTCTAACATTCAAGCAACTTCCTCCTGATCATCCAGTCTACATCCTATACTCTTCCGGCACGACAGGTGCGCCGAAATGCATCGTACATGGCGCCATTGGAACCCTGCTTCAGCATAAGAAAGAGCACATTCTACATTGCTCCATCACACCTACGTCTCGACTTTTCTATTTCACCACCTGTACCTGGATGATGTGGCACTGGCTTGTCTCAGGACTAGCTTCCGGAGCTACTCTTGTTCTCTATGATGGGTCTCCCTTCCGCTATCTCTGTCCGTCAGATCCGTCAACCTCTGTACCCGACGATATCGCAATGCCTCGTTTGATCAACGAAGTTGGTATCACGCACTTTGGGACAAGCGCTAAGTACCTCTCCGTCCTCGAACAAAAGAGCTTGAATCTGAAAGCCGAACTATCTATGAAAACTTTAGAAGCTATCTACTCTACCGGCTCTCCTTTAGCACCTTCCACATTCTCGTTTGTCTACAACGCATTCCCCCCATCCATCAACCTCGGCAGTATAACTGGCGGGACTGACATCATATCTCTCTTCGGTGCTCCAAATCCTCTTCTCCCCGTCTACGAAGGTGAGATCCAAGGGCCCGGACTTGGCATGGACATCCGAGCCTTCGATTACACAGGCCAAGACATCACGAAGACTGGCGAACCTGGTGACCTCGTCTGTACAAAGCATTTCATTTGTCAACCGGTCAGCTTTTGGGGCAAGGACGGCGAGAAGAAATACCGCAGCAGCTACTTCGATAAATTCGAAAATATTCGAGGAGAACCAGTCTGGCATCACGGCGACTTTGTCCGCTTCAACCGTGAGACTGGAGGGCTGTGGATGCTTGGACGTAGCGATGGGATTTTGAAACCAGCGGGTGTGCGGTTTGGGTCAGCGGAGATCTACAACGTTTTGCTCCAGCATTTTGCAGATGAGGTCGCGGACGCGCTCTGCATTGGACAAAGACGAGAAGAAGACACCGATGAAACTGTATGCTTATTTCTCAAGATTACGGAGGGTAGAACATTTTCACAGGAGTTAGTGGAGAGGATAAGAATGACAGTGAAGAAAGAGCTTAGTGCAAGGCATGTTCCAGGGGCTGTGGATGAGTGTCCCGAGATCCCGGTTACCACGAATGGGAAGAAGTAAGTGGTCGCTCCCCAACTCGGGATTAAAAGCATACTGACGATAGTAGGGTCGAAGGTGCAGTTAAGCAGATCTTGTGTGGCTTGAATGTGAAGACTTCGGCGAGTGTCGCGAACGCGGAGTGTTTAGACTGGTACAGGGAATGGGCGAAGACTCATTAGGAAGTGACATTATTTGTTATAGGATATGGTGTGATTAAATGTGGGTTCATAATATCGAACCAAAAGGTAACTTTTTCCTCTGTTTATCCTCTTCAAATCTTACCCAGGCTCTCTACTTCCAGTCGTGACAATGACAGGATTGATGTTTTAATTTGCGAACCCTACTAACCTAGCACTTTATTTTCCACCAATATCTACATATTTGTCGGCGTATCTGAATTGTCCCAATTACCACGAGTTTCCACGTTCTCAAACACTCCAGGTACTGGGGAAACCTGAGTCTAAGTGCTAAAAGAAAAATCTTTGAGTCCACTTCATTAATATAATGGTCACCAATCTCTGGCCACTTCCTCCCTCAGATAGAATCACAACTCTCTAAAACCATTGACTCGAGAATGACGGATCCTCTATAAAATCACTTAGCCCTTCTGCTGGTGCAAGAGAAACTGCAATAGCTTGAGCTCCAGCCCCCTGCTAGGAAGTACACCATATACAACCGTGAGACGATAACTAGGTCATCTTAACTCTTGACAACCTGTGATTCGATGCTTATAAAACGTTATGGATTACCCTAATGAGAAACATCACAACTTCAACATTGTCCGAACGAGCATTTCGAGCTTGAACAGCAAATTTAGCATTCATAGTCATACCTCATAACGCACCCAGCCATCCATCATATCTCCAGAGCCCTAGAAGCCTGATCTAAGGCTTCCTGGGAAAAGTTGGTCAACGCCGATTCTGTAACGCCAAAGCTCAGGACGGAAGACCAAAAAGTAGACTATAGAGACAATCATAAGAAACAAAACGATGGATATGAAAAAAAAATTGGCGTGAAATCAGACGCACATACCCAAGTCCCAAGCCCCAATCCCATTCTTCACACACTCCGTTCAATAGGCGTCAGCCTAGTCGCTGAAGCAGGCGCTCCCATGGATGGGAAAAGCGGTTGTTGGTGTTCGGCAATTTCTCTTATCCGTTTGATTAAATTACTACTTCATCATTAGCAAACCAGAAAAAAATCCTCAAAACCCCTACTCCAGACTCTGAGCCATGGATTGGGAGGAACACTCACTTAACCGGCAGCCTCAACCTTTGCTCCTCACTCATCACCAGCTCGATTTGGTTCTGTCTCTTTGCAACATGATTCTGCAAATGCTCTTCAATCAACTTCCTCCCAACCACCTCACTCGCCCCATATACCTTCTGCGAACATCCATCAAACGTACAGACCCAGGAATCGCCTGGCGCGTTCGCCGCATACGAAGGAAGCGGCGTCGACACAATGGGAGGTAGTAAAGCCGGGGATGACGCTTTAGCGGAGATGTTACCTGACCGCCAGCGCAAGGGAAGGGGTTCGGTGGGAACCTCAGTGTCGTTATCGTCGGATGAGGGAGGAGAGTAAGGATCTTGGGCTTCGGATTCGATGGACAGGCTTGCGGCGCGTTTGTGAGGTTGCGTGGCATTCTCGTCATCGCTGTCATCGAAGACAAGTTTCCGTTTTGCTGGAAAGAGAGATTGGAGGCGTATCGGGGGGTCAACTGTCATGCCTGGGCGTTCTTCTTCCTCGCCTCCACTCCCGGAATCGGATGATACATTGGGTTTTGGCTTCTTACCTTTGCCGGAGAACTTGCTGCTCTTGGGCCTTAGGCCGGAAAATTTACCTTTACGAGGGGGTCGGCGTTGGGGTGTTGCAGTCGAGGGGCTTGAATCCGAGTCGTCACTGTTGTCGTCTTTCATCGTCGCGTGACCCTTTCGCAATCGCAATTCGATAGATTCGGATCTCCTCACTTCGGCAGCTAGGAGATTGTGGCCTGAGGATAGTTCATGGTAGATGGGCTCATCTAAAAAGTACTGGATGTTCTTTCTCCTTGGATAGTCCATCATATATCGTAAATTCGTGGCGTGGACTTTTACTACGTTTGCAGCGACCTCCAAATCGTCGATTTCGTACCGTCGAACCATGAGTTTTGCCACTTTGTCGATGGTCACGTGTCCGATTCGCATTGCGCCGTGATTGACCGCTTTCTGCATGAACTCAAATATTGCAGCGGCCTCCCACCAATTCTGGTTCTTCTGTGGCTTGTCCGTGAGTTTCTGTTTGGATTTCTTTGGTCCTCGAGGGGCTTTTGATTTCTGAGCAGTGGGAATTATTCGGGAGGGCTTCTCTTCCTTCTGTTGGTGCCGTCCGTCGATTCGCGCTTTTGCCTTCTCGAAATCTGTCTGTGCAGAGTTAGCAACCGCCAGATTCCTAGAGACTAGGCACCACTAACAGGGAACTGCGTCTTATAATGCCGATATATGGGCGTATTCGTCCAGCTCAAGCCTTGTGCCCGATTGATAAAACACATAATGAGGAACTGCCGATGCCTATGAAATATCTCCTCCGCATGTCCTGGGTCATTGCATGAGAACCTTGTATCTTCCGCATACTGTGGCCAATTAGCATCCATCCTTTCCAACTTTCACGTATACATACCTCCTGGTATAACAGCGGGGCATTAGGTCCACCACCCCTCTTCCTCGGCTCATTATAGATATCTGTCATGAAATAAAGAACCCCCACCGCCTCAACCATATCCTGGAAAATGTTCTTATACGCCTTCGCCGGCATGATCTCAAACCATCCAGCCTTCCCCAGCGCCCAGAGCATAATCTCACCATCGTTAGTTTGGCCGTATGAAAACCGTGTGACATCCCTAATCTCAATATCGACGGATTTGAAGGGTTTCTTTACGACTATCGCAACAGTTAGCCTTGCTTCAACCGAGCAAACAAGCAACTAACGATATTTTTGTTGATGTCGGTCCGGGGCTTCCAATTTCCCCACGACTCTTAGCGGGGTGTCCGCATACGCAGTGAGAAGGCTCGCGGGCTTCCCATTGCGTGTGTAGAAGACCTGGGCGTTGCTGAGGGAGAAGATTTCGTAGTCGTCGGAGCTGGAGATGGAGGGGTCAATCGGCTTCAAGATGTCGAGCTCGGGAATAAGCATGGCGGATGTAGAGATTGTCACATATTGGTGCTAGGATAGGCAACAGGTGAAGGTGCAGCGATACAGTGTGGTTAAGGTTGGTTGCTCTCAGTGTGGAAAGCGGGCGCCGCGAGGCTGAGGCGGAGTTCGTGTCGCGTCCCACTGGCACGTGCGCGGGTGGCGTTGATCAGTGGCTTGATTTCAGCCTTATGGCCTGATGATCTTCACTCCATCTTCTATTTTCAACCCGAAACGAACGGATGGACCACAGAAGATAGGTCTTGTTTGATGGATACGAATTGTTTCATATCCACGATACCCCTAGTTCACAGCTAACCTGAGTATATAGTTCTTTTAATCCCAACTCTCCAGAATACTCTTCGTCCACCATCTCCATGGTACAGATAAATCCCTGCTCCGCCCTTCACCCATCCCTCCAACGTCCCCTACCTTCTCCCCACTGGCAACAATCCAACTAACCTCTCGACTTCCACCGCTGCACTTCCACTTGCCCTCCCCCTAACCTCCTCCAACAAACCCCGGTCCTTCGCCCTAAACGCTTCCTCCCCCGCCTTAACTACTAACCCACATTTCATCCACATCTCGACCCTCTCTGCCACAGTTAACCCCGTACACTTCGGCACAAACGCGCTCGCTACCCGCGTATTCCCCGCCGCAAGTACCTCGTTGAAAAAAGGCTCCCAGCCAATCGGCGATTTTTTTTGTTTTGAGAGTTCTTCCAGTTCAGTCCAGTGGCGTGCGGAGACGAGAGCCCGGAGTTTCAGCCAGGCCGCGGTTTTCTCGGGGATGCGGAATTCGGAGATGATTTTTTGCGCGCGTTTGGTGTGGGATTGGCGGAGGAGGTGGAATACCGTCTCGTTGGCGGAGAGGCCGATGAATGAGGAGTTGCCTGGACTGACGCTGGAGCTGGGGTTGGCGCTGCTAGTCCCTGGGTTGGAGTTGAGGTCTTTTTCAAAAGTTTCCTGCATCCGCAGGAGCTTGGCCGCGTCGTCGAGTTGCTGGCGGTGGAAAGCGTAGTCTTTACTGTCTTGTAAGTACTTTGATGCGAGTTTGAGCTTATCCAAAGAAGCTGGAAGGTCAGTCGCGGAAAGGGCTTCCGAGAGCAGGAGATTCGAGCCGTCGAGGCGGCGGTCGTCTTGATAATAGAGGTCTTTCAGGACTTCTTTGTCCTGGTACCATGCGCTTGATTCTACGAGCGCGGTGGCAACGGGCCGGGAGTTGATGACGCGGAAGAAGGACGCGAGAGGGAGTTTCTTGCGCAGGTGGAGCAGCACGTGGTAGATGAGATCGGTGTCTCCGCTTTCGATGGCTTTATCTAGCGCAATGGTGTCTTCTTTCATGCCAAGAAGTAATGGGACCTGTTTTCCAGCGCGGGGCTCGTAATTTAGAAGTTCGGTTGCTAGTCGAACGCGACCTTCGTCGTACGCGGTGCGTGCAATTTCCTCGAACGAGACACCTGGTTTTCCATGTAGTTTCCTGAAAATGAGGTTGCATATTGATGCCTCGTCTGCGGTGGACACGCGGACTTTTTGCTGTGCCCAGTGAACGTGAATCTTATCCGTCGGCAAGTGGAGATACTCAGATATGCGCAGAGCAAGGAGATACTCATGTCTATTCGTCAGTCTCGAGATCAGTTTCTCCGGAGTCAGGCGCTTGAATTGGTTGTAGCTCAACGGTAATCCAATCTCATAGAATCGTACAGCGTTGAGAACGCGGAGTGTTTCGCACATGTCGACGAAGTCGTCAGAGCTATACAAATCTAGCACCGATTTGCCAAATGAGGCTGCTTTTAGCAGAGATTTCTGCCAGTGGATATTATATTCATGGCCAGCGGCTTTCACGCACGTGTCTACTGCTCCGGCGAGAGAGGGACGGATAAGTTGAATCAGATCATCTGCTTTTGGAGATTTCTGGTCGAGAAGATTCGATGCTTCGAGGAGATTTGCGGCGGGGGTTTCGGAGCCCAGTCGGAAGACTTCCTCTGTCTCGTCTGGCACTTTCTGGAGGTACTCGCAGACATCGTTAGTCAGTAACCGTAAGCCGTCTACGTCCGGTAGTAGATGTACCCAGGCATCATAGTAAAATTTTGTAGCGACACTTCTGGGGCCGATGAGATGGACTTCGTCTTCCCAGGCCAAAACCACGGCATTACTGCCACACCATTGCATATCCTTCGGTACCGTCTTTGCGCGAGAATTGTACTCGGAGAGCTTCTCAGACCAGTCACCGCTCACAACCCACACTTTCCCATCGTCTGTATAGAAGGCAAGGAATTCGCCGCGGGGAGATACGCTGATATGTCGGAAGGGGCCGGCCGTGAAGTCCCTATCCTCCGCATCTGTGGCGTCAACGACGTATAGCGTTGTGCCAATTGCAAGAATAACTTCTACGGATCGAGAGAGAGAGTATGCAGGAGGTATTATTGCCCACGATACGACAGGGTCTGGGGGTGGTATTGCGAGGAGCTTCGGTCGTGGTTCGTCGTAGCGCGAGACCGAGATGAGGTGGTTGTTGCCGAGCAGGGCCACGAAGCCGGAGGACCAGAACCTGCATGATTGTACGCCATGTTCGTCTGCTCCCTACACATACCTTTAGAATGCGCTTTCATATAGAGGGGTGGGGACGTACGTGTCCGAGTGTAAAAGGTACAAAGTCCCCCTGCAAATCGTAGTAGCATCGAACGGTGCCATCTTCCGTAACAACAAGCAGCTTCTCGTCTTCAGACCACCCCAAGCCTTTTATCGACCCTTTATCCCACTGGATCTGTCAGCATTTACCTCCCCTAGATACCACACGGGCTTCTACGTACATTGATGCGCCGAATCAACGTCCCCGCGCAGCTATAAACATCGATGCTCGACTTGGCCGCCTGGGTTCCGCGGTACGCATGTATCTTGTCCTCATCACGGTAAATGGCTGCCAAACTCAGCTTCAGACCAGCCGTCGGCGGTGACGTGGGCGCGCATACCTACAGCGCCGCTGTACGGAGCCCCCACTACATTGTAGTTCTCGAGCTCGAGATCCGTATCGAAGATATTTCGGTAGAGCTCTATTCTGCGGTAGAACTTGTCACCGACTTTCTCCCAGTTGGCCGTGGGCTTGGACATTCTTGGGAATGGGGATATTATGGGGCTTTCATAGCTGGATAGCTTGCGGAGTGGTGGCCTTGGAGGTGAGTTCGAGGACTGAAGTCATTATGTGGTCCGTGCTGAAGCTTCCGAGAATAACGAGCCGGTAAACACGTAGGTCAGCACGTAGGTAGGCATGTAGGTAGGGACGTAGGGTCGAGCAGGTATGCGATCGCATGGCTCAAGGCCACCCCAGCCGCAGGTTAAGGTTGGCAACAGAGAATTGGATTTGATACATAAATTTATTTCTAGTTATGCAAAGATATTCTAATCCTTCATCTACAGGGGGTCATTCCCTAAATGCTCTACCTGCCTGTCCTTTCCAGCACCTCCAGCACCTTCTCCCTCACACCTTGCTTGCCCTCATACTTCTCTACCAACGTTGCAATTACCTCATCCGAAGACTTCCCTGCAGCCAGCCCCAGAATCTCATGCTCTCTCGGCAGTCCAATCCAAGCATGCGGATACTCCTTGTAGTCACCCGATGAGACTAGCGGAAGTGCTGATTTCCGCTCAAAGAACTTAGCTACCTCTTTCTGGGTGACTTCAGCCAACGAATTCGGCTGCCAGTTAGGTCGCTCTTTCTTCCGCTCAATCAAGCGTGCCGTGACACCCTCGATGAAATCAGGATGCGCCATGAAGTGCGCTGCGATGTCATACTCACGCTGGAATGTTTCTGCTATTGACCACTCGCGGCCAACGCGCATTTGATGGAGAGTCACGGCTACAGAGATAGGCGAGCGCGTCAGAATTGTGTCTTTGGTCTTTTCTGCCCATTTCTGGAGTGATTCCGAATTGGCATCGGTCTTTACTTTCTCTAGGGCATCAAGAATTGCCTGGATGCTGGGCTGATCGGTGGCGAATACTTCATCAATGGCTGTTCGTAGTTCTCCAGATATGGCCGGCTTCTCGGAGGGCAAGCCCGTGCTGAATTCCTCGATCGTGCTGTTGATGATCTTGTGTCGTTCTTTCAAGTCCATATAGTCGGGGAATTGAAGTTCTGCGAGACGTGACTCGAGATTTGGTAGAGTGGAAGAGTGGATGTAGTGGGTTGCTACGCCATGATAGAAAGCGTCTACACCACGAAGCTGCTCGCTGGTTAGAGCAAGGTATGTCCCTAGCCGGCCGTCCATCCGGGGCAAGAAGAACGAGGCGCCCACATCCGGGAAGAATCCAATTGTCGTCTCGGGCATAGCAAAAAGCGTATTCTCCGTCGCTATCCGGAAAGGCGCATGGATGCTGAGTCCAACCCCGCCACCCATTGTAATGCCGTCCATGAACGCCACGTAGGGTTTCGTGTATGTTGCAATGAGGTGGTCGAGCTTGTATTCGAGGCCGAAATAGTCGGAAGACTTCTGCTGTCCCTCAGGTCCGGTTTTGTTCCATTGTGCTAGCGCAGCAACATCCCCACCAGCGCAGAAAGCGCGTCCTACGCCCTTGATCACAACCACTCCTGCCAGCTCAGATTTGGTCCATTCCTGCAATCGTGGTATGATCTTGCGAGCCATTGAGCCATTGAGGGAGTTGAGTTTCTTTGGCCGGTTGAGCTCGATGCTTCGAACGCCGTAGTTGTTAGTGAATATGACATCGTCGGCCTCGTCGTCTGGCTGTGGCGCTAAGAGATTTCCGGTAGGTTTCGAATACTGCATCTTGGGTTAGAATTGGGCGAAGTGAATGATTAAAGTGGTTGTAGAAGTTTGAGTTCGCTAACCATTCGGGTGTCGGTCATCCAAGCAGGATTTATAACTTTCGCGCGCAAGGGCATGGCAGATGTCCGCGAGTGCCAGCTCAGCGGCGCGGCTGTTCGTCTGATGGATGTGCGGAGAGACATGAATGTGGCAGCGGATATGAAAGAGAGTGGCACGGCTTTTGAAGCTCTGCCGAACCTCGGGTATCCAAGGAAAATCCAAGACTAGACCCTAGGGGATTCAATTCAAACAGTTATCAATTGATAATGGGGAATGCAATAGAAAGATTTCAGGTCCGAAAGTTGATAATTTGAATGTTTCGGGAAAGGTTTCCCGTCAAAATAGCTGTCTCCTCGAAGCTTTGATAGTGCATTCAAGATGGAGCTCGGGCACCAAGCCACGTGACCGCGAAATTTTGGCGGCAAGAAATTAGTGGGTGGGCTCATTCACCTGCCTCGACCATCGCGACAAACCTCACCATCCCAATTACTTTTCGTTTCGTTTTACCCCGTTCCTCTTTAGGTTGGAAAATGGCAACCTTCTCTCGAGTCTTTTGGCAGACCAGCCGAACCGTGCTTCGATACCAAAAATCTGTCAACCCGGTCCAGCAAGCTCTCGGAGTTCAGGGCTCAAGCAGATATGTCAACAGTGTGAGAAGCTACGCTGCTGTCTACCAGCGCGACAAGCCCCACGTTAATATCGGTGTGCAATTGAATACGAATTTCAATATACCTGACTTCTGACATGCTGGATAGGAACAATCGGGCACGTCGATCACGGAAAGGCACAGCTCCCAGGACAGCTACAAATTTTCGCGAAGCTGACTGTGGCAGACTACGCTCACCGCAGCCATCACCAAACGACAAGCAGAGAAAGGGCTTGCAAACTTCCTCGACTATGGCTCAATCGATAAAGCTCCCGAAGAGCGAAAGCGTGGGATTACCATTGCGACGGCACACATCGAATACGCCACCGGTGCCCGCCACTACTCTCACGTCGACTGTCCCGGTCACGCTGATTATATTAAGAACATGATTACGGGAACCGCAAACATGGATGGTGCTATTATTGTTGTGGCTGCGTCCGATGGTCAAATGTAGGAACAAGTCGAGGACAGTCCTCAAAAGGCGGATGGAAATGCTGATAACGGTCTAGGCCCCAGACTCGCGAACATTTGCTCCTCGCCCGACAGGTCGGCGTACAGAAAATCGTCGTATTCGTCAACAAGGTCGATGCAATCGAGGACAAGGAAATGCTGGAGCTTGTGGAGATGGAGATGAGGGAGCTCTTGTCTACCTACGGTTTTGAGGGCGACGAGACTCCCATCATCATGGGTTCAGCTCTTTGCGCCCTTGAGGGCCGGCAGCCAGACATCGGCGAAAAGAAGATTGATGAGCTCCTAGAAGCGGTGGACACCTGGATCCCAACTCCAAAGCGTGAGACCGAGAAGCCCTTCCTCATGGCCGTCGAGGATGTATTCTCCATTGCCGGGCGTGGTACAGTGTGCTCCGGGCGTGTCGAGCGTGGTGTTCTGAAGAAGGATTCTGAAGTCGAGCTTGTTGGCAAGGGCGTCGCGCCTATCAAGACCAAAGTCACTGACATTGAGACATTCAAGAAGTCTTGCGACGAATCAAGAGCAGGAGACAACTCCGGTCTGCTTCTCCGTGGTGTCAAGCGTGAGGATGTCAAGCGTGGTATGGTTGTCGCGATTCCCGGATCCGTTAAGGCCAGCAAGAAGTTCATGGTCTCGATGTATGTCCTTACCAAGGAGGAGGGCGGCCGTCACACCGGATTTGCCGAGAACTACCGACCGCAGATGTTCATCCGAACCGCCGATGAGTCTACCAGCCTTTCATGGCCTGAAGGCACCGAGAATCCGCATGAGAAGATGGTAATGCCGGGTGACAATGTGGAAATGGTATGCGAGCTCCACGCCCCTCACGTTGTCGAGGCTGGTCAACGATTCAATATGCGTGAGGGTGGTCGCACCGTCGCTACCGGTCTTGTGACCCAGATCCTGGAGTAAACGAGCTCGACTTTACTTTGAAATGATTACTCATTGAAACAGTTGTGTTTAGTGCCGAACTATCTCCCTCCATTATGTGTAAGATTTGCCGACAAGTTCTTGTACACTATCTAGCGCTGAGCTATATCCCCTCTCCGCTTTCACCCTTGTCTTTCAAACTGTATATTACCAATCTAGATATTGAACAGGCATGGGAGGCGTTGAGAGTCTTACTGGGGTGGGGTGGTAGGAAAGAAATAACGATCCCCAATCATGATTTCAATGGTGAGGCTGAGTTTTATAACGTGAGGTCTAAGTCTCTAAGACTTTTGCTCCATTTGCTTTTGCTAATCCAAACTCTAACAAGCTGGCGTAGGACTCGATACAAATGATCCTGCACTAATGAGAATCTGAAAATGATATTCCCACTGACTAAATCCAACCAATTCTTCTCCGCACCTCAATTTCCCGATCCAGACCCCGTTTTCTCATCTCTTCGCCCCTTTACGGCTATCCGACTATCACGCCTCCAACCTCCCGCCCCATTCCCTCCACCACTCATACAACACAATCCCAGCCGCCGTCTGCACATTCAAACTCCTCGTAACCCCCCTAGTCTTAATCTCCACACACCTATCCACAACACTCAGCACGTCCGGCGTAATCCCTCCTCTTTCACTGCCAAGTACGAGCACGCATTTCTTAGGTAGAGAACCTATACGCTTGTTCCTAACCCCACCCTGGACATCGCCGCCCTTCCGCTCCTGAGGGCCTTCATGTCCACCTGCACCAGCACCCTCCTCCCCGCCCCCCTCCCCTAAAAACCCTGAACGATCCGTCTGCTCTACACCCACAATCTTATACCCCCTCCTTTTACAACCAACCAGCCAATCCGTGATATCCTGGACCTTGACTTCTTCGATCGGGATATGTTTGTATGACGTCACGGCTGTGGATTGGAATTCCTTTGATGCCACGACGTCCGCACTTTTCACCATCAAGGACTCCAGTCCAAAGGATTCTGCGATTCTGCTGAGTCCCCCGAGGTTTGTTGGATTATCGATGAGGGTAGCGAGGAGTATGATGGGTGCGGGACGAGAGGGGAGTGAAGAAGATGGAGAGGACGAGGTGGAGGGAAGGAGGGAGGAGAGGTCTAAGCTAGATTTGGTTTGGAGGGGGACTGGTGCTGTCGAAATAGGCTGCGATATTGTTGCTGTTTGCTTTTCTGATTTCGTAGAGCTAATTGGAAGGTGGGGTTTTTCATCCGCATCTCCAAGCGGAATACATGGAGGTGGTGTGCAGAACTCACTCTTCATATCCTCAGCCCAAAGCTCCTCAAAGTCCTCACGCGCAACAAACTCCTTTTCTGGCTCATCGACCCGCAGGTAGTCCCCTTGGAAAATACTCGTGATTGTGGTCTCGCTCACGACATCTAGCTTCAGCGTCCGACTACTCATAATCGGAGTATTGAATTTATCTAGACTTCGAATATGCTTATCCAGCGCCTTGAACGCTGGGTTTCCCAGGATGCTCATCCAGCTCTTTCGCTCCGCTAGATCCCATAGAATGGGAAACGACCACTGCGCCTCAAACCGTATTTGTACTTTCGAGCTCGCCGAGAACGGGATCAGCTGAACCATGAGGTCCAGTCCAAAGTCTTCGGAATCGAGGAATGAAGCCGCCGAGACTGCGAGTTTCATTAGTGACGCCACGAGTCGAGGATTTTCGTCTTCTGCTTTTACAATGTCTGGCAGAATACGGCGAGCGTGGTTCGGGTAGCAATAGTAAATGCGCGCGATGATCCATTCGAGGAGAAAGCGGTATCGGGGCCAAGGTTCCAGTGTCAATATCTTCATACAAGTATCTAGGTACCATTCCACATCCAACTCTTGGATACATGACTCTGATAAAACCAACATAGCTTGGAGTTGGAACGCTTGTTTCCATTTACTTCTGATTGGAATATTCCCTTTTTGGTCTTTCCAACGTTGCGTTAGTCGCCGAAGCACTTCTTTGGCAACACCAAGCTGCGATTCCGGGAAGCGGTTGAGGAGATCAATGACGCAGGCATACGCGAACCATTCTCGTTTTCCGTAGTAACATTCATATGTCCGATGTGGAATAATTCTGTGGAGTTTCTCAACTGCTGCAATTTCGAACAAAAATTCGGCCCGAGGGGAGGGAGGATTTTCGATAAATCGGATGAGGAAGTCGTTGACTGGGAGAATTCCCATGATTTTTGGAGAGAACAAGCATGCTTTGCGGATTGAACTGGTGAGGGTAGACAATAGGTACGACCTACTTTCTGCAAGATGATGCAACTGGTTCAATACTCTCGTGAGCAGGTTCGTCAACGACTCCGTCGCATAAGCATCCCGCACCTCTTCCTGGTGTTTAATGCAAGCCTGGATACATGTAGGATGGAAGAACAGGGGTGGTAATTTCACGACAACAGCTCGACGAAAGTCTTGAATGTCTGCCTCATCCCACACTGCGTCCAAAATACTGTATAGCTGGTCTTCTTCGTAGCCATCTGGCCCGCAAGTCTCTAAGGTTTCAATAAGGTGTTCGCATGCGGGAACCAAGGCTTGGGCTTGGATGAGCTTGCGCCTTGACTGCTCAAGGTTTTTCGAGAAATTTTGTAATGATGAGGCCGCACAAGTTAGTGCGGTAGTCTGTTGTTGGGTGATCAGAGAGTCTGCATGAGGAGGAGTATGCTCTTGCAGTTCCTTTACATGAAACATGATCAAATTAAATCCCGGCAAATTCTTGAAGTTAAGCCCCCTCAACATAGCGTGTCCAAGAATTTCGCCACAGAAAGTCGCGCTGAGATCCTTGGCAACCTCAGCCAGGCCAGGAAGACGGTAAACCTGAAGAAGGAGCTCCACGTCATTGTTCTCCAGATCAGCAAGCGCTGGTTGCTTTTTGATGCTTTCGGCGAGACCTTCAAGAAGGTATAAAATCGAATATGCAAAGATCTTGCCGCGCCTATCTACGATGAAGCGCAAGATATCTCGGAACAGTTTCCGCTGCTCTAGCATTGTGGGCAGCTTCATGAGAAAATTACACAGGATATTAGTGAGACCGGCGCCGTGGGTGGATGCCGTATGTGCTCGGGTGGAGATGAGAGACGACGTGAAAAGTGTGCCTTGAGTCGCCCATGGAAGGAATCCATGGATGAAGAACTCTGTCTGGCCTTCAATGAGGCCGTTATCTTCGCCGACAAATCTCATGTACCACAATCCAATAAGTTTGCGTATCCCGTCTTGGATTTTTGGACTCAGGGCTGAAGATAGCATTACCGATATCCATGCTGGGTGTACAAGACAACCAGGTCCTAACAGCCTTGAGAGTTCTGGCAAGCAAGCCTCAACCTGGTTTGGATACCGATCGAGAATAATAGTCTCGAATAGATTGCAGTAGCTCTCGTACTGCATCTGATATTCAACACGCTGCTCGATCTTGAACGTCATATGAGGGGTTGCAACGTGTCGGTGAGCAATGAGCAGAGATTGGCGAAGGATCCCAAGGCAATATTTGCGTTGCTCGGAAAACCCTGCCAGAAGTCCCTCTTGGAGTCTTGACCAATACAAGGGCACGTAAATTCCCTCCAAATCCGCATTATTCATGCCTGCGTAGCAGACCCACTGGAACCAAGTCCGAAAGACTTTCCTGCTTCCACACGTGAAGTAGTCGCAAGGGAGCTCCGCGAGCCTCGTCCACAGCTGATCTTTAATAGGCAAACGGGTCTCTAATTTGATATCCCAGAGAAGATGTGGTGCCGTGGTGTCATTCATATATGGAGCGAACTTGGCCGTTGGCCGTCTAAGAAGATTTAACAAACTGGAGATGGCATCGTGAGATGCTTCATCCAGATCTTGATGCCGACCAAGGAAATGAATGAGACAACAGAGTCCTTGAATGCTAAGATAGTGTCCTCCTTCAGGTGGTGTCCAAAAGGAGTATTTAAGGAAGTTGATGGAAGCAATGGTTTCCGAGATCTGTTCATTGTCATAGGGGTGGAAGAGGACCTCATCATTGTCTTCTGTGTTATACTCTGTGTATGGCCGGAGAGAAGTACCTGCCCGTTGTAGTTCTGCTTCAATGGTCGAGAAAACCCTATCCTTGAGAGTACTGTCGGCTAAACACAGCTGAGCGACCCTGAGAAGCCGGTCTGGCTTATCCTTCTCATGCGGAACTATGGCAGCAATGAGTCTTCCTAGTAGCTCATAAAAGTTAGGAATCTGGACATGTTTTTAGCGTTGATCATGGAAGCTGGCCGCAGGAACTTAAAACATACATTGTTTTCTGGGAGTGAATTTAGCCTCGGGATAAGATCAAGAAGTTTTAGAGAAGAGTCAAGTAGCTCAAGATTTATTTCTCCCGACGATCCTTGGACATTATCCAAAAGATGCTTGAGGATTGACTGATCCATGGCCGGATTACGTAATATTTATGGATCATCGACAGCTGAGAAGAGTCTGGGGTCGGATTCCAATCTATTGTTTGGTTTCAGGTACTCCAGAGGACGGTTCCGGACAGCCTTCACGCGGGATTTTAGCTGAGGGGTGGAATGTGACACAGAGGTTGCCAGGGACGCGCAAGGACGTAAAGTTCATCACCTCACTCCACCACCATTACACCCGCACTTGACCACGTCTCGGTCGTTAAATGGTCTCGTTCCTCCGTCTCGCTGTCGCCTCGACGTATGGTGTTGCTGTTCTCCTCGAAGAATTCTGTGTGGCGGCTTGGCGTGACGTATTGTCCACTCGGCTGAACTCCGGCCCGTCCATTGTTTACATTATTCTGTTTACGGGTAAGCGTAGCTAGTGCACCCTCGTTTCCAGGGTTCATCTCGTTGCGTCGATGCACCTTCTCCGCCGTGTCAAGTCGCAACTTCTGCTTGAACATCTTTGTGAGCTTCTGGAAGACAGCATGGATCACCGCATGTACGGCAGCCTACATGCTTCCTCTGCTTCGGCGGTCTCAATGCGTGCGAGTGAGCCGATTGCGCTGATGATGGCGCCGCCGCCCGTGGATGACCCAGGAAATGTTAAGGTTGTCGTGAGGTGTAGGGCATTTTTGAAGAGAGGTAGGCTGCCATGTCGTTCAACTGGCATTCGAAGAAGCTGATCTGGTCTAGAACGAGACAAGGGCACGCAATGCCTCATCCGAATGGAACCGGCGACCGAGAAGACGACCCTGCTCGCTCCGTACGACCTCGACTTGGCCAATTCCCACCGTGGAAGAGTCTATGAAGATAAAGAATTTATCTTCGACAAGTCCTTCTGGTCACATGACGTGGCCGACCCGCACTACGCCCACCAAGAGGATGTTTACCGATCGTTCGGAGAGGAGTTCTTGGACCACAACTTCGACGGCTACCACACGTGCATATTTGCCTACGGTCAGACCGGCTCAGGCAAGAGTTACACGATGATGGGCACGCCAGAACAACCCGGACTAATCCCTCGCACCTGTGAGGAGTTATTTGAGAGGATTCAGCAGGACCCCACCCCGAACACAACCTATCATGTCCATGTCTCATACTTCGAGGTGTACAACGAGCACGTCCGGGACCTCCTCGTACCCCGCACCAACCCACCCATATATCTCAAGATCCGCGAGTCCCAGACAGACGGAGTCTACGTCCAGGGCTTAACAGAGGCCGAAGTCAAGAATTACGCTGATGTCGAGCGCCTCATGAAGATGGGTGACATGGTATGCTCCTACGTGCCCTATGGGTGTAATGGCCCGACATTACTCCAACATCATGCTAATACTAACTTAGACCCGCACAACCGCCTCCACCAAGATGAATGATACCTCGTCACGTTCCCATGCAGTCTTCACTATCCAACTCAAACAGATCCAGCATTCCCTCCTCTCTGATCAAACTATTGAGCGCTGCGCCCGCATGCGCCTTGTCGACCTCGCTGGCTCCGAACGCGCCAAATCCACCGAAGCCACGGGCCAGCGTCTCAAAGAAGGCGGGCAGATCAACAAATCGCTCACCACACTCGGTCGCGTCATCGCCGCGCTGGCAGATCCAAGGCGACATCACAAAGGACGTAGACACAGGGATGTAGTGCCGTACAGAGACAGCGTGTTAACATGGTTGCTGAAGGATAGCTTGGGGGGAAATAGTAAAACGGCAATGGTAGCCTGCATCGCACCGAGCGATTACGAAGAAACACTGAGCACTCTCCGGTACGCCGACCAAGCGAAACGGATCCGAACTCGGGCATCCGTCAACCAAGATTGCATGTCCAGCGCACAACGCGACGCCCAGATCAAAGAAATGGCCGAGCAAATCCGATCGCTCCAAGTCTCCGTTAACGCGGCTTCACAGCGCAAACGAGAAGAAGCAACCGAGCTCGAGGAATACCAGAAACAAGTCGCTAAGATGCAGAGACTAATGGAAGAGAATCGTCAAGTCAGTGAATGCAAGATCAAAGCCCTGACCACCGAAGTCGAGGACTTGCGACCTGCGAACGCGGCTCTGCGGTCTGAGATTGAGGCGCTGCGTCGCCATCTCGCGCTTGCGCTAGGAGAACTCAAGAATCCGATTATTTTACCCCCGCCGCAAAACGTCACTACGCCCGAACTAGAACACGCAGAATTTACCAATCTAAAGGAAGGTGTAGAGAGGGGAATAGGAGTAGTAGCAGGCGGCCGCGGCGATGGTAAAGAGAACCAAAATCCCGCTGACTCGGGAGATGAACTCAGCTCTGATGACGAAGACTCAGGCTATGACGAAGGCGATGAATTCGCACTTGATCTACAGGCCGAGGCAAACGAGTTCTTGAAGGATCTCGGCTTGTTTAGGAGGAAGGTCGGGAGTGATCAGGAGAGGTTTGGCGTCAGGCATGTGTTGCACGATATGCTTGCTAACTAACTGACGAATGTCGTTCGATGCGGTGTTGATCGCTTCTCTTCTCCTTTTTTGGGAGCTATTTGCTATTGTCTAGGAGAGAGGGGAGAGGAACGTAAATCTTGGTATGGAAAAGAAGTGTGGGGCACTTGTTCTTGGATTATGAATGAGATTGGCTTTATGACTTGCATTAAGCGGTGGTGTTATGGCTACGTCTTTTGGATTCACAGTTCCGTTGGCAGGGGGTGTTGGATAGGAAAAGTAGAAGAAGTGTTGGAATAGGGCCCTAGTTTATAGTTAGTCTCAAACGAGTATGTAGTTTTTATAATTCTAACTATCCGTTGGACTCTTAATCTCCACGCTATTGGCCGCCCTACATCTTCTAGAGATCCTGCAGATACAATTGAGGAACCTTTGTCTTTGCTTGAGCAGCAAGCTGTGCAATCATGGTCTGTTCTAGAAACTACACCAACCAGCAAGTTTTAAACTGCGAAACTTATGCTTTAGCACGGAGAAGGCATTCGCTATGCACTATGCTCGACATGTGCGTCTGACGTATCTAACCAAGGATGAGAGATCTGGGACAGCCTTGCATCTTATTACCGAACATGGAACGTTGCAGGAGGCGTGACTTAAGACTGAAATATACATCCTATCAATGTTCTTATTGTTTTCAGCAAGAGGCTTTGTAAACAGGCCAAGCTACTATCTACTAGTGATTTGCTTTAAATGGATAAATATGTGGTTCTAGGTGATTGAAAGATGCCCGATAGGTGAACACCGTCAGAGCCGTTTACTTCCCAAACGGCATGCCCGAAGGCTAAAGAGGCCGATACTACATCTGTAAGAAAAACTATTAAAATTAGATATACTCCTCAACTCTTAGTCAGGTGTGGTATCAGAGGCTCAGGAGTCCTGGCAATGCCTTCGTGCAAAGCTTGAGCAAAGAATCGGAACCCAAAAAGAATCCCTTTGTCTATCTCGAGGCGCGGAAACCAAGTTCCTTCTCTTTTCTACAGCAGATCGCTAAGTCGTCCTCATGTCTCGTTCAGCATGGTGGTGCCAACAAGGCTTGGGAGCCATACTAATTGATGTCGAGGCTCCTGTCGCATTCCTGATACAGAATCCTTCCTTCCCTGTGCCACAACAGCTCCTACTGCTGTTACTATAGCTCCTACTACCTTCACTATGCCCCTTAGCCATTGCCATGGCCCTCACTGCCTCTGCTGTTATAGATGTAAATAAATACTCTGCAGCAGAGCACACAACACTACACAATACACTTCACTTCATCGGCTTCTTACATAGCTGCAGGCTCACACCACCTCTCTATTTTCAACAGCTCCTCTCCTCCGAAGACCATTCGACTTGCCTGTGGCCTCAGGGCAAAGTCTACATAGCTAATAATAGCAATTGTTGCACCAAATCCTGCAAAATCGGGACCATGGCCAGCTCGAGCCGAGGTGAAGGTGTTCTGCTTCGCTGTCATGTCTCGAAAGTTTCAACGAGTGGCTGAAGCTGTGGAAAAGATGCTCTATGGCAAGATCCGTAAGTGTTAGAAGCCATGAAGTTGGTGGTTGGTCTAAGCTTCTTAGCGCCTCCCCAGGGGGCCGAAATCTCTGGGGGCTGGGCACGAAATCTGGGGTTGGAACAATGGTAAGCAGGAACTCGATCCACCAACCATCGCCCATTTCATCTCACCATCATCGTGAGCTCCTCTCCCACAGCAGCGTCTCGCCCATGTTCCCCCCAATACCTCTTTAGCCATCACATTCAGCCATGTCAGGGGTTCCTGGCATTTTCCCATTCTGCTTGAGAGATTTCCGAGATCTCTTCCCTTCTGTGCATGTCATGATGGCTTCTGGAAGGCTAAGTTTAATATCGTCAGTGCAACCTGTATATCGTTCACAATTTTCACTCTCAAACCGGGTTGGCGGGCCTGCCGCCTTCCTATGCCTCAATTAATACTCTTCTACGCGAAATTCTATCTACGCTTGTGTTGGTGAGAGCGTCTCCTCCGGTTGGGCGCCCCGTCTTCCCGGTCGAGGCTCTTGCTTGCTAAGCCACTGTCTCAAACTGACAACGCCATATCGACCATCTCTTCTCACTTTCAGCATCGTCTTGTTGGGTATTCAGCCGCTCCACTCTACTCCTTACGGCCTTTCTGCCGCACATAGCTCGCCGCCAGCCTCATGATTTGACATGAATCTATGCAAATTTACCCGGGGACCGTCTCTTGTCAAACCATGCACCAACTTTCACTCTTCGCCCAGCCGGGTTAAGCCAAAGATCTTAGAGGCGTGTATATGAAGCACCAGGAATTCCGCTTTTTGACAACCTGTCCTGGTCACCCTTCGAACTGTCCAGGTTTCGAGGGCATATATACCTGTCCTGTTCCGGCTGGATCTGTTTGGAAACATACCTAACCTCTTCTCCAATTTGTTTGAACTTTCTTTTATACGAGTAATTCATTATGAAGGGCTTGAAAAGACCTGCGGCGAAGAAGGTAGACGCCGAGGTTGCCCAGGCTGAGGCACCTCATCTCGCGCGTGTGGACTGGAAATCGGATCCGGGTCTCAGAAGACTTTATACATGGGCTTTCATCATCTGTATTGCATCGGCCACTACTGGCTATGATGGGTATGTCTGGCCCAATGGTTAGGAATCACCTGCTGATGGCTATTTAGATCGATGCTCAACAACCTCCGCATTCTCAACACCTGGACTGACTATTTTGGAAACCCAACGGGATCACTCTTGGGTCTCCTAACCGCTCTCTACTCAATTGGCTCTATTGCGAGTCTTCCTGTCACTCCTTTCTTAGCTGACCACTTTGGTCGTAAGATTGCCATTGCACTAGGATGCATCATCATGATTGTGGGAGCCGCCGTCCAGGGCGCTGCCACAAACCTTAAGATGTTCATGGCCGGACGATTCTTCATGGGCTTTGGCAACTCTCTTGCTCAGCTCTCCTCGCCGCTTCTTCTGACTGAACTCTGCCATCCTCAACATCGCGGTCGAGTCACTGCTATTTACAACTGCCTTTGGAATGTTGGTGCGATCATCTGCACCTGGCTGACATTCGGCACGAAGCGCATTGACAACAACTGGTCATGGCGTATTCCGGCTCTTACTCAAGCCTTCCCATCTATCATCCAACTCGCTTTCATCTTCTTCATCCCTGAATCTCCACGTTGGCTTATCGCCAAAGAGCGCAATGATGAAGCTCTCCAAATTCTCGGGAAGTACCATGCGAATGGCGACATCAACAACCCCACTGTGCAATTCGAGTATCACGAGATCAAGGAGACTCTGCGCCTTGAATTCCAGTACCAGAAGTCTAGCAGCTATCTCGACTTCTTCAAGACCAAGGGGAACAGGTACAGGTTGTTGCTACTTGCTTCTCTTGGCCTGTTCTCTCAGTGGTCAGGTAACGGATTAGTGAGCTACTACGCAACGGACGTCTACAAGAGTATTGGTATTACCAACTCGGATACCCAGCTCGGCATCAACGGTGGCCTTACTATTCTCTCCCTCATTGTTTCCGTCTCTTGCGCTCTACTAGTTGATCGTGTTGGAAGACGTCCTCTTTTCATCACTGCCACCGCATCCATGTGTGTGACGTTCATTCTCTGGACCATTTGCTCCTCGGAGCAGGAGACCAAACACAGCGAAGCCGCTGGTCGAGCTGTGATTGCATTCATTTGGATCTTTTCGGTTGCATATGCCCTGGCTTGGTCTGGACTGCTCGTCGCCTACACAGTCGAAATCCTGCCTTTCAAGATTCGTGCCAAGGGTCTCATGTTGATGAATTTCTTCATCCAAGTTGCCCTCACTATCAACCAATACGTCAATCCACTTGGTTTCGATCACTTAAAGCCAAACTGGAAATTCTATACCATCTACTCGGTTAGTCCTTGCCTCTCTACTTTAGCACCCTTACCCGCCATACTAATCTTTATTTTAGGTATGGCTTTTCCTCGAACTACTCTTTGTCTCCTTCCTATACGTTGAAACCCGCGGCCCAACTCTCGAAGAAGTTGCTAAGATCTTCGATGGTGACGACGCTGAAGTCGCGCATGTCGATATTGAGAAGATCGAGATGGAGAGCGTTGTTATGACCAGTGGGTTTGAGAAGAATGGTATAACTGTCAAGGTTGAGTCTACTCGATTGTAAAGTATCTTGAGAACATAGGAGAGGGTGGTGGGTAAGATGGTAGGCTGATTCATTCTGACCTATGATATGTTTTGCTTAGATCTACTAATAACCTTCTTTTGTTGATACTACTATATTCTGGTATATAGATGAATACATCCGAAACGATCTGTTGTTATCGCTATTGATTTTTCATGAGTGTTTCTTCGCAATTCTGGAGTAAAATGTTCTTCCAAGCTTGTTTAGTACTGGCGCTATACAAACTAGGTAAAGCCCGTCGCGAGCAATGCGGTGCCACAAGAATAGGTGAATCACCTTTGGTCTCCTCTATTTACACATTTAGGAAAACTTCTTCTACGCCTTCAAAATACGTCAATCCCTATCACTGTCGGTACGCAACCTAATAGCCAGCCTACACCAAGGGTGAGATTTTCGAACAATTTGCACCATGAAGCCAAAATGGATCCCCGCAGGCCACTGATACAGGCGCTCGAATCATGGACATCCGAAGAGAGAGTAAAGCTAGCAAGACGGAGTACTCTTGCGATCCCATCTTCTGCCCCTCTAACACTACCCACTGCAAACATTCTTCTCATAGAGTTGTGAAGCTGCGTTTCACATAATGCGGCCGCAAAGACTTCGCAACTACACTTGGCCACGAGGGACCCTGCTCATATGTTTGACCCTGCACCTTATATCCTACATGGGACTTACAGCCGTGGCCTTTCTGGATCCCATATTCTGGGACGCACCATCCTGGGAGGATGGGGTGGACGGCAACAGAAAGTGGGTTCGACCAATTATGCTACCCAGACTAACTGGAGAAACGCTAAATCGCCACTCCCAAGTTTTTCTATCAAGATCCTCAGCAGCATCAGACTTATCGTTGCAGTTCTTCTCTTTGGCGTCTACCTCGTAGAAAACCGATTTCGAGTGCGCCTAGTAATCGCAACGGTCCCAACAGGCCTTATGATCGGTTGGATAGTTCTTATGGCACAAGGCGGCAAAACACTGCGATATCTCCAAGTAGAGTCTAGTGATCTCAGAGATGTGGTGAACGGTGCAAACGCAACGAGCCTCCCAACTCTTCTGGTTGCCTATTGTTTCATGACGTTTGTAGTGTAGGCTCACTTCTCATTTCACGATACCCTGTCTCTTTACTGATAATGCACAGAGTGTCAGGTCTCGATCTCCTCTTATCACTTTAGGTAAAATACAGTCCCGAAGGTGACCAAATCCCCACCCAAAGCCCTTCCGATGATTCCCAGAGGCCTCCCACTCGCACTACCTCGAATTACTACGATAGACCCGAAAACGGTACTCATCGCATCAGGCTTCAGCGCAACACCATATTGGCAACGCCGAAGTGCAACATACCTTAGCTTAGACCTTGGATCGTCCTGCTGCAACTCTTTCTCGCCCGTCCCTACCAAGAACCATACAAACCCAAGTTGGAAACGTCGACCACCGGTCCAGAACTAGATCTTAGCGGTGCACTGCCTACTATGACGAGAAACGCCACAACTGTGATGCATTTAATAGCAACCGTTATTTCTGATTCTACTACTAAAGAGTCAGAAGCGACTCGTTGGCCTACTCTAGTTACTCGTAAGACCGCGAACGCCGCGTCTCCGGCTGCGAACGTCGTTGCCAACTCCACTGCTGGAGGCACCCTCCAATAATCTTGACTTGATGAGGAATACCACGAACGCAACAGCCCTAACTGCGAACAGTACATCTAATCCTACTAGGGCCACTACTGCAGAGCTAGACGCAAGACTTCAGTCCGCAACTTCACCTCCCATACCGCTCAGCAGAATGGGTCTAACACTACCAAATGCGACTATTACTTCTAATACCGCTACCATATAGGACACCACAACCACCACAAGTCCCAAAGCAAAACCCACTTCAGACCCCATTACCTTAGAAATCGAAGCAATAGGAACAGGATCATCACGAGCTGGCTCCTAGCGCCGAAGATTGTAGGAATCTATGGGTGGTGATAATTCGATAAATAGAGTAGCCTTTTCAGCTTAACTGATCCTAGAACTTCATCCAGTCCGTCAGATTGCTATGTGACTGTGTCGTTTCATTCGCAGGATCTTGAATTTAATGTGACAACACGAGAAAGTACACTAGCAGCCGCGAGGTACGAAATCTCGGTGACACGTGTAGCTCACTCTCGGCAAAGCATTCTCTCAATCGATCTAGCCTTCCATACACAACACGGTCAATTCTCCACGTCGATTAACGCGATGTCACACATGTCACCTTCTCCCTTTCGCGCTCCTTAATCTATCTCGCACACCCGTACCCGAACCCATATTACCGCGCGATTAGCGTGCAAACATGTACGTGAGCCCAAATAAACCGAACCCAACCCAAAGCCAGAAACCTGGATATTGGATTTTATATCCCGGTAAACCCCTGCATCTAGGGTATTGCAGTTTTGATTGTGTGGAGAATAGGAGTCTTGTTGAGGATGGTATAGTGGGCCCATTTCCTGAGCACCTGATGCTGGTGTGATACAAGTACTAACGCAAAATTAGGTTGCAGGTGGGTAGGGAGGATGTCGGAGTGCTATGGAGTGGGAAGCAGGGCTCCCAATGGGGCGTACTATTATCCGTACAAAGTGAGCCGTACCGGTCACGTGTTCAGTAAGAGCGTACCGAGTTTATGAGCCGCACCGTACGTTTAATGAAGCCCCAGGTACGGTACGTAGTACGGATCGTATTACCCTTTTAGGAGTACTACTCGCATAGATCACGTGAGCCGTAACAGTTACGATACGTACACCTACCTCTCATCCTCCCTCCCGTACGAACGTACACAAAATCTCTCCCGTACAGGTATTAAAATCGCCCAATCGTACAGTAATACGGCTCGTTGGAAGTGCTGTTGCCGTTGCTATCCCAAAGAGTTTCCCATATGATGGAAGGGCGAATATCCCACAACGATCTCTTAAGGCATTCTTTTCAAATGACGGACTTGATCGGTTGAATGCACCGGGAGCTGTGCTCCTCCTTTTGCCACACTATCCTTGATTGCGGGATTTGAGGAGGCAGACTCGCAGTTTCCGTGGAGGCCGACCTACGTAATATCGCTTCTCACAATTTCGGGGCTCCTATGGATTGCCCTCATGCTTTAAGAAAGGCAGGCAACACTATACTGAAAGATTCGTAGACCAATCTTGCCTTAGGGGCTCATGAAAACCCGCGTCATTATTTGTTCGCTGTTGTAGGGATGACTTTACTCATGTCATTATTTAAAGCTTGGGGCTCGCCTTTCTTCGGCGGAACATGGTTCGTCGTTGTTTTCCACCTCCCCCAAATGGTCCAGATTGCCCATGGCACTTCGGCGCTGCAGGCTGGTGTTCGTCCCATGCCATTCACATTTGCCGCACTTATTGGTTCCATCGTCACGTCGACGTTAGCTGGAAAGAGAAAAGTCCCACCTGTATACATCCTTATTGCAGCTGCCTGTATCTAAATCAGTAGCTTTGCACTTTGATCAGCGTTGCCAGAACCCTCGGATGTTACCTGCAGACATATGGCTGCCTCATTGCGGGTCTCGGTTGCGGCACCTCTCCCAACGCACCTGTTAATGGCACCATTTACTGTGGAGACCAGAGACAGAGGTAGCTTGACTTTGCATCCAACAAGTCGAGCTATTGTTTCGTAGCGACTGGATTAAGTGCGGTATCATAAATACGTTTAATGGGAAGGGCACTCGTCCTAGCCATCACAATCTTAGTGTTCAGTAGACGCACACAACCAAAACTTGCAGAGTTGCTAGGCCCTGCAACAGCTTTCGATCAAGTATCTCGGCAGCTCACTAAATTTCACCGGAGCTGCCGGTTGGGATTCGGATCGTCTTTGCACATGGATACAGCCTAAAAATTATGGTGCCTTGTGCATTCAAGACATCCTATATACCCGCGACTCTGCATATGTGTCAGAAGAGACAGATCGTGGTTTAGAACGAAGACTCAGGTCAATAGAACACGACGTCTGGGTTGGATAGGCGGATTAGGTGGTACAAGACGCTTCCACGTCCCACTTACTCTCTAAATAACGTTACCTTTTCTTTCATGCTCATCTATCAGACCGAAATGAGAAACCAAGGATTTCCCCACTTTTCACCAGCGTTCTCGTCGTACTAGAAGAATAAATAGCGCTAGAGTCGATAGTCATTCAGTTCAGCAACGCGAGAGAAAATGCAAAAAGTTGCAACACTTCGGGACAGTTAAACACACTTTCTTGAAATCAGGGTTGTCGTGTCCGCATCTTGACCTATTCCAGTAAACTCCTAAAAGTTGGGACACGATAGTGTATGTGACCTTAGAAACCACCTATGTACCTTCACTTCCGGATCATCCAGCTTGCGTTCTCATCTCCCGAGGTCACTAAGAATAAACAACCGGCACGAAACAGCCTCAGTTAGAAACTCGAATACCTCTTACTAAATTTAAACCCTTCTTAGAGTTCCTGAATAACCTAATTCTCTATTCGGTCCAATAATTCTTCTAATTTAGGCTTCCAAAGAATCCCTAACTGCAGTCTTAAACACCGGGTCCTCGAACGCATCTTCTCACAGGAAGACAGAGCCAATTTGACTCCTATAGAATCCTGCGCCTGTGATAAAAGTATAATAGCTCTCTGTGGTGATAAGAGGGCCAAAACCCTGGCCTTCTGCTTTATTTCTGTAAGTTGCACTTGGTTTCCCAACCGCTCTGTCCAATCCAGATTTTTCTTGCCACGATAAAACGTCAAATTTGCAAAACCTGAGATTACATCATTGTCACAAGGACAATAGGGTTCATTGACGGCGAGGTCGCCAGCAAGCCTCTACCGATCGAGGCATCACTGAGATCTTCATGGTTTCTCTAAAGCCCAGAATCGCTATCCGTGCCGCCAAAAGAGACTTCCATAATCCATGGGCACCCTTCATCCTACTCTTTCGAGCTCCTGAAGGTATTTGAAGTATTTGAGGCTCTCATTTTCTTCATGACACGTAAAAAGACATTCAGATTCACCCACACCTCTAGGCCAAATATCTATAATTTTTTTTTGGGAATTTTATTAGGGGAAAGAACCAACCCAAGCCCCCTCAGATTCAATACGGCATGGCGATATTCCAGCGGCTAGTCTGAACTAGAGATCCTCAATTTCGCGGAGGTGCATTCGGAGATGTACGGCGAGTGCGTTGTGAGACCTGAGTTGGCATTGGGGAGGGTGAATTTGCTGGCTTCGACTTGGATGTGGGTACATTAGGATTGGTGCATCCTGGTGAGGACTTTGGCTTTGACAAAATTGCACATAGCAAAATATGGACACAAGAACCGGATATTTGAGATCAACGAGTGTATTGCGATGGGAAGCTAAAGGGGGACCTGATTAATCACATCAATAACGATTATAATCCTACTACTATACACAAAATCAAGAGTAGCATGTTAGATTCCTGGCCCATAGCTATGCCCAACTCAACACACTTCTTTGTCAGCAGAACCTAGCTGAAGGAAAGACTTGATAATGTGGACAAAACTTTAAATTTATACCTGTTTCGGCAGTAGGTACCCATTAATTCCAGCTCATTACACATTTCCCAAGCCTCGTAATGCAACATTAAAATTAAAAACCTAGAATCTCTATATCCATCCTAACCCAATACCTGCGGCACCAATGAGCCATCCTTCCATGCCTCCAAACCTGACATTTCCTCTCGCGGGAGCCGCAGCGCCGGTAAAGGGCAATGGCTGGCTTGAATTTGAAGCCGGGCTCGGTGGCGGTGTGTAGATAGTGGTAGGTGGTGGGCCAGTTGTAGGGGGAGCAATTGAGCTCTCTGGCGGTGGAATAAAGGAACTTGGAGGAGGGGGTGTACCCGACGTTGGCGGTGGTGGAGCTTGGGATGTGAGGTCAGCAGCACTGCTAGAAAGTGGCGCACTACTTGGTGGGGAAATACTTGAAGTAGGGGGCTGGCTGCTAGCTTCGCTTATAGGGGGCGGGGGAGGATTACTTGATGATGGAGCACTCGATGGTGGAGGGGCTGGAGAGCTACTGCTCGGTGGGGGAGGTGGAGCTGAGCTGGTTGGTGTGGTGTCTTGTTGAGCTACATGAGTTATCGTAGTTGCTTGGTCGACAGCCGGTACGGTTGTGATGTACACAGTGTTTGGAAGGGTAGTCGTGTCAGGATTCTGTGTCGTTCCGACTAGGGGATCACAGGCTCCAGCCCCAATCGACTGTCCCAGCTGGGCAATCACAGTTGGGAGGCTATTGAGATAGTCGACTACTGTAGGAGGTACGAGTGCAGGATTTGGGATAGCATTCGTGGGAATGATCAAAGGTGCATAGTTCGTTGGCGCGGGGAGTGCCAGGCTTAATGTTTGAGTGGAACATCCAGTTGGGAGTGGGCGAACTTCGAAATGACTGAAGACTTCATATCCTGCGTAGACGGTCGGATATGTCCTAGAATCCGTGGTAAGCGATCTTCCATACTTTCTTTTGTCATACTTACAGAGTCACACTCGAATGCACCCAGGTTAGCGTCTGTTGAGGTGGTGGGACAGATCGAGTTGTTGTCCGGACGCTAACCGTATTTCCAGCCCCATTAGTAAAGACGTCAACCTGGGTCACGGGATAGGATGATGTGCTGACTACAACCCTGCCAGGATACCCCAAGCGCGTAGCTGTCACATTGATTAAGCAGCCGCTCGAGCATGAAGCAGAGGCCGGAGAAGAGCTCTGACTTGCGGTGACGGTTCGAAGTACTGTGGTAGGAATAAGTTGAGTTGTGGTGAAGGTAATAGTCGAGAAAATGGTGGAAACCACAGTGCTCGCTGGTAGCTGGGTCGTCACAGTTTGAGTGATACCTGGCAAGCTCACAGTTGTTGTCGTGATCTGGCCTGCTTTGTGTTAGATTGTAACCCGGCTTCTGATATTTCAACGCAGATCTTACCTGGAAGAGTAATTGTTATCAAACTCGTGCTCACGCTCGTCGAAGTAACAATTTGGGTGATGAACTGGGTTTGAGTAGGGCCTGGAGTCGTGAGTACGCTGGTAGGCCCTGGAGTTGTAAGTACGGAAGTCTCTCTTAATGTGATTGTGCTCGCAGGGATGACGGAAGTGAATGTAGTCGTTATAGTCGTTCCAGATAGCGTTAGGGTGGATGTTTGCGTGATTGTTGATGCCGGCTGGATTGAGATCGATGTGATAACGACTGTGGGACCAGGCGTTTCAGTCGTGACGGTGCGAGTAAGTTCTGAAGTGATTAAAGAGGTCAGAGTCACTGGGGGAACGATCGAAAGGCTCGTCACGGTTATTATCGTTCCTGGAAGAGTAATTAAGCTGGTATCCGTGATAGTAGATGCAGGTTGCGTAAAGGTGGTGACGAATGTAAAAGTTGAAATCTCCGTGATAGGGATCGTGATAGGGCTCGTATAAATCGAAGTCACAGGAGTTGGGACAGTTGTTGTAACAGTGTACGGAACACTCGTGGTCACAGTGTTAGTAATCGTAGTGAGAACCGTGTCAGTAACGAACGACGTTATCACCGTTCCGGAAGCTGATTCAAGTTAACGTCAGAACAAAAAGGTTGAAAAAGAGCGGGGGCTTACCTGTGGTTACGTATGTCGAAGTCACGGTTATGTACGACGTGAAGCTCGTAATATAAGTGCTTATGCTAACTTTAGTGATCTCAATCGTAGTCGGAACGGTGACGGGGATTGTGACAGGGCTGGTGTAGATGGAAGTCACTGGACTTGTATAGATTGAAGTAACAGGCTTCGTTTTGGTGATGGTTTGGGTGAACGTCTTGTAGATTATTGTTGGTTTGATGACTGTCGTGGTACTGGTAATGACGCTCCCAGATGCTGTGGTTGTGACAGTGGATATTTGGGTGATATAGCTGGTGTACGTGCTAACTTGTGTCGTTATCGAAACCAGAGTGATCGCGGTCGTAGCCCAAGATGTAATATCTTTAGTTATCTCAGTCGTGACATCTTTAGTGACATCTTTAGTGACATCTTTAGTCACTTCCGTTGTTTCTTTCTCAGTTGTCAAGTCGATCTACATATGTGTTAGATGATCAAAGGTCTATTGTAGAAGCAATCGGATGCAAGTGAGATGATTCGACAAAGGATTGGATGGCGATACTCACCTCCGTGGAATATACTGTAGTTGTGTCTGTCTTCGTTTCTGTCTAAGAAAAGAGTCAGCATTGTTACTTTAATGGAGCAGATGACAGGGGTAATGTCTATAGTATGTTATCACATAACGTGGAAAACGACTAGAGAAGAGTGTGTCTATCAAAGCTCTTGCTGGAATTAGGGAGACCGCCAATAGGACGCCACTCGCTAACCCAAAATACCTTTGTCATGCTCCACGTTAGGTGAGAAGATACAGTAATGTAGATACACCAACACGCAATTCTCGAGAATTTAAAGGCCCAAGACAAGGCTAATTAACACTCCGTAAATAGACTCAACAAGAGACAACCAGATACGGATTTCGAATGATGAAAGGAGAAGGAGCTCAAGTACCTTAGTGTCTGTAATCGTCTGCAACTAGTTAGCGAACCGTTTGGAGGAAAACGTGGCAGGGGAACATACAGAAGTATCATGCTCCGTTTTCGTCTCATAACATGTCTATGAAGGGTAAGTCTTGTTTCTTCTGATGAGGATTAGAGAATCTCAGCCTTACCGTCGTTGTTGTCTCTGTTTTTGTATCCGTCTATAAAACCTTAGCATACACGTCAAGCGATTGAGAGGGTGAGGCAAGGTCTCACAGTGGTATCATGCTCTGTTGTGGTATCCGTCTGTCAAGATTAGCAAAAGCAGCATGAATTTAATGAATCACCCACCGTGGTTGTGGTATTATAGTAGATTAGAGTAGAGAATAAGGTTGTGGTATTCCAGAGAGTTTCGTAACAGGTAGTTGTACTCGTCTTTGTCGATGTTACATAACATGTTTCTGTTGTGGTATGATCCAGAGTGATAGTGTGTCCGGGACATGTTGAGACAGGATACGACGGTGGCGGGGTTGATGTTGTCTTCTTGGTTGACTTATCCTTTCCTTTCAGGTTATCATCCGAGCTGGTTGGTGGTGTCAGATTCAAGGCAGCGACAGAAACATTCTGAGCGGCGGCTGAGCCGATTATGGCCAGCAAAGGCCAAAGGCTTCGCATTATGTGAACGAGAGAATGCTGTGCCCACGGAACGAGTGCCAAGGGGCTGGGGGCTGAGAGTTGTTAGATATCCACGTGACGAGGGACATAGCTGGGTAAGAAAGGGTTTCGCAAGGGCGGAATATATAAAATTGGTTGGGTAGGACTAAGGGACAAGGAATTGAGCACAATGTGATACAAAAAGCGGAGCCTTGAGATTGAGCGGGGATAACTACACCATTTCCGATGATGATAACACCAATACGGACTAGGATAGATTAGAAACTCACCACAAACAAAACGACGGGCTACGGACCAAACCTGAACGAAAGAGCAGACAAAAGAATGCAGCGGCGGAACGCGTGACTATAAGAAGGCCTGCTGCGAGAGAGCAGGCTGCAGAGTTGGGTAGCATATCATTGAGCTGGCGGGGGCTGGGGGAGGCAAGCTTGAGCCGATAGAGCTGTTTACCAGGGCAGAAGTAAACATCCAAGGCCCGAGCGGAGGTCTGCAAGCTGGAAAGCAGAATGGGCCATCCAGCTCCCTCCCGCCCGGTGTTTTTTCCGAAGGCGGCGAGTGGTTGAAGGAGTATACAGCCTCACTAAGCTTGATTGGAGTAAAGGTACCCTCGGCAGAGTGATATGCTGAAGAGCGCCACGGGTGGGATAACGTGAGAGGCGGAGAGACAGGTTCCAAGAGTGGCTCGAAATGCGGGCAGAATACGGCGTAGCACTCGGTTCTTGCCTGGTAGGCTCCGTCGGACATGGGAGAGACCTTGAGAGTGAGGGTGAGGGTGGCCCAGAAATACGTCCTGAGCCCTACGCATGGTGCCTGCTTATATTGATGAATGCAAGGGCCGGAACTAGTTAGAAGAATACCAAGAAGGGATTAGAAAATGCAGCCGGTCATCGACAGAGTGATTGATGATGCGTGACGTTGGCGCCGGGCACTGCGGGCAGAGTGTTGATGGTGGGCCGGCGGCACAGCTCGACGTGCATTCGTATCGACTTTTGGGGCCAAAGAAGTGGGGAGATGCCCTGGAGCAGGCCAGTAAAACGGCCCGCCCATATCCTTGCTCGCACAATGAAGCCTCAATTGCTTGCTTGCATTGGATGGCGGGGAGAGGTGGTGACACAAATCAATAGCTGGCGGATCTATTCTAGGGACGTTTGTTGCTCGAATGTACGGTCGTTATTAACCTTAACTTACGCTTTTACACGTGAGCATCCGAACTGGTGGTTCAGAAAGCGGGGCAATGAGTGGCGCCAGAAGCGCTGAGTAAGCACGGAGCCAGATCCGATTCTGGCGATAAATGACCAGGAATTAACGCCTCCAATGTGAATGCCGCTCTTCCAGCCACCCCACCACGAATCCTTCATGCAACCTCATCCATCTGGCCGCATCTCACATCGAGCAACCGAATGCACACCCTTGCCTTCTTTTGTGCTCCAATGATATCCCAATAAGACTGCCAGTATTGGCACAGATTGTGTCGGCTACGTCGGCTGAGCCGATGCTGTCCAGTGAACTGCTGCCGCGCCTGTAGGTGCTCCAAGGGCTCCCTTTGGACCCTATCAAGCTCATGCTCCGCTGTGGCACGGTGGATGGTCAAAAGAAAGAAGGCCCAGCCTGCATGGTTCTCAGAGCTCTTCCTCTATTCCCGCCTCGATCGATGCTTCGTGTCGTGGCATGACACGATGGCTTTCTACTGCTGAGAGCTGACGCAGCATGGCTTGACCGGAGCTGTTCGATACCTGCATCCAGCTTAAGCTCACTCTATCTTCACGAGGCTGTTAAAATTTTGTCATCACAGCCCAAGCTCTGTCTTACCCACCAACTCGCCGCATTCACGTCACTATTGTTAACTCCGTCTATCGTTTCGTCTTCCCTCTGTACTCGTCATGCTCCATTCCCTACAATGTTCTTCCAACCGCGCGCTGAAAATGAGACGACAATCCCCGTACCAAAAGTCCTAACGACGGGCGGATTCGACGGCAATGATGGCCAGTGGACTTCCTTCATTTTCAACATCGGCAGTGACGACAATGGCCAAGGGGGCCAGGACTTCCGACTCCTCATCTCGACTTCGAGCCAGATGACCGTAATACCGATGCAGGCAGAATGGTGTACAGTACCAACCGAGGATGAATGCGCAAAGGCTCGCGGAATCCAGAACTTTCAATCAAAACAAAGCCGAGGCTTTGATTCAGTAGCCGCGAAGACATGGAAACAGTACGGACTTTATGATATTCCGCTGAAATCGTTTCTAAACATCGAATGGACCCCAGACAGCAAAGTAAACGGATCGTACGGTCTCGCAAATGTTGGGATAGGACCCACTTCGCCTCAGAGCTTGATGTTGCCATCTGAACTCGTCGCCCAAGTGAACAGTAAAGACCTTTTCATGGGATCCTTTGGACTATCGAACTCCGCGATAAACCCTGGCAATGGACCAATTGCTCCTTTCTTAGTAAACTTTAACGGGTCTTCAATTCCGAGTCAATCGTATAGTTACACAGCAGGCGCCTCATACCGTGAGTCCCGCTCCTATGCATTTGCCGATCTCTTCCTTCTCTGGGACCCGCTCTTGTATAACCGGTTGATATCTTCATCCTTGTCGCTAATCGAGTCGGAGTGCTAAGAAAAGTATTATTGTCACTAACTAGACTTAGGGAACAACAGTAAAGGTGTTCCCGGAAGCGCAATTCTAGGAGGACGTGACGAGTCGCGTTATACTACCGAAGGGACTTCGATACCTTTCCCTAATGCTGGCAACCAAACGCTAGTTGTCGGAGTACAGGACATCAACTTCAGGCCGGATCATGATATTGACTCTAATGAATACTCACTGATGAACGGGACCCAGGGATTCTTCGCCGTCGTCGATTCTAATCTTCCATACCTCTTCCTCCCCAACACCATCTGTGATCGGTTCAAAGAGAGTTTTCAACTAGATTATGACTCGAAAGCGAACATGTATTGGGTCAGCGAATCGGCACATGACTATAACACACGACAGAATGCTACCGTCTCTTTCAAGATTGGCAAAGACACAAACAGCAAGCAATTTACTTCAATTGTCTTGCCATACGCTGCACTCGACCTCTCAGCAGGGTTCCCACTAAATGGATACAACAACAACACGGGGAGGAGATTCTTCCCTATGAAGCAATCATCGACCGGTGTCTTTGTCCTTGGTCGATCCTTCCTCCAGGAAGCATATCTCACTGTAGACTATGAGCGCCAAAACTTTAGCCTAGCCCCAGCTTACTTTTCCGACCCTATGCCCCCCACTCGTATCCAACCCATCTTGTCGACGAACTATGTTGCTCCGAAAGAGTCACCTTCAAATTCACCTTCGGGAGGTGGAGGTGGAGGTCTTGCTCCCGGCACCGTTGCTGGAATTGTTGTCGGCATCGTTGTCGCGTTCCTCCTCGGGGCACTCGTAGCGTTCCTGTTCTGGAAAAAGAAGCACAAACAAAAGGCCGCTGAACAAAAGGCCGCCGAAATCGACACTGTGGACGCCGGAAATGAAATTAAGCACCGCCGCGTCTCAGAACTAGACGGTGAGCCTCCGGGATCTCCAAAGCCTGATGGTGGATACTACGGCCGGGATCAAAAAGATGGTGTAATACCATTCCCACCGCTGCATGAGGCCGTTGAAATGGACAGCCCTCCAGCTGAATTGTACAGCCCTCCAATAGAAAGCGGAGGATTCTCGTCACTTTCGGGGCAAACAGAGGGTACGGATTACTTCGGGGCTGGGGGAGCTCCTCGACGACGTGGCGCAACAAGAGAGTCATCAGGGAAAAACACACCCGCGATTCCCGAGAACCGGGTGCACGAGTTACCGGGCGACGATGGGAAATTTATGATTCAAGGAGAGCATTTTGAAGAGGTTCTAAGCCCGAATCAAAGCCCCGGCCATAGTCGCGGTCCTAGTGAAGCAACTGCACAAACGGGGATAGACACGGTGGTCTCCGCTCCTGATGCAGATGCTCCCGTCCGTCGACCAAGTCAGCATATTCGAGGTCCAAGCGATGCTCCGACTGAAAGCACTGCGGTCTCAGAGCCCACAGCTGAGCAGAGGGAAGCCTGGGCCCAAGACACGGGACCTAGGAGACCGCTATCTGAGTAAGGGCAATATCGTGTTTTTAAAGAGATGGATGGGATACACATAGAGGAATTGAAAGGGAAAAATGTGACGACGGGATTATTTTCTCTACTTGTCTTCTATTTTTGCCTTTGGGCACTGGGCATGAAGAATGAAGGTGCTTAGCTATTCAGGAGTTTTATTTGGGGTTAAGGCTGATTGATACCCCACACGCTCGCTTTCAACTCTGTAAACATAGGTGGAATTTTGTAATGAGTTTCGGCTTCGGCTCAGCAGATGTAGTTTGCTTTCTTTCAGTTCGCGAGCCCAATAATTCAGTTACTGTCTGTCATGAGTGCCTCCAATGATGCAAATGTTCGCGACTCAAAATGCTCCCAAAGTTCATTCTTTGGTTCTCAAATAACTCGACATCAACGCTTTCTTTCCAGTAATTCTTCACTTGTCGGAACATTGACACTGGCTTCAAATTCTATCCAGTCTCCATCGCGATGAACAGTACGTATGTACATTTCGCATCCCAATCATCTCTCTCGCGCGACAGATTTTCAATCCCATTCACAACTCTCACACCTCGGCAATAGTTTGCTCACACCCCAACTCCACCCGAGCACAAACCTGGCAGTAAGAGCCAGTATCCAGGCCCCCCCCTCCACCCGCACCCTGGCCCGCCCAGCCTCGTCCTTTTCCACTCATCCTTGTTCGCCACCCATCCCATCCCATCTCATCTCATCTCATCTCTGAGAAACCTAGGCAGAACTACGCCGCAATCGCACATCCAGTGCACAAGCCAACATCTGCGGAGGCCGATCTACGCCTTAGCCGCTGTATCCGTTAATCTTTTCCCTCAAAGCTCAATTGCACGTCGATCTGTGAGCGAGGCTGCGGCAAGGTACTACATGCGCTGCACTTTGCGGGAAAGTAGGTGCATGCGGCACAGTAAAGGCTGGGAATAAGTGGGCACGATCGCCTGCCCGTCAGACACAGGCCAAAAGAGGTGTTACAAGCCAGGGGAGATAGTGAGAAGGTTGTTTGGACCTCGAGGACTCCGGCTGGGTCCGACGGTCAAGCTGCATGCGGGCTTGGGTGAGGACGCCGTGTTCTGCGGCTGCCCAGACAGAAGTCAGCCTGAATGGTGCCGCCTGTCTCGGCACTTGCACTTGCACTCTTCACACTCGTTGTACCCGCTGCCTAGAGAGAGTTGCGGATTAGTGCATTGATGGCCGGGACCTTACGCTAAGGTGCCACCAGTCCACGTGCACTAATATCGTCAGCCAACACCCGTCTTTCCCTGGGCACCTTCCTTCCTCTACTAGTCCAGCGCCGCACAACCGCCCTCCTTGAACTATCCCTCCATCCATTCATCCTGATGTCGAAAAAGGCAGCAAGGCAAACCAAGATCCGTGTACGTTCCAATACATTACAGTACAATACGATGCTACCTAATACCTGATGCTGTGGATCGAGATTAAAAGCAGTATGAGAGTAGTCTGGAAGAAGTTTGAAGTGGTATGAACAGATCAGAAGCAGAAAGTGGTGAATAATATCTCGTCCGAAGCGCCGAATCGAGACTAGAAACTGGGGAATGCTGGACAAACTCCGGTCCTCATCTCCCCTCGTTCGATTGTTCGTGCTTACCCGTCCTCGCCGCAATATAACAAAACATCCATAAGAACAAGACATATCACAGAAAAAACTAAGGCCCGCTGATCCATGCGGCTTAGACTAGCTGGAAGAAGCTGTGCCGCGATAAAAGAATCATCTAAGATATGTAGTCCAATCTTGGATCGAGCATTTTTCGCCAGCTACCCATGTGACGTGAGTGAAAAGAGACCCCAAAACTCCTGTACCCGAATTTCTGGATGTGGCCTCGCTAGGGTATATGCATGCGGCTTGCCGCAGCTCACTCTCACCCAACGGAAGTGATGTGACGTGTTATGTTCAGCGCATGGATCACCACGCGCTTGTAACGACATTGAGAAATGTCGACAGGCACCAGAACGACGTCAGGTCACTGTACTCGAGTTTCGCCGTTCTCGCTCGCGTTCGCGTTCGCGTTCTTGTTGCTGCTGTGTAGAAATAGTAGAAGTGACGACCTGGATAGGCCACTGCATTGCTCGTAGCCAGCTGGGATCCACAATCTCTGAAATAGCGCCGACAATGCGCTGAGCCCAACCACTCATAAACCAGTGAACAGACTCGGCCGCATATAAGATGGTAGCGTAATACGCGAGGATGGCAACGGCAACCGGTTCTTTTTGGCGGAGCATGTTGAGATAATTCACACTGAGCTTGGATGGCCAGATGAACATCATTCTTAGCTCTCGGCTGTCCAGATACGGCCCAGCAGTGACTTGCGTGAACTCTTGGAATGTGATTATCGCGCTGACGCACTCTGTTCGGACATCTTCCTCTATATCTTCTGTTTGAATTAGAGTGAGAAGGTCATTAATGTGGTGGCAGGATTCGTCGAGGATGGGGAGGGGAGGCATTATCTCTTTAGACCCATGGTTGGAAACGAGGATGCCAATTGGGTGCTTTGCGACAATAGGAGCATACGAGGAAAGGATGAAGTGCATGCCCTGCACTAGAGCGAATACGTCGAGGAGATCGTCGATGGGGGATTGTAGGTTCGAGCGTGAAGCGTCTAACGCGTTTGCTGCCAATACGGTCAAGAGGACGAGGCTCGAGGTAGCAAACAGTGCGGGAGCATCGTTTTCTGGTGTCATGCTGGGGAGAAACTGCCTCATGGCTCGAATGGCAAGGTCTTGGTGGTGTGTACCAAGGGCATAGTATCCTTTCCGCTGACCGGGGCAAGAGTAAGCCATGTGTAGTGCGGAATAGGCTAGGAGCTCGTGCATTAGAAATTGGTGGATAATTGCTTGCTTAGGGGCTGTGTTCTGCCACATCTGCCGGACATCTTCTCTACTTGATAACGTAGTATATGCTTCAGTGGTCCAGTGGTGCCTGAGGTAGCGTTCAGTATACAGCGATGCTTGAGAGCCAGTGGCTTTTAGGGGTTGGTCCCACATTAACTCTAAGTCGCGAACCCAGTAGTTTGGCTGGGTGGACTCGGATCCATTAAGAAATTTAGTCAGGTACGGAAAAGGATCGTGACTCGAATGAGAGGATTCGACATCGGATGTCCCTGCGGTCGGTGCCGGCGATGGATTCAGCACGTACTCTATGGGCAGTGATCTTGGGGTCGGAACTTGGGAATTCTGTGTAACTGCTTAGTACACTCACTTATCAACGGATTTTAGAGATATTTAGCACACCTTTCTTGATATTGTTTTTGACGCTCGACGCCGGGTAGTTCCATTGCTTGGTTCTTGCTTTATGAGGGGTGGCGCTGGAGAATTGGGATCCCACGTGATTAGGCTGCACTGGACACCATGACGGGCACAGCTCGAGCACGGCTTCTGCTCGTCACACTGGACGTTAAGAACACTCAGTCAGCCTTTCGTTGGAATGAACAAATATCGTGACCTATTCCAGCGCCATGGTACCGAGTCTTAGGAACGTAGTGGTATGGACCACCGGGTAATGCTCTAGGGACGGGCTCACCTTAACGTGTCTTGCCTTGCACTGCCGGCAACCGTTCCTGGACTTCTTGTGGCCTAAACGGGGCATCTGGAGGGGACCCAGGATCAACCGGGTCAATCACACGTCGACAGGCCCCGAGATGAGAATCCGATGGGATGCACGAGCGGCTGGCTTTGGACAGAAAAAACTCCGGTTTGCGGGTTCAATCATGAGCTGTCTGCGAAGAGAAAGCGAATGCGAACAATTCACAAATATGGAGGGGGCTGCGGGACTTGGAGGTGTCCAGGGGGCGGTTCAGACGAACAGCGCCCACTGTTCCAGAGAGAAAGCCACGGTCGCGGATTGGTGGGCTTTAGGCGGCCGCGACGACAAGACCATGCGCGCCGTGTCGTTAACAATAATGCCGAGCGAATGGGAAACTGCTCGTGGATTTAAAGTATCCGATGGAGACTTGCGAAACACAACAAGACTGGAGGGTCGTCGAGACAGTGTCGCCGGACTGGCGAAAGGCTCTGAGCTTGTAGAATTGCAAGGCGTTTTGTTATCGCCAGGGCTTGATTTTGCGTTCGCAATTGGCTAGATCCTGAGGAAGGCACTTTTCATGACGACGGATTGTCGGCACAGATTCCAGTAGTTAAAGAGAGCGAATTGATGAACTGATGAATCATGACTGGACAATGAGTAGGATGAAGCATCAGTGCTGGAAGGTTAGATTGTTGAATCTGAGGTCCAGATTGTTGTCGACGCCCGGACTTCGTCAGGGCTTCGCGGCCCGGGAAGTGAAGAGCACGGTCTCTATCACGTGAGAGCCGTCTGAAAGTTCCCTTCTTTATCTTTGTTGGGAGCACACAGATCATGGAGGACCGAGTTAATTGTTAAAAGGAGCGTATCTGAGAGTCTATACCACAGGGGAGCGAGCTAGGAAATATGATACTGAGCAGGCAGCATATAACTATCGCAGGCAGCGAGTAACTTTTCCAGGTAGTAGTCGTAACTACAAACAGCCCTCGAGCCCTTGCGCAGAAGACGAGGACAATTGAAGGGCGGCTGGGAAATCGCTCCACCCCGCAAAAAAGAAAGGGCGGCCTCGGCTCGCGAGGCTCCAGGATCACCACCCCGTCTCGTCTTCGCCTGGTGCCATTCGCGTGCACCTGCCCATGGATCGGTTGACACCTTCCTTGACGATCCATCGTGCTGTCGAAAGGAATACGGATAAAGAATGGCGGTGTCATTTTCACCTCCTCTCTTGTCGCGTTTTGCGTTTCTATCTGGTCTTGAATTTGCGTTGATGGAGATGCGTTAAAGCCATGCATTGAAGTCAGCCCATTTCCGTGCAGTCATTCCGTCCTAATTCCGCGTATTCTATTGAGCGTTAAGCATGGGAACTGCAGAGCTCCCTTCTGAAGCTGATTCCACCGTTTCAGAAGCCATTGACTCGCAGCAAATCCAACCGTCTCCCCAGGATGTTAAAAAAGAGGATATCGAAAAGCAGGATGCTCGAGGAATTGAAGAGAAGGACGACAATAGTGGTGGTGGAGATGGGGATAGCTTAAACCTCGTGGACTGGGATGGCGAAAACGACCCTCACAGGCCGGTCAATTGGCCAAATGGGAAGAAGGCGAAGAACATCATAGTCATATGCTATTGCACATTCCTAACGTTCGTTCTCTCCGTTCAAATGCATTTGCATCTCGGTATTGGAGAGCTAATAGCTTTTTCAGGCCTTTGGGTTCGACGATGTTCGCCCCAGCAATCGCAGATGTAATGGCAACATACCACTCCTCAAACCCACTGCTAGCCTCCTTTGTCGTCTCCGTCTGGGTATTAGGTTATTTCTTCGGGCCCCTGTTTCTCGGACCGCTGAGCGAGTTGTACGGAAGACTCCCCATCTACCTAACCTGCAACGTACTATTCACCGTGTTCAACATCGCCTGCGCGGTGTCCCCTAGTCTCTCCGCTCTCATCGTCTTCCGCTTCCTTGCGGGGACTTTTGGAGGATGTCCGATTACCATCGGCGCAGGGACATTCGGCGACCTCATCAAACCAGAGAATCGCGGGAAGATCATCGCAATATGGTCTCTGGGGCCGCTCATGGGACCAATCCTCGGTCCCATTGCAGGTGGCTACATGGGGCAGAGCATCGGCTGGCGATGGATATGCTGGGTTCTCGCCATCGCATCTGGTGCCGGGGCACTCGCATCTTTTCTCCTGCAAGAAGAAACCTACCCACCAACGCTCCTGGACCGCAAAGTCGTGCGACTGAAAAAGGAATCCGGAAACCCGCATCTCCGCACAGCCTTGGATCTTGATCGAAAAGCATCGCATGTTTTCGCGCACGCCATCATCCGCCCTCTTCGCCTTCTCTTCCTCTCCCCAATCGTTGCAAGCCTTTCCCTTTACCAAGGCGTCATCTACGGCTACATGTACCTTCTCTTCACCACCTTCCCGCTTGTCTTCCAATTTCAATACCACTTCAGCCAAGGCACAATCGGGCTAACCTACCTGGGCATGGGAATTGGGTCTTTCATCGGGTTGTTAATCGGGGGGATAGTGTCAGACCGTCTTTTAAAGAAACTGGCAGTCCACGGTCGGTTTAAACCAGAGTATAGACTCCCGCCGCTTATCCCGTCGTGTTTTTGTATTCCCGTGGGACTGTTTTGGTATGGATGGAGCGCACAGTCGAAGACACATTGGATTGTACCAATTATTGGAACAGTTGTTATTGGCATTGGTGTGAATATGCTATTTGTGAGTCTCTTTCCTTCTCCTATATCTTTCTCCTTCTTCCCTTCTATCTCTATATACCTCTTTCTCTTTCCCACTCCCTCTCTTCTTCTTTCTCTCCGCTTATTTTCATCCATCTTCCCCATTCCCCCTTACTCTTTTCCCCCTCCTTCTTTCTCTTTCCCTCTTTCCCTCCCCCTCCCGCCCTTCCTTTTAACCCTCTCTCCTCCATTCCCCTTCCCCCGCCCTCCCAGCCAACCCCGCTAACCCACCTCCACAGATGTGTGTCGCAACCTACTTCATCGACGCGCACCCCCTATACGAAGCCTCCGCCATGGCGGCCTCCACAGCCGTCCGCTCACTCATCGGCGCGCTAGTCCCACTCGCTGGCCGCTCTATGTACGAAGCCCTCGGATTAGGATGGGGAAATTCGTTGTTAGGGTTTTTGGCTCTGGCTATGTGTCCGCTACCTTGGGTATTTTGGAAATATGGGGAGAGGATCAGGACGAATCCTAGGTTTCAATTGAAGTTGTGAGATGGAGGGGTGAACGGAAGGGTAAGAGTAGCGTGGGGGATGTAAAGTCAGAGTGTGAAAAGGCCAGGAGAGTCTTTTTATAGGCTTCTTTCTTCATGTGTTTAATCTTACAAGTGCAATGCGTGTCTACAATTCGATCACTAGGTCATATTAATCCATTCCCAGGATACTTGAGATGACCTACCGCAAACGCCGAAAACATGAATCCATGCGCCTGTACAATGCTAATTATGTAATTGCGAATTGATGTATATCCACACAAAGAGAGCATCCCGTGATATATATACTAGCGTTTTACAACAAGCGAAGCTGAGTTGATATTCGAGAATTGTCAAAATGTCAGCATATCCACCCTAACCCTCAAAACCAGACAGACACACAAGCCCTCTGCTGTCTAACTAAGCAACTCCTTAATATCCTCAATCCTCTGTACCCTCTTCTCTTCATCACTCATCATACCCAGAGAACTCGCACTATACCCCACATTAGCCTCACCTCATATACACAAATCAGGAATAGGGGAATCACAAACTCACATAAACTTCTTCCTCTCCTGAATCCTCAACATCTTCTCTTCAATACTACCCTCAACCACAAACCTAACAATATTAACCTCGCTCTCCTGACCCATCCGATGCACACGATCAATAGCTTGCGCCTCAACTGCGAAACTCCACCACGGATCCATCATAAATACTCGCTTTGCACAAGTGAGATTCAGCCCGACGCCTCCGGCCCGTAGGCTGAGCAATAGGACGTAGGGTTTATGTGAATTTGCGAACTCGGTGAGAACGGTCGCGCGAAGTTTTTGCGGCATTGTGCCGTCGAAGCGGAGGAATGGGATGTGGTCGCGACGCAGGGCGGGTTCGATGAGGTCGAGGAAAGATGTAAATTGCGAGAAAACCACAGATTTAGTTTTCTTATCTTCTTTTCTAATCGTTTTAAGATGCGTAAGAAGAGCTTGCGTTTTTGCTGATCCCGTGATACCAATTCGTCGGAGAGAAACCCGTGGAGTCTGTGATACCGCCGGGGGACTCGATTCTCGCGAATCGCTACGGAGGTTGCTCTCGTCGTCATCGAAATGCTCATGGCGTACGACTTCGAAGACATCGCGTGCATTAATGGGTTCGCGGCAGTTGAAACAGCGAGGGACGATGTTTTTGTCGCGCTGGTGGTTGATGTAGTTTAGAAGGCATTCTTTGCACGCGCTGTGCCAGCACCCAGTAACTGCTTGCTCGTTCATTGGTTCTTCGGAGCAAATGGGACACTCGCTATCCGCTTCGTCTTGGATCTGCTTCAGGACATGAGCGCCGAATGTGTTGACGTCCTGGTCGCCTTCGGAAGAGAAGCGTTCAATGAGAGATTGGAGATCCATGTCGTCCGCTAGACCGTTTGCGAGATCGGATGCCAGTGCCGCATCTTCTTCGTCAGCGACGATGACCTGCTTCCGGGTCAGTATAGGATGGCAGCAGGACTGCCGAAGACGGAGAATCTGAGCAAAGATGGTAGTGTAGGATTTCAAAAGCGTTCCCGCCTCAGCGTTAGCATTGAGCACGCGCTTTGCTCGCAGAAAGATATGATCGTACACATCCCTCTCATCCTGAGAAAGTTGAATCTTGTCAATTACGATTGTGCGGGGAGGAAGGGGTACTAAAGCTTCGCCATCGGGCGTCTTCATATCCTTCGTTCGGCGGAGGACGAGGGGCTCGAGTACAGTCTGGACAACATCAAGGGCTCGAATGAAGTCTTTTGACTCAAAAGGCACAGTGATGAAAGTCTTCCAGAATGAGAAGTTACTCCAAGGTTCGACCTTAAGGAAGCGCACCAGGCTAAACAGATCCTCAAGTCTGTTAACGATAGGCGTGCCCGTCAGTACCCAGCGGTGTTTTGCGCTGAGCTCGTAGCAAGCCTTTGCTGTCTTCGACTGTCTGTTCTTAATGAAGTGGGCTTCATCCAGGATGATTCTGAAGTAGTCCAGAGAGAAGAGCCCTCCATGCGAGCCTCGATTGCCCTCCATCGCAGCAACCTGGTTGAACTCTGACAGGATCACTCCATAGCTGGTGATGATGACATTGGGTGCGTTGGCCGCATTGGCTTCACAGCACAGCTTCTGCAAATTTGCGGACTTCTCCGAGCCATAGTAGACCATAACCTTCAGAGTGCCGGCCTTAGAAGCCTTTTCGGCTTCACTTTGCCACTGGGCGAGGAGAGACATAGGCGCCACCACTAAAGTGGTATATGGGGCACATTCGACCTCGCTACTGTTTTTCGGAAGCCTGGGAAGACCGTTCAGGAAGCCCGAGTCATGGTCTGTAAGCTCTGTCCTGTGCGTATGAATAAGACTGAGCATTTCAATAGTTTTGCCCAAGCCCATTTCTGTCAATGCGTGTCAGCACTTGCTGCAATTGTAAAGATCTCAAATTCACTTACCATCAGCGAGAATACCACCGAGACAATTCTGCTCTTGTTTCGGAAAGTCCAGGGAGAGTTCTCCCGAATACGGGTTGACGTAGAACATCGCCTGGTTGTCAACAATAGGAACAGGCATATTGTCAGCATCCTGCGACGGCCATTCATACTCTTCCCACAACGGATGCATGGAGGCTTCCTTATGCTGCAGCACCTCGTCTTTTTCTTTTCCGACCATCCAGTGGAGGGCCTGTTTCTGGTACTTCCGCAAGTCCAATACAAATGTTTCGGCAGGATCCATTTCGGGGGTATTGAAGTCGAAAGACTGAGCTTTCTTGTACAGGGAATCCAACTGGTCCTGTTCAAGCTCTTGCCCTTCCTCCGCCTCTTCAGAGGGTGGCGAGGAGCTAGGCTCCGTAGTTTCTGCATTCTTTGACATGGGTTTTTGGTCGTACTGCTCGGCAATTTCGGCTGCTTGAAGCAGCCCTTGACGCTTATGCTTCTCGGTCGTTGTGTTGACGCGGGAGGGCTGCAGACTGATGGCCTCGAAGAGCTTCACCAGCGCAACCTGGCGCTGCCGCAGATCTCGCTCGGCCTCGCTTTCTTTTGACTCGAAGAACGAGGTCTCGCGGTTGCTATCCATCTTGAAATTCTTTCGCTTGTCGAAGGCACTCCGGAGCAAGTGACAGCGGAGCTGCAGATAGATTGTCTCACTGGTCCGCAGCCTCTCTGGAGCATACACACACGTTCCTTCGAACGAGCACACCTTCTGATCAATCAATGACGAGATCCAAACGGCCGAGTCGTTCTCTAATCTTCCCACCTCTTCGCCTCTGTCGTTGGTAAACCTCACGATGATGTCTTGTTTTTTGAGCTGCACCGCTCGTATACGACCGCCTTTTCCAACTTTGCCAGCCGGGGCATGTACCTTTGTGCGTTCAATAGCGATTTTTTCGTCGTGTCTAATCAAGCCCCTTCCACTTTTTGTTGCCCATCCGACCACGCCGAACGAGCCAATATATCGCATTTGGGGCATTGCCTTGAGGGAAGGAAGGAGAGGGGTTGAAGCACCAGAAGAATCAGGGGTGGGGGGGTTGGATAGCTCGGAGGGCTGTCTACCGGGGCCATTGCCCAGTGTCATTTGCAGCGAAGACTGACGAGACGGAGGGATGACAGAGGGAGCTTGGGCAGGGACTGTATTCCACGAGCCATCGAGGTAGATGTTTATTGCTAAAAAAGAGTCAGTCCGAGGCTTTCCCAAGTGTAGAGTCACACACCTCGCTGCACATCGTTCCCACTCATGCTCTTCAGCGTCTCCAAGACGGACGGGGGTACCTCCCCCACGACTGCCTGGAGTAGGCCGACATCGAAGCCATCAATGTTTGCTCCAACGCGACCCTCTTCGCCACTAGACGTGTTTTCCATCAGGCTGGCAGCATCGCCATGTGGGGCTGGCAGCGGCGACGCGAACTCTGGCGTGCGGGCTCGCGGAGAGCTGTGGTGATGTGAGCGGACGGCGATGGGCGACGAGTCTTCAGCAAAGAAGCGGCGCTTTTTCAGCGGCCTCTCATCAAGGTCGGTTGAGTCCATCATGGTGGTGCTGGTGTGCGTGGGACTGGTGTAGACTTTCCGTTGAATTGAGGCGCGTCGCCGCCAGACACGCTTTCGCGGCCGTGCCTGCCAGGATCTCCGCCATAGCGTCATGCGCTAGGCAAGCCTCATTCACTCGAAAATCGCTCTGCACTCCAACCACTCCGTCGCCTCCCATGTATTTGTACCTGTGTAGCTGTGTAGTGCCTGTTTGCGATTCCCTCGCTATTCTTCTAGTCTAATTAGGATTCTGCACCATGGTCTCAGGCAAACTAGCATAGTCTTCGTGGCCTCCTTCAAGTCTCCTCCAATGTCTTCAAGCCTTTCCCCAAAGCTCCTGCCAGTCCTCGTAAGGCGCAACCCTCTACCCCTCACAGCCCATACTACGAGAGAGATGCATTCAGCTTCGCGACTTATGAATTCTGCAAGCCCGACCGGCGAGGAAATTTTCAAGGCGAGAGGCTATTGCGCACATCTCCTCCGGTATGCTCAATCCCCCCCAATGTTGTCAGCCAGCTCACCTCCACTCCTAGAAAATACGACTCGCCCTCCTACATCCTCTCGATTTTCATTCCGCCACCCTGTCGTGATGCCTACCTCGCCATCCGTGCCTTCAATATCGACGTTGCACGAGTTGCCGACGAAACGAGCTCCCCCACCATTGGTATGATGCGCATGCAGTTCTGGAAGGATGCAGTGACCAAGGCTCTGGCTGGTTCTCCTCCAAAGGAACCCGCGGCTATCCTCTTGGCTCAAGCTGCCGAGGAACTCCACTATCGCTCAGGTGGGAGCTCGCGGCTGAGCAAGAACTGGTTCCTGCGCATCATCAACACACGAGAGCAATCTCTTGGAAACCCGCCTTATCCGACTCTGTCTGCCTTGGAGTCGTATGCTGAAAACACGTACTCCATAATGCTATACTTGACACTGTCTGCATTGCCTCTAGCCTCAATCACCGCCGACCACATCGCTTCTCACATAGGAAAGGCAATGGGCATTGCTGCTGTGCTGCGAGGCATTCCCTTAGTCGCATTTCCACCAACTCGGCCTCTTAGCACTAGTAATTCTGTGACGGGATCGTCTGGGCATTTCCAGGGTGCGGTCCTGCTGCCGTTGGATGTTATGGCCGACGCAAACGTGAAGGAGGAAGATGTATTCCGGCAAGGTTCTGCAGCTCCGGGCTTACGCGATGCTGTATTTGCCGTTGCGACACGAGCGAGTGACCATCTCATCACCGCGCGGGAAATGCTCTCCAAGTTGCGGTCAGAAGGGAACTTGGGCCACGAGTTTGAACACCAAAATGACGAGAAAAATCGATACAGCCCTCAACAACTGAATGCGAGTTCTGAGGCCCAACTCGCCGATGTTGAGCGAGCCTTTGGCGTTTTCATGCCAAGCGTAGCGACGCAGTCTTGGCTGGATCGTCTTCAGAGGGTTGATTTTGACATCTTTGATGCTTCTCTCCGAACCACTGACTGGCGACTTCCATGGAAAGCCTATTGGGCGTTTAGTCGTGGAAAATTATAGGACAATGGACATCAATAGTATATCCAAACATTTACAGCGGTCGATTCCTTGTCACCCACTTCATAACCGTCGATTTGTTGAACCAGAGGCGTCCCCCAACGGCAATATTGTCTCTACGTTACTTTTTAACATCAACTAGCTGAGCCCGAAGTGTCACTCGGAAACTGAACTGCTAAGCGCATTCCATAGCTTGGCCGGCTCGAAATGTATAGTTTTCAATTGCGGGAAGTCCCGTGCGAGATTTGGGTTGACCGCTTTGGTCCAACTCGCCACCTGTGGCACTCATTTTCGTCTGGTGTTCCCTCAAAGCCATGGCGAGATCGTGGGGTTGCTCAGCTGGCGAAAAGCTGAAGTATGAGGTGGGCATGATGAATAGTGGCTTGCATACTTGGCAAGCGAACCATCAGCACAGCGACATCCCGCTCTGCGTCTGATCAGAGTGATCCCCAACTAAAATGTGTTCATCCACAGCCCATTTCAAGCATGCCGCTTCAATCTTGCCATCCCACCGAGAGCTTCACTTTTCTTCGGTTCGGGGCCTCAGTGGGCAAGGCTGTTGTGCTTCGACTCACGTGGCGAACATCATAGAGTGGCTTTGCTCCACCAGTCGGTCACTGCATGGCCAGCATGGGTCAGCATGTGAAGCCTTTCGTCAAAGAGGCGATAACCCAGCCAATCCGCCCCATGAAATATTTCTCGTCCAACATATCAAAATGGAGCTAAAATCAGGCGATAGGGCACACTATTGCGGCGCGGGTGAAGCCTCTCAGACCTGATTCTGGCCAAGCCCACTCTCTGGCCTAAAGCCTCCTGCGTGGCACCATGTATATACTGCACACCTCACGACATCAGCCTCTCAAGCTTTCCACTCATCCGGGCAGCCGTCAATGTATACCCATCTTCCTTATCCTCTGTCAATCATAATACCCACCTAATACCTGCTGTGTAACACAAGCGCATCGAATCCATGAGCTGATACAGCAATTTTGAGACTGGGCAGCCCAACATGCCGTCCTGGCTCTCTTTCGGCTTGATCGTCGCCTTGTCGACTGGTGTTCTTTCACAACAATCGAAGGACCCGTTGAAGGACTTTTGCAGGAAATTCGGACATCAAACAGCTATTGTCGATGACAAACTATACATCGATGGCGGCATTGTGAACTGGGGCCCTTTGAATCAGAACTCTCTGAATTACTCCAGTACAGTTACCGCCCCGTTAAGCTTGTATGTCTTCTAAAGCGCAGAAAAGATAAATACTTCGTCTATTCAGACCTCAAGGAAATTTCAAATGGAATGCCAACACAACACGCCAATCTGTCCAAACCGGCAGAGGTTCCTTTGGTTGAGGGTGGAACTCTTTGGGCGGATCCTGTCAACAAGTGGATTCATTTATACGGAGGAGAGTATCATGATGCTAACCCAGACGCACTTTCTTTGTGGAGTTATGATATCCTGAATAATGTGTGGAAATCCTCCGGCGTCACAAATTTCCAGATCCAACGGGTGTCATATGGAGCGGGAGCTACTGCGGAAGAGGATGGTAAGGGTTACTATTATGGCGGGTGGCTGTCTAACAGTTCGGTATTATATTTCCCATTACGTATAAGCCCAGCACTCATTGAGAAACTTAGGTCCCAGCATTTGGAGCGAGAATGCCAACTTCGAACCTGATTATATATGATATGGTCAAAGACACCTGGGCAAATAACACTGGGCCTGACTCCATTCCCCGTGCAGAAGGTGTGATGGTCTACATTCCCGCATCGGACGCTGGTATGCTTGTCTATTTTGGAGGCCTTTATTTTCCGGGCGGTCCAGGAAACTACACAGGAATTGGGGTAAGATAATTGTGTCAACTTCCTTTCGAAAATACTGACAGAAAGGTAAGATGAACATGTCTGAGATCAAGGTTTTCGATATTTCAGATAATAAATGGTATACACGTATGTAGACGTGGCCCTTTCACCCCCAAAATATGCTGATCTGGGCAAGAAACTGCAACCGGCGATATTCCCAACTCTCGCAGGAGATTCTGCGCCGGCGCCACGTGGGCCAAGGATAGATCATCGTACAACATCTACCTTTATGGCGGTGCTTCGATGCCTCCCAACACAATCGGCTTCGACGATGTGTACATCCTTTCCCTCCCGAGTTTTACGTGGCTCAAGTGGTACCCAGATGCCCCTGGACCAGGAGCACCTCACCACTCGTTGACGTGTAATGTTGTACGTGGTTCGCAAATGATAGTCATGGGCGGCACATTTCCGAATGACACGACACTGTGCGATGTGCCTACAGTGCAGGGTCAACATAACCTGAATCTCGGCAAGGAGAACTCGCTGAGTGCTAAGTGGTATCAGTACCTCGACAATGTGACTGATTACAAAGTCCCAGAAGAAATCGTTGCGAAGGTCGGAGGCCAGGCTAGTGGAGGCGCAACCGTTTTAGCACCCAAGACCTGGGATAACAATCTCTTGCCGACGTATTTCCAAAGGGCGTATACGCCCACAAGTCGAACGCCCACGAGGTCGATACCAGCGACTAGGACGCCGACGGCTACACATACATCCGCTGGGGGGAAGAAAACGCCTACTAAAGTTATTGCTGGCGCAGCCGCTGGCGGTGGCGCCGCTGTCTTGATCTGCATTGCCCTTGGTGTCTTCTTCTGCTGTATAAAGAAGGACCATCGCAGTGCCCCAACACAACCCGCGGAGCTAGAAAACACAGAGGGGGACCACACAGGGGGACCTGATGCAGAAGGGGCGGCAAAACCCTACCGAGGCCAAGCTCCACCAACACCAGTCGCCGAACTCCCCCAGGACAACGGTTATACATTTCCTCCACCGGCGTCGCCCTCGATGTACAAAGACCCAGATTACGCACATTCCCCACCATCATCAGTCCCAGGCTCGCCGCCAATCCCGCAACCATACTACCGCGATGGACGGGAAAGCTTAAATATCCCGAATCAAGTGCAGCAACCGTTTGGATACTCGCCTTCGCATTCGCCGCAACCAGTGCAAGGGGGGGAGTGGCCGGATGATTATAGGAATACTTATTATCCGCCTCCACTGTCCGAAATGAGTGCTATACGCTCGCCGCCGCCGCCGGGCCAGAATATGAATAGGAACGGAGATGAAGACGGGATATATCCCGCCCCAGTGCCGTCCGGCCTCCATAGCGCAAGAGCAAGCCCGCACCACTCCCGACAATACCCCCATGACAATGGGGGATATCGTCCAGGATTCAGCCATGGGAGAAGTCTTTCTGGCCAGACGGTGACGTCGGGCATGCCCCTAACGCCAGTCACGCCAAGGAGCTTTGGGGAACCGAGTCCGGTGGGAAGTGAGTTTGGGCAGGGCGTTAGGAGGGTGAGTCAGGCGCCTACACAGTCTTATTACGAGGGGCAGGAGCGGAGGATGTAAATGTAGCCGTGGGCGTGGGAGTAGAGAAGAGAGGGGGAGGATCAGGATTGTGCATGTACTGCGAATGAGCACAGGCATAGTCACGATCAGTATCAGTATAAGCATAGTAGTGGTATCCATGTCCTGCATTCTTCGCAATTTTGGTTCTTTTTTGGATTACCGGTTCGAGTTTAGTTTGAGTTGATGAGTGTGATCTTGGGAATTTGGGAACGGATTGGATTGTAGAGATTTTAATGTAATGCAATGTGTAATTTCTCCTTCCTGTTATAGTAGTATTGGGAAAAGATGGTGAATGATGAACTGTCTGGTTGAAGTGAGAGTTTATGTTGGATCGGATACACTAGGTGGGCGACGTAGTTAATCCGGCTCACGGGATGTACGCGATATTCCTGCTTGCGCCGGTGTGGAAGCATAGGGAGAAGGTTTTATTCAAATAATCCTTCAGAAGATCTAACATAGACATAAGATCCTCTTAGCTCACCCAGGTATTCTCTTTCGGTAACTGCCTAAACCCATAATGTCTGGCATCTACATGAGAAACTATGCATTCCAACCAGACGACCCCTTTCACTACGATCTAGAAACCCTAAATGCCCCCTTCCTCGCTTTTCTGTTCCTTTTCTGTCTTCCTTTTGAACCCATGGGAACTGTCTTTTGCTTCTTCGCAGCCGACGACTGCTCGTGGCTATTCGTCGAATTGTGTTCGTAAGGAGAGTTATTGAATGCAAAGGACGGCTTTGAGGTAGTCGATGGCTGGAGAGGGTTTTGATCATTGAGCTTCTTTTCTGCTCTTATATCTTTCTTTACGGGTTTTCTGTTGTCGTTGAAGGGAAGCTTGACAATTGGACTTTGAAAGTTGTAGACCCTGGGCTCCGGAGATGGGTTGTGCGATCGACGCCGCTTTTGGCTTTTGTTTTGAGCTAGATTTGTCGGGATGTTCGGTGGAAAGCCGCTTCTTCCCATGCCCTTGATCTGGAGACCGTTCTGTGCGACAATTTGCCCTGTTTTACAGAGATTGTTTGACAATTGGTGAGGTGCTGGGCGAAGAGGTTTGGCTCGGATTGGCTCTTGATTCCTTGTGGGGTCATTGATTTGATCGAACTCCCTCGACTCGTTTGCGTCCGGGAGAGTCGCCGATTTGACTGATCGGGTAAGCGACTGTTACAGTTACTGTACCTGACCAACACTCACTGAGCGCCACAATCAACGCAATCTTCTCCATCTGCGGGAATTCCTGGCTTTCCAGAACCTTGTTCATCAATCGCAAATTTAACAGACTTGTCATTTTTGGCCCGTTGTCATCGTAGTATGGTCGGCCCAGACTAGATTGCCCGACAAATCGCCCCTTTGTTTCGTTTAGCAAGAATCCAATGTGGGGACTGCAGTAGGAGCTGTTAGTGGGGTGAGAAGATGGTGATGTAGGTTTCAATAGGTTTAGATGGGCTGGTGGAAATATGGAGGAAATTTGGAACGTACCGTGGTGGCCGGAGGTTTGCCATTATGGGGTGCTTAGAGCCTCATTGGGGTTTCTTCTGACTTCAAGGCGAGGGGTTGGTGGGCGCACCTAGGATGTGTGGGTTACGAAACGGTGAAAGGTACCTCTTAAGTAGACGTGGTCATGGCAATGGCTGCTAATTCATGAAGATGAGAGACGGAATAGTGATTGTGAGAGATTGAGGATGAGGTCAAAGTCGCGGGGCAACCGCCTGTAGACAATCTTCGGAAAGAAAGCTCCCGAAAGAGAAAGAGCGGTAGAGCAAATCAATCACTAGTGGTCGTGATAAGATGCTGACTCTGGAAGACGCCGCTTTTCTACCTTTGCAAGTCGAAGTCACCTCCCGCCCCCTTCTCATAGAGATAAACGAGGGTGTGAAAGGATTAGAAGAAGACAAGATGACGAATGTGTAAGTCCAGAGGGCTCTCGATTAGCTGCCCAATCAACCTTGGGCTTGGCGTCTCACCCTCAGTCCACAACACATCACTTCTTTCACAACTCATACCCCCTACAAGGCTACAGAATGTATTCGACGAAAGTTAGGTGTCACAAATTCTTAGGCAACGTTGAGTATTTTTGCCACGCAAAAAGCTCGGGCGGTCTCAAACATTCAACCTTCCGCGACATATTGGGCGGCCACCACCTGGCATTGTTCCTACAAGGTCAGTAAAACACTAGTCATAATTCCTCTTCAATCTGTGCTCTGAATTTTTTCTAAAGATACTCACGTCCGTAAATGGCACTCTACAAGTCAGACTCCGCAGCCTTCTCAAATTGCACGGTGACCTCCTAGAGCGAGATGGAGACAGTTGACTAGTAGTTCTCTCCCACGACCCATCATCTTACTAATACTAAATCTTCGCAGCCAGCGTGCCCTTATTCTTCATAATAACCCACTCCCACTCTATCGCCCCGAGATGCGCCCACGTAATCACCTCCCTAACCCATGGTAGTGACATCCACCTTCGGATCTAGATGTTTCTGTCCCTAGATCCGAATCACTCAAATAATAGATAGACGGCCCTCTATTTAGAATCAAGAGACTTGTTCCATGCTTCTTTGTCAAACGTACGAAAACGCTTTAGAAAGTTATCATTTCATCATCATGGGAGTAGGTTGTTTGAAGACTAGGTCGCAGTAGACAACCCAAAAGGGGGTAATTAATGTTGAAAAGATCTAAGAGCAAAGGAGAGGGAAGGAATGACTATTCCTGCTACGGTGACGGCTCTGCATCTTAAAAACTTGTATCGTTGGTATTGATAGTGTTTACGGGCAAAGCTTCAAAACCAAAATAGGCATCGAAAAGACAAAGCGCTCGTGTACACAGCAATATGGAGCGAAGGCTTGTCGTTGAGTAAAGTCCGATTAGTTCTAAAGCTCTTTCTTTGAAGATGCCACAAATTAGAGGGGTCGATGATCTTCGTCCAAACTGTCTGGATCGTCAAATAGTGACTGCTCTCGTCCACCACACTCCTATAGTCTTCACTTCTGTGGACGGAATCGTTCCATTCCTAGTGTCATCCCCACTAAATGAGTTAAAAGGAGTTGTCGGCGAGATAACAAGAAAGAGATCCCAGATGGGAGAGACACATGGCTAGCCAGACTACCTACATATTCTGTGGAGTGGCACTGCAAGAAGATTATCGTGATTGTCTCGAAACCGCCCCTTTGGGTTCTGTGATTTCGCCGTGGATTTTCGTCAATGGATAGAGTCGATGGCTGACATTAACCGTGTGCATGAACTGGTGGGATAATAGATCATTGTTGCGACGCTACGCTACCTTGATAAGCCATTTTAGCACACTCTCAGCTTTCAGGTGACACACAGCTAGTCCATCGTTTTATACTTTCCAAATTTCCGCCACACTGACAAATGTTCTCTACATCGACGGCCAAATGGAGGAACTACCTCGCAACTATCACACTCCAATCACGGATCCGGAAACGGTACGATTTCCCATCGGGGAATGTCGAAGAACCTACTTCGAATTATTGACCTGTCAGCTACGCCAGCTATTTCCAAAATTCGTTAGCAATTTACAAGATCAAGCGCCATTGGAGTGTGAAATGGGCAGGGCTGCGGTTTTCGAGTACATAGAAGGAGTATGTTGGGAGCAGAAGGCGTTCAAGGGCTCAACATAATTGCAAGAATATCTGGAGGAGATCAGCTTATGCATGCTGTAAATTCAAGGCAAAGGCTATTCTTAGTAGAAGACATCTCGAGGAATTACATCGAAGTACGGCCCGCATCCTCCTTCAAAATGGTTTGGATTGGGGCAAAGGTTGACCTCATCCCTGAACTAACTCAATCTTCGACGACATATTTTCTATGGACCAACTCGCTCCACATCAAATCAAGGGCCCTTGGGCACCCACCGAAATAACCCACAAGCTTGTAATATATCTATTTCTCGCATTCTTGCGGCGGCGCTACCTGAATACAGTTACTCTTCAAGCCCGCCTTCTGATTAAATTGGGGCCCATAAAGCGTTGCGACAAGTTCCGGGATGTCATAGTAGGCGCACTCTCCAGCTAGCACTATAACCTTCTTCATTTCATTATTAACATGAGATCCAGAATAGACGTTGTCATCAGGGGAATCAAAGAGAACATGGTTACACTAGGTCTAAACTATAGTGGTGTTGGTGGTGTTATATATTCGATATGGGACAAAGACGGCTTGAGGGCGATCCATGAATCCTGCGTCACGATCAATGCAATGATGAATATGGATATGTTCTCACAGTTTCACTTGAAGTCTATTGGTATACAAGAAGCACAGTCGTCGAACAAAAAAGCAATTTGCTTAGCCAGGATCACGAACTAGCGATGCGATTCGTGCCACTGTCTACCATTGCTGCTATTTTTTCTATGAGCGATAAGTTCTTACCAGGAAAACGAAAAGGCTAAGTATTCTGGGCCATTTCCTTGCCAGTACTGTTTCTGACGTTTGGGTATACTTTGGAATCACGTCTCATTGTGAGGTAGCGTTGGAGAGCAAGGTGAGGTGTTCTGCGGAACGGCTAGAAAGAAGATAGGGATGTATCGTAACGATTATGCATATTTCTCTAGCTTCCTATGGCACTTCGAGCATATTAGCAATTTAGAGTTCGACAGGATGATAGTATAGTGAGCTCAGGTTCATACTCAGGAAGCGAAGTAACACAAAAGAACTTCTTTCCATAAAAGAATATCTAGACTATAGCCAGCCACTCGCAAAGCAAAATATCTATCCAACCGGCATGCTGTTATTATCTCCGAGCCAGCCTTCAAGAAGAACGAACCCCGCTCACCACAACAAAATCTTACTCATACTTCCTCGCCTCCATATATATTTGAGCATCCCATGTCCTAAAGTATATATGATATCGTGCCCTTAGCAACGACAAGGACTTGGCACCTCTCCACACGAACATACAATGTCGTCCTCCACCCCCACAATCCAGACCCTCAACCCCGATAATGTTTCCGCTCCTATGAAACCAACATATTCGCACGTCTGCATCGCGCCTCTCGGCCCCGCAAAGCTTGTCTCAATCGCGGGTCAAATTGGCATGGATGGAACGGGGGAAGTGCCGTCTTCCTTCACTGAACAAGTTCGAGTTGCGTTGGAAAATTTGAAAAAATGTCTTGCTTCAGCAGGCGCCATGCCCAAGGATATTGTCAAAGTGACGCAGTTCGTCGTAAATTTAGATGCGACAGAGTCAACAAGAGGAAATTTGTGGTTGGAGTTTGTCGGAGAGCATAGACCGCCGAGTACTTTGGTTGGCGTGGCGGCTTTGGCAAGTCCTGAGTTGCTGTATGAAGTCGAGGCAACGGCTGTGGTGTATACGTGACGGGTGATTACAATATGGGAAAGGTTGGAGAAGGAGTAAGAGATAAAAACGCTGAGTGGGTTAGATTGTCTGTTATTCCATTCTCCGCAAGATCTAGTTTAGTTGTAATAACTGTTGAATAAAAAGTTAGAGTTTTGGTCTGGCTTGAATCAACGACACATTCCTAGCGTGCGCCAGTTGAGTTTTCGCAGAGTCAAATTTATAAGATAATTCAGGAAACACGAGGCTCATGTAGACAGTCCTTCGCGTGGAGTACCTTATACCCTTGAAATCTGACGAGGGACCTTGCCTTAAGATCGCTTGGGCTGACAATGCTTACAGAAGAAATTACCTCACACTAGATTGGGATTTAGCTGCGCCTCGTCAATGGTTATTTGGAATGGGACTTTCGGAGGAGCATGCCGTATCAATGAGAGACAGTACATGAAAGGACAATGGTTAGCTTGGCTGCACGCCTAGTGTCATCATGCAGGTGTATAAAGCACACTCCTGCCCGAGCGCCGCAATCATTACAACCTCCAGGATCACTAGATATTCTCCTCTTATCTGCACACTACTCCCTACCGTTATGTCTACATACGAGGATGGTCTCGAGTACGACATCATCTTTGCTGGAGGAGGAACATCTGCCTGTGTAGCTGCAGGTCGTCTCGCTAAAGCAGGTCCCAACCTTACTATCCTTATAATTGAACGCGGCAGGAACAACCTCAACGACCCAATTATTACCAATCCTGTAGTTTACTTCGCTAATCTAGCACCAACCTCTTAGAACGCTATCTTCTACCAGGCAGAAAGCGAGCCAGCACTCAATGGCCAAGCACGTATCGTTGCGGCCGGAGGCGTGCTCGGAGGTGGTAGCTCCATTAACGCCATGATGTATGCACGTGCCCAAGGTGTTGATTTTGATAGCTTCAGGACCGATGGCTGGGATAGCAAGAACTTAGTGGAATACGTAAAGAAGGTAAGTGGAAAGTCGTCATTGATTAACACAACGTTAACTTTGAACCACAGCTAGAGACAGTTCACCTTGATGATCAACTTCTTGAGAAATCCACACACGGCTTCTCTGGTCCTGTGAACGTTACCTTCGGCACTCATGCACCTAAAGGCCCCCAGGATGACTTTCTAGTCGCCGCGGAGTCATATGGAATCCCTGAGATTCACGACTTACAGGACTTCAAGGCGATTGGTGGTTTCAATCGAAGTGCAAAGTTTATAGGACTGGATGGGAAAAGGCAAGACGCGGTGCATTGCTATGTGAATCCTCTAATGGCCGATGGCAACCACCAGAATCTCCACACCCTCGCCGAGAGCAAGGTCAGCCGTGTTATATTTGAAGGCAATCATGCATTTGGTGTTGAGTATAAGCCCGAGAAGACCTTTCTTCAGCAGGGGACTAGCCTCACTAAAGGGATCGCAAAGACAATTAAGGCTAGGAAGCTAGTAGTCGTTTCTGCGGGCGCTCTCGGGACACCATCTATTCTAGAGCGATCTGGTGTCGGGAACAAGGAGCTTCAAGCTGGGGTGGATATCCTACTCGTTTCCAATCTTCCAGGTGTAGGTGAAAATTATCAAGACCATCACTTCCTCTTACCCACGTATAAAACGAGCCTCGGAGCCGACGAAACCTTGGATGGCCTCATTACCGGCCGCCGAGACTTTGTCAAAGCTCTCGGGGAACGAGATTCTATTCTGGGCTGGAACGGAATTGATATCGGAGGCAAATTGCGGATGACTAACGAAGAAGTAGCCACCCTAGGCCCAGAATTCAAGACGATGTGGGACAAAGACTTTGCAAACTGTCCGAAAAGGCCGATCATGCTGATGGGCGTGATTGCTGGCTTGATGGGCGACCATAAGATGCTGGATGAAGGACCAGATGGCGTCCAACAGTATGTCACTATGGCATCGTATACGCCTTATCCCTACCCCCGTGGCAGCATTCATATTACCTCTCCTGATTGAAATGTACCGCCCAAATTCCTCACTGGCTTCTTGTCTGACAAGAACGATATTGATTTGAAGAAATTAGTTTGGGCGTACAAGAAGGGTCGTGATATTTATCGGCGTACCAACGCCTTCGAGGGGGAGGTGGCCACAGGGCATCCCAAGTTTCGCGAAGGCAGCCGGGCTGCATTGTCAGAAGGTCCGTTGAAGACGAGTGGCTTTTGTAGTGTCAAGGATCGCAGCAGGATTCCCCCAGTTGAATACGATGAGGAGGACAATCGAGCAATCGAGGACTTTGTTCGTGCAAATGTGCAGACGACGTGGCATTCACTTGGAACGTGTAAGATGGCGCCAAGAGATGAAGGTGGGGTTGTGGATAAGTATCTAAATGTGTATGGGACACGGGGATTAAAGTGTGCGGGTAAGTTGCTCCTAGTTTCTTGAAATGTGCGTTGCCTAACCTAATCCTTGGTAGATTTATCCATTATTCCTGAGAATATCGGTGCGAACACTAACAACATGGCTCTCATTGTGGGCGAGAAGGCCGCCGATATCATTGGCAAAGTGTTTGGTCTTGTCGTTTGACTTTTGGAGGCTTGATAGAAAGGGAAATAAGGTAAGGGAAGACGGACTTTCGTCCGAAAGTAATTCTATTGTGTCTTATCGTAAGTACTAATATGCAAGGGATCGAGCGGGTTAAAAAAAAAGATTCTGTGAAGTGCTGAGCATTTGACAAAATTTCTTTCGATTTGGGGCATTATAGGCTACCTGTATATTGTAGACTCCTGCATTCTAAGACAGTAGCAATTTGCTGTCTTCATAAGCGCCAGCGAACTGTGAACGAAGCGCCTTTCTCGCACAACAATGCATTGATCAAACCTCCACCCATCCCACCCCTAGTCGAGGGAATTAACGTTATGAAATAAGCTTTCGCGTCTTCGACAAGGATCTCAACTCTCCCACGCTCCTGCCTCAGGAACCATCCACGATCCATCATCGACTCCCGCAACCCCTCCTCCACAATCTAACCCTAACAAGTCTCCCAACAAACAACTCCACCTCGCATCTTTCTACAACCTCGCCCCACTCCCGCATCTGAATCCTACCTACTTCCTATTCCGGCCTCCCTTTAACCTCAGAAAGTGACCCGGTTGCGTGGGACCTTCAGCACTGAAACTCCTGAAACCCGAGAAGTCGGGGGATCTGGAGATTCCGGCAGTCGGCAATTCTGTTCGGCGCTGGAGGGAAGAAAAGGATTGAGGGGACATTTGGAATCTGTGCGTTTTCTTAACTGTCAGCAGGAAGAGTCTGGAAGCTGAGGAGATGTAAGGTGGAGGAGGCTCGAAGTTCGGGATTAGCAGCTATGCTATCGAATGTGGCTGCAGGTGGAATGGCCTGAAAGGCTCTGAGATCTCGTCAAAATAGTTAAGGGGTAACGGGGTAGATAGGATTTGAAGAGATCGAGAATTGATATTAAGCTCCAATTGAATTGACCTTTCTGATCCAAATATACAAGATAAGATCCTTAGAAGCTAGCCAGCTATCAAGCGTCCACCCAGCATTCCACATCAGGCGCGCAACATCGTATCATTACATATCGCCCCGCCCCCATTCGGTCCATACAACACCACCCAAATAACCCCTTCTCACCCCAAGTCTCCTCTTCTTTTCCTGCCCACCCAATGCACCTCGCTTTAAATCACATGCAGTAAGCGGAAATGGGAATCAGAAAATGCTAGATCTCACAAAATGAAAATAAATGGTATTGTCCTTGGCTATCATAGAACGCTAGGTTTCATCTTAGTATTCAAGATCTCCGACGGTACAAGACTCCGAGTGCTGAAGCGAACTTCCTGACCAGGGTGTTGGCGGAAGATCGGTGCAGTTTCGACGGTAGTACGGGTATCGTGGCGCTCGTGTTTGATGTTCTTGCCTGGTAGTCCGCCCATAAGGTTTTGCGGTGTCTTGGGAGGTGACGGCGCCGCTGATGATGCATTGGTATTGTTGATAGGCGTGCCCGCTGATTCTCGGAGCTCATCGACGTTCTTAGGTAACATGGGAACTTCAGGAACATCACGATCGTCATCAACCGAAAACATAGTCGACTGCGTAAATCGAAGTTGGTCCTTAAGTTTCTGCTCTTCTAGACGATTTGCCTGCTGGTTTACCCAGGAGTCGACTGTCCTGAAGCGAGGAACTGAAGAACGCTGAGTCATAAAGCTATCACGAGAAATCGTGTGGCTATTAGTATCGCGGTTTGGATCATGCGGTGTTTGTGGGGCGTTCGAATTTGTCCAGCTGAATCTGCTGATCATGGGGCCGATACCAGGGCGAGCTGCTACTGAGCGTCGGTTCGAGAGGAATTGCTTGAAGGTTGGTGGGGGTGGCAGAGGAGAAAGAGCTCGTTCAATTGGTGGTTCGGGATATCGAAGCTCGGACTCTGCAGCGGTTGAACGCGTGTTGCGTGTCGAGACACTGCGTCGCTGATTCTGGAGGGGGAGAACTGGAGAGGAGGGTGTTCCGCTATGACTGCGGCGGTGGGAGTTATTACGGCTTGGTGGCGAGTCGAGCAAGAAGCTCTGCCCTTCAACGTCTTGGAAAGCGCTTCCGGGTGGGCTGGCTTGTCGGTTAACACTGTGCGAAGATTAGCAATGTCCATGATCTAAAATAGCATATTGAAGGATCGAGTGTCAAGGAAATTGTAAAGGTTAAGCACTGCCGTCTCATGTATGCAATGCTGACCCCAAAGAAACATGCACTGCACAGATGGTATTCCAACTACACGCTCCCCGAATATTACGAATCCTGAGACGAACATGAGGAAATTAAAGACGTACCTTCCATTGCGGGAGGGAGCCATGAGTAGTGGCCGTTGTGACGAATTTGAACCAGTTCGGGCGAGTGTCGGTTCTGGAGCAGTAACGGCGTTGGACCTCATGGACCCATAATCATTGGAATACATTGGTTTGTCCCATCTAGCAGATCTCTTCGGCGGGGGTGGTGGTCCTCGACGAGTGACTTGATATTTGCCTTGTTTGACGGCCTCTGCAAATGTCAGACCGCGTTTTCGCATAGTGTGAATTGCCAATATAACTATGACGACAATTATTGTTGCACCTAAGCCAGTCAGCTACAGCTCTCCTTGTATTCCATTCTCGAATCGTACCAATTGACCCTGCAGCGATGAGCAAATGTTCGGTGGTTTGCGAAATGCCTCCCTTGTGATGTGGTGGCGGTGGTGGTTTAGGGGGTGGTGAGAATGTCACTACGACAGTCTCGGACGGATCGTTGTCGGCTAATGCAGTTCCTGTTGCCTGAGCTTGAGGTATGGTCATGGTAACAAGAATCTACACTCGTTAGTATCCCTTCAAGTTCATCTAGTGGCCTAAACTCACTGGAGGAGGTGGTGGCTTCGAGTCGTAATCATCCGAGTCGTAATCGTCATCATCTCTCCTCTCATTCCACGGGCCGAGTATATCATTCACCGTTTGCGAGGGCGAAGATCGCGAATCGAGTGCTTGGTCGACCACTTCCCCAACGCTTCCATCGTCACCCAGGACGGTCCTTCGCACAATCACATAGTCGACCCGATCGTCCCTTCCACGAGCCCTTGGTACAGGCATTTTGTCCAGGTTGTGGGGTGGGGGATCGGATGAGAGTCCCCTCTCAAGCTTCCTGCAGCTCAATGGCGTCCACGAACAACATCTGACCGCCCAGCGAAAGATGGTAGCCGAATCGAAATGGCTTCACAGTCCCAAGCCTGTTAGGACTGCTGCCGGAAGGAGAATCGAAGTGAGGGACGGGAAGAAACCGAAGAAACGAAAGTATGAAGAATTAGGCAAAGGGCAGTCCGGCTGCAAAGAGAAGGACAGAAGGTGAGAAGTAAGCAGAGCTTGAGTGCAGCAGAATGCTGGGCAAGTTCTTGGAACTTTACATGCTAATGCGGCAGGAAAGTGAAGAGCATATGAAGAAGCGCATGAACGACGCTAGCAGTGAGTCGATTCTGGTCCCATGTAGGTTTGAGGGGAGGGGCGAGGTGTGGGCACGTCCTGACGCGCCAAACGGGAGAAATTAGCAATGAATACGTAGCGACACTGTCCGTGAAGGGAAATCCTACAGACACTAAATGTGGGCAATTTGGCTCAATTTGGGAGGGTCGCTCGTTGGGTCTTTCGAGCATGGAGACGTCTGGACAACATTGGAGGTAGCCCCTGACAGGTTGTCTTGGAGCCGTCTCAGACTCCTGGTGGTCGCGTTTCAAGACCCGCTTGCGGTAAAGTTGGCAACCGAGAGAGGCAGATCAAACGCCACAAGGGGGGAAATGTGAGACTGAAGTATGCGAGGCGTTGATTGGTCGCAATGTACAAAAACTCGTGAATGGTGTCGTGACGACAACAGGTCTTCGTCCAGGCGAGTTCTTCTCGAAGCGTCCGATTTCACAATGCAAACAGTCTCGCGTTCGCGCAACACCCCTGGTACAGCTGATAGAATTGCGTAGGTGAGGTCTGATGTCGTACGAACATGCGTATTTCGTCAACCAGCCACAGACTCTAGAGCCGCTGCGCCCCAGAATGGCGTCCTCATGCTCAGTTCACATTCCAAGGCTTGGCCGTCGGAAGCGCCCGACACGGATAACCCGGAACCTATGATGCATTGCAATCCGAAGACCTTCCGGCCGATGCCCAGCCTGCCGTGGCGGGATCGAAAGGACTGAGAGGCACAGTAGGTTTCGTTGCGAGCGTGCAAGAACGGAACAAGTTGTTTCCTTACCCACCTGAGGTTCGGATGTTCTCTTTTCCAAGGGAAGAACCAGAAAAGGAAGTGCGATGCTAGATTCCATCAGCCCCACGCAGCGAAGTCCTGCAGCGGCGAGCGCTTCTCAGATGTCAGGGAGATGCAAGGCGAGGTGCAGTTCTGAGATTTGGGCTTGCTGAACTACTGGGCGATTCGCCATGAACAGATATGGCATTCGTTCCCGAAGAATCTTCCTCGCACTTCTAGATGGTTGGGGCTGAGTTCAGCTCGGCCGTCGTGCCCACAAGCTTCGCCTCCTTGGTGTGCAGCATTCTCTCAGTCATCTGGTGGGGAAAACAATTGCCGCTCATGTATAAGTAACTGAAGGGCTACATCTGACCCGCCTATCGCTCTTCCGTCAATCCTATTAATTATTTTGCGTCTCTTAAATACGAGCGTATCCATCCTTTATCCGAGTACCCCTCGTCCACCCCTCCGCGCTTACTGAACCACCGTCTCTCAAGTCACCTTTTTCATAACCTCCCCAAAACAACCATAATGTCTGATCCATACAATCAATACAGCCAGCAGCCGTACGGCCAATATCCTCAGAACCAGTACGGCTCGCCTGCCCCTAGCCAGCAATATCCACCACCAGAAGGTTACGCACCACAAGGTGGCTATCAACAACCTGGATACCCTCCACAACAGCAACCCGCGGCTCAGGGCTATTACGGGGAACAACAGCAGTACCAGCAGCCTGGTGGCTATGGCCCGCCGGCTCAAGGAGGCTTCCAGCACGGCCAAAGCCAGAACCCGCCCTACACCGACCCCTATCAACAGCAAAATCAAGGGTAAGGCATTTCTAAACGACTGTGAGTTTCGAAACATCTACTGACATGCGATTCTCAGCCAATATGGTCAACAGTATCCCGGCGCCCCCCCAGCACAGCAATTTCCCCAGCAAGGGGCTTATCCTGCAAACCAGTATCCACAAGGCCAGCAACCGTATGATCAGCCACCTGCAGGCCAGCAGTATGGCTCCACAGACCCCGGTGCACAGCAGGAAGGTGAGCGAGGATTGATGGGTGCGCTTGGCGGAGGTGCTGCAGGATACTTCGGTGGCAGCAAGTTGGGCGGGCATGGCGTACTGGGAGCCATTGCCGGCGCTGTCATGGGAAGCAAGCTCGAGGACAAGCACAAGCACAAGAAGCACGGTAATGGAGGATACCACTGATCTGTTTCAAACACTGCTTTCTTCATATCCTCGCGGCGTTTTCGGTCTGCTAAATTGCCATGGTAATGAGACGTAAAGTTCACGGCTAGTGTAGGGTTGCTATCGCGTGGGAAGCGACAGCTACTACAAAATGATACTCACGAATTACCTCTTTAGAAGGCGATATCTTGCACCAATTTACAACAGCTTGGGTTACCTAGTGAGTAGCTAAGCGATGCATTTGTTCAGCTCACATCCCTGCTTTCTTCATGATCTCTGCAACGTTCAAAGACCAGCTCCACCTCATGATCGGTACAAACTGCCCCCGCCAAATACGAGGTCGGTATGCCGAGGGACTTGAATCAGGAGCACCTAACAGAAGCCAAAACATCCTACCGCCGAGGTCAACGTCAACGTCCTTAATTACGACGCCGTAACCACGCATAAGGCTCATGGCCAAGTGGCCTGTTGGATCAGGACACGGACGGCCAACTTCACGATGCAAAACACATAAAACGAATCCACGTCTCCCCCAATAGATGTCTCCGACTTGCTATCAAAACGTCAAACACGAATGATCCTCCTAGTCATCTACCCAACCTCCAGTAAACTGTTGCCAAGTTTCTCCAATTCGAATCCTTTCATCCCCGTGCCGCAAATCCTTAAACGCAACAACTTATTGTCCACACAGAGCAACAATGCTCAATGGGAGGAAAGTCCAACTGTTTGACCACGCGTCCAAGGTTGCCGCCAAGAACGAAATCCGAGGCTCTAATTCGCGACGACAAAATCCATCTCGAAGAAGGACACCGCTTCGTCATCAACTGATTTGGACATGTCTATTGAGAGTGTCTCGATTGGCTGAAAGGTGGCCATGCGTTGGCCTTGCGATGCTCGAAAGGGTTTCAAACGCATGGCGTTTCAAGTGGCGCAGTCGGGTGAGGTGGCGCGGCGCGAGGCAAATGCGGAGTCCAGACGGATTTGGCCTAGGTGTCTGAATTTTGGGGCAATTTTTATCCAGTTGGCCATTGGTTTGTCTTCCCCTTGACAAGACTTCAGCCTCATTGTGGGGAGAGGTGCGGGTTGATGGCTTCAATTTGAGGCTGCTAAATGAACAAACGTAGGACCAAGTCGCATACCTTCGTCCCTCTTTGAACTTTATGGAGTCTGGGTACCTAGAAACCTTTCTTGTTCTTTGACCATTAGCCTATGGACTACATTCCTGTTCGTATCTTTATGAGGTGTAGTACCCACGCGGCCATCGCCCAAGACCGATTTACTGCAGGGAGAGCAAATCGGCAGTTGATATTCTCCCTTAATTAACAGCTTCGATATCTCAGGTTAATCATTCCATTCACATCTTCTGGAACGAGCCGATTCAATACCACCGTTAACCTCAAGGCCATCCACAAAACAGCATGTCAATTGTGTCAATTAATCCAACGGAATCCGCTGTCTCAACGTCCACCAAACAACTCGCCTCAATACCATGGCTTCATCCGTCCACCTTCGTCTGCTTCTCACGTTGATGAGTTTTGTCTGTGTCAGGCACATTACTTCATGCTATGCACCTTGTCGGTATAGCGCTCCCTAGGTGTCTTTAATTTACTCCAGCCAAGCCTCCAGCTGCTTTGAGTTGATAGGGCTTTCTTGACCCTGCGGTCACGTACGTCACTTTCCTTATCGACTTGCTCGGTATCGATCTGAAGTCGCAATGCTTCTCTTTCGCTTTTCTCCTCATATATAGGATATAAGCCGCGCCCTTATTAAGGGCTATACGAGCCGATCATCCACTGCATTACGCGTTCAACCTAAGGCCACCCAACTATGCTTATCGTCTTGTTTCTTCTATAGACGACGGCGTCTCTCACGATGAGAGGGTTATGGATTATGGATTGCAGGTTCGAATTAACATTCCTTCCGATTATGGTACCCCGACCTTGGGACTTTGCTGGATTGCCGCTTACCTGTCCCAAGCTCTTTGTGGCATAGAATTATCCTGAGAGTGGTAGTTTACGCTACCAACCGAAGATTTGGGCTACATTCCTAAAGGAGCTTCATGTTAGACACGGCTACCCTTTCTCAGTGCAACTATCTCCAAAAGCAACACGTAATGCCCATTACGCTTCCATCTGATAAACTTCTACAAGCGCAACCTTTCTCATCCAGCCGCAATAGGCTTCCCTTCACTCAATATCGACCAGGCAATCCAGAGTCCCTTCATCCGAAGGATTCCAGTGAGCAAGACTTCTCCCACTAGAAGGCTCGCATGGACTCCAAGACAGCGGCGGAGTAACGAGGTCATTGCCAATCGTCCAAGGACATATATATTTCACGCCTAGCCACGCAAATATGCAAATGTCTGTTGGGTATGATTCTGTGTCTCCCGTTCTCTTCATTACATGTATTACCTTTCTGTACAACTTTTCAATGTTTCAATCTTCCCATTATCTCTGCTTCTCCAGTTATTTAATTTCTTAACTATATCAACCTCACTCCTATGTTCACGTCTTACTGTCACATGCACCTCCTAATCTCACGTTCACTCTCCACCCTTGCCGTTATGTTCACATCTTCCCTCACCTTCACTTCTTACTCGCACATTTCCTATTCACTCTCACATTCACTGTTCGCGCTTACCTTCACTCACTCGTACTCTTACATCCACTGCCCCTCACATGTACTCTCACCCTTAATATAAATCTCTCTTTCTGTCCTGACCTTCAGCTTCCCAGTCTCCAGCCATAACTCTCCCCATCCGCGCCCTGAGCCTTCACACTAGCCTCCTCCCAACTCTGTTCCAAGTTCAACCAATCCCCATTAGCTCTTTACCTCCTCCAGCATCAGAGGCTGCTACAACAATTAGGTTCTCAAAGGCAACAACACCTCAATGTTGCAATTAGTTATTATCCCAGTAGCATTACATGAAGATTAGATCGGTAACATTTTTGAGAGTGGACGAGCGAGAGATCTAATAAGGCAGAAGGTGGGTTGGTACATGATGGCGCACGAGTGGAATTATTTGAATATGATGTTGTGTAGGGGGAAGGACAAGAGGGAGATGTGGATAGAGGTCCCGAGTGTCTCATTTTAAACGTTGCTTAGAACGGAGTAGATCTTAGGAACAGCCACTTCCCAAACACAACACGTTTGTAAAGTGACAGCACGAATCCATAGGCTTTGGCTATCGAAGCAATGCTTTTAATTGCTCTGTATAATCTCTATACACGAACTCTTTCCTATTTTGTGAACCTCCGAGCCCATGATGCATATTCCACATTCCAGAAGAGTAGAAATTTACTCATCGTCCTCATCCGCCTCATCGTTGACAACGTTGAAGAATCGGAGCTCGTACACGCCCTTCGAGGTGGAAACAACGCGGAGCCAGTCACGGAGCTGCTGCTTCTTGAGGAATTTCTTGGTGCTAGGTACACATTGTCAGCCCATCATTCATCATGTCCACATCCTATTATCGCCATACGCGTCTCCGCAAGCGCACGTGTGTATATCAGGGAAGCCGAGGGGTAAAATACTCACAGGTACTTCAAGTAACGGCCCGAAAACTCCTGGTGCGCAATAACCTCGACCTTTCCATCAGGCTGCTGGCTGATCTGGATGCTGTCGCCAAGGTTTCCAGTGCGGCCATCGACTTTGATGCGGTCGTGGAGGAATTTCTCGAAGGCTTGGATATCGAAGATCTTGTCGTTGACGGGCTGGGAGCAGTTGATGATGAACTAAGCGCCTTGAGATTAGCCCCTGTCCTCAAGCCCCCAAACCTCGAGCGCAAAGGCAGGGAATGGTTTACCTTCTTAGTGATCTTCTGCCCCTTCTTCGCTCCGCCGGCGGCTGGTCGTTTCTACATGATACACTTAGCCTACTGTTCTGTGCTGGCGCATCGCTCCAGATCGCGGCTGCTCATCTGAGGACCTCCAGCGGACAGCAAAGCGGTGTACGTACGGGTCCTGCAACCATTTTGATAGATTGTGTGAGCGCAAAGAAGTGGATATCCTGCGCCGGTGCGTGTGGCGTGAATTGGAGTCGTGAGAGATGTTGGGTGTGAGGCTAGCGTTGAAAGTGTGGGCAATTTTGAGAGTTCGGTGGGCAGAGCTAGATCTAAATTGGCTTAGCTCATGCCAAGATTTCGGTCCCTTAAGTGCATGCTCATTGGCTACTTTCCTTCTAATAGTGAATGAATTGAGAAAATAAAAGCAGGTGGTTTTGAGATATTTGCAGGCAGAATAGGCAGCATCGATAATAAAGTCTGATTAGGCTATCTTCCAAATTTTAGCACCTACCACAGAATATCAAAAGAGGGGGTTTGAGCTTGTATCCACCACTAGAACGAAAGGGAGTGCAGGAAGGATGTGAGTTTCGGTCATACATTCGTACCAACATATAAGCGTGCAAGATTCTCCACAAATCATGCTTAGGTACTTCCATAGATTACTATAAAAGAATCTGATCTATATATCATCTGCGGCTTCTGCTGGAGGCGATGCAAGATTATTTCTCCTGATAACAGGAGGTAAGACACAAATCAAAAATGCATGGAACTAAAAATATGATTCAACCTCCTATCCATATGAACCACCCCTCTCAAGCACTCTCTTTCTTCGGCCTCAACTAACCAGTCCAGACAGCGGGACCAGGGCAAGTGTAAGTGGTTGCCTTGCTGCCATACGTATCAACCGTGACTCCCGGGTCAGATTGCGCCGCATATCCTGGAATCTTCGCCAGAAACGCTCCACTGGGGACCTTCGTTCCTGATCCCGTCACCGTGATCTGCGCGCACTCGGCATAAAATTGCGGGGCATTGGCCTGGTGCAACGCCAATAATTCATGTCGAAGGAGATAATTGCCCGGCGCCAAACTTGCTGGAATCGTGCTTTCCCAGTACAAGTTCTTATACACTTTTGCGGTTCCCCAGCTGTTGCCCGATAGAGGGGGAGCTGTCATGCCTTCTTGGTCGATCTTGAACCAGTTTGTGCCCGATCCGTCACAGGATTTGAAGTCACCGCTGCACTTGTACATCCAGACCATGACGGGACCTTGCTGGTGAGTCCATTGCTTGTAGTTGGCGCGAACTTTGGCGCCGGCGGGGACGCTGGCGTTCAGATCTGCTGAGGTGCCGCCGTTGCACATGACTTTCTTGTCGGTAATGGATGTTGTGGGGTTGTAGTCTGGCCATTGACGTTGAATGGTCTTCGGACCCGATGATGGGGAGAAGCCTTCGTAGCTGAACTGGACTTAGTATTCTACCGCAAGTTCCTTAAGATAACCATACGCTTCACTTACCCTGGGTAGTCTTTTCCATCAAGTTTATAGCTCGTCACCGCTCCATGGGCGGCGGCCTGAGCAGTAAGCAACGCAGCAGCAGTAAGTGCACTGGGGAACAGCATTTTGACAAGAATGTAGGTACCTTCGCGGCGAGGAATGAAAAAAAGGAAAGTCCGTGTGCAAAGTCTCCTACATCTTATATAGCCTTTGCACCCAGACGACCTTGTTTCCGCCATCCTAATGCTTCCCCATAATAATTAGTGCCACGCACTAGGAACCTAAACCATTCATCTCGCTCTCACACGACTGAATGCATGTTCCCCAGATAAATTCTAGATGAGCCGCAGATTAAAACGCCGTATATAAACATTGCAGCTTCGGGCCGTTGTGCCCTGATTGGGTATATGTATTAGAAACGGGTGCGTATGTCGAGGCTTGACTGATCATATGCCGGCTGCTGTAATGCCGAATCGTTTTGGGAATGATGTTCAAGCTTCTCGTGTACCCCGGATGTTTAATCTATTAGATAATAGATTATTACATGGCATGCGGGGTGACGGGATCACACCTAACATCAAAGATCGGTTTCTGTAAGCAAGTGAATCTGGAAGAGACGAATAAGGCGATGTAGGATCTTGGGTATTTAGATACCGTTTGCCCGGTCGATTGAGTGCGTGCTTTTGGGTAGCGATGGGAATGGCGCTGGAAGTCAACGTGCTGGAGATGGAAACTTGGCATTATAAGCCGGGGCCGCGATACCCGTTTTGAAGCGGAGATATTCCTAAGATTGATTTCGGTCTGCTATCTTGGGCTCCATGTAAAGATTTATGTGACGAGTGATGGAAGGATGAGATTGTCGACGCTCGTTTTCCCCAACCATAGATAGAACACTAGTCTGAAAACGGGTAAAGTGTTAGCTCGGACCCTCTCAGGAAGGGGCAGCGTAGGGGTCAAATTTGTGTCCAGCAAGAGGTGACCTAGAGAGTTCGCTCTCGACCCAGTCCACTGGTTGTCAACCTTCTCATCACTACCATTTCTTTCTAATATGCCCGTAGCTCCCGCATACGCTATTCTTTCTAGCTATTATCATGCTTCTCGAAGATAGATCTTACCTTATTGTTATTGTCGCTGCGATCGTCTCCCACCCACCACACTTCATAGGCGGTTGGATGCTATTTAACATCTATCAGCAATTTTCAAATAGACCGACGAATGATGGAATGGTAGGAACGCTTACAATTTCAAGCAGTCTATACTCCAGCTTCACTGTTTCAAAAAAAAAAAAATTCTGAGACAGTAAAAGTTGAATAGCACCCACCGCTCCTCACTCAATTCTTCGCCACTCTCGTCAATACCCGTTTCGAATTCGTTTAGATCAGAACCATCACGTGTTTGTTTAGGGAACTCAGCCTGATAGTTTGTAGAACGATGCCAGGGTCGACATGAATTTGTCGAGGGAATATGGTGGCTATACGGTAGACATACTAACTTGTAGGATCAGATAATTCTCTCTAGGTTGCAGTTAGAAGAAGTGGAGGGAGCTTGGGTTATGTCGGAGCCACGACTCTGTGACATAGCATCTAGGTAACTTCAACAAACAACATCTTTCTTGGCAAGTGAATACAGCATCACCAGCCCCTTTGAATTCCATCCCGCACTCCACATCCTCACCTCCTTCTTCCTATCCGCGTCTTCCAGTGCCATTTTGGAATACCCCCTTTCTTCACATAACCGAAACCCATGTGAAAAAGGTAGACACCTGTGCATTGCTTTATTCGAGCTGTTAACCTGATATAGCAGTGCCTCTTTCAGGATCTTCCTCGACGCATTGGAGGATATATCTTTATATATGCCAACGCGGACCAGTGTGTCTTGCTTCAATCTTGAGGTCTCGAGGTAGCGAACGGTTCATGGCGCCTGGTTGCATTGGCTTTTCGATGCTGTCTTGGAATGTGTTCTGGGCATATTAATTCTTCGCCGAGTTCGTCTGCTCATGTTTGGCTCGTGTTCGCTACTTCTCGGAGAAATGATGGGTGCATGTACTGAGTGCCTAGGTCCCCTGACTGCGCGTAAAGAGGGAGCTATGAATGGCTTGTTTATAAGTTGTCCCGAGTTGTAGCTTCATACTCTTATACTTTATCTAGTGAGGCTATTATCATAAGCCCTGCTGTCGATTTATGTCGTTGCTGCTGGATTTTCCGACAATTTCAATCTTGGGTCACCAGCACTCCTAATTGGGCAAGGCGTGAAGAGGGATTATTAAGTTGCACATTTTTTTTCGTGCCTGCTCCTCTACTCATTATTCTGATATATTCCTATGGTTCATAGAACCAAAGTTATTGAGACAGATGATTCTCCTGTCACCGTTTCCGCGATCAGCGATCTACAGGGGCCGTGCGTCAGGTCAAACACCAACCCGTATCCTCGTTCAACAAGTGTTTTCGTCGCATGTTTATTAAGATTACCTAGGACTTGGAGATGCAAACTTGCAACGCAAGAGATGCAAAAGATGCCCTATCACTAGAAAGGTGTTCGATTGGGACAAGGAGGGATTTGCTTAAGACCAGTTTGCGTCAACCGCCTTTGCCACCTTTGGATTTCAATCTGGAATTCAAGGTTCTTCATTTCCATGGCACGTGCGACTTGGCAGCGCCTACAGCGTATTTTAAGCACGAGAGGAATTGCTCTCCCACCAAACCCATTCTCCTGTACCTTTTCTTAGCTCACATTTCGCAGGCAGGCACCAAAAACAAGCTCACGACAACTCAAATCCTAAAAAGCTTAAATCGCAAAAAGAGACGAATCTCTCCAATAATATCCTACCCTGAAGCTCTTTAGGTTTCGGATGTACCTGGATGCGAGGCTCGTGCAGCTTTTGCTCAGCCTCACACCTCAGGATAAGCGCCACATCGCCACTCTCTAGCACCGGCTTCTGCGCTCCCGTGAACGCCCCAAACGATTTTAGACCTCAGTATCGAATTAGGATGGACATTTCTTGTGAACTTCGTCTCAGAATCTGCGCCTTCACCCCTGATTCTTCTCCCACGTGGCTGCTATCTTCTCCTAAGGTACACTTGTCCGCCCCTGCCAACAATCTAGCCTCGGAGAGGCAGCCTTCCGCGAGGCGCTTCATAGAAACGGCACAACATGAGGCAGCAAAAATATCTGTTCCTTAATCGGGATCGTCATACGTGGTGGTGAAACTTCCGGCCTTGTTGGCCGTGCCTCATCTCCCTAGGCATACTTAAGGGTGCTCCCCTCGTCGAGATGGAGTTTGGATATCTGATCATACTTTAGAGTACCGGGTCACGAGTTCCTTCCCTTCTAGCCATTTTCATACTTTCGTTAGACTTTCTTTTGACTTTCGTTCATCATGAAATCTTCTATCTTCCTGGCAGCGCTCGCAACATTTCCTTTAGTTTTTGCTTCAAACCAAGGGTACGGCGGGAACAACAACAATAACAACAACAACTACAACAACGACAACAATAAGAACAACCAGTACGGCAACAACCAGTATGGCAACAACCAGTATGGCAACAACCAGGAGCAGAAGTCCAAGGGCTACGACAATGGCTACGAGCAAAAGTCAAAGGGCTACGACAATGGCTACGAGCAAAAGTCAAAGGGCTACAACAATGGCTACGAACAGAAGTCCAAGGGCTACGATAATGGCTACGAGCAGAAGTCAACAATGACTGCCAATTACGGCTACGAGCAGAAGTCAAAAGGTGGTGGAAATGGGTATGAGCAGAAATCAACCGCTGCACCAAACAACTATTATCCAAGCGCAACCTATGCGGCAGCCCCGAGCAAGCAAACCGTAGCCGTTGGCAAAGACGGCCTCAAGTTCACGCCAGACAACATCTATGCCAAGATTGGTGATGAGATCGAGTTCCAATTCTTCCCAAAGAATCACTCGGTTGTGCAATCTTCGTTCGCCAACCCATGCAACCCACTTGAGGGAGCAATCTTCTCTGGATTCATTCCGAGTACCGGGGGCGCAGCTGTATGTCTTTCCCACTGCTCGAAAAATTCAATAAGCTAACTTAGATAATAGAGCCAAACATTCACGATCAAAGTGACCACTGACAAGCCCATCTGGCTATACTGCGGAGCTCTCAAGCCAATGCCACATTGCGCCTCGGGAATGGTCGCTGCAATCAACGCCCCGTAAGTATCCACTTCCTGCATGTCTATCTTGAGACCATATGACTAACGTTCCTTCAGAGCAACCGGTAACACTCTCGAGGCCTTCCGTGGCCTCGCAATGAAGACAAATTCCAGCACATTCCCAGGCGCAGTGAGCGGTGGAACGCTCAATGGTCAAGCTCCACCACCTCCAGCTGGAACCGCCCTTGCGTCTAGTGCGCCCCCTCCCCCACCCCCACCTCCACCAGCTGCTACCAGCGAAGTACCTCCACCCCCGCCCCCTGCTGCTTCGGGAACTGAACTCGCGACCTTCGTACCCCCGCCGCCACCAGCTGCTACTGCCAGCGGAGTACCCCCACCACCTCCTGCCAACGGTACTGTACCCATTGGTAACGGTTCGCCCACTGCTACGACTACAGATGGTATTGTTTTGTCAACAGGAGCCGCATCTTCCCTTGTTGCAAGGACTGGTGCGATTGGAGGCTTTTTTGTTGTCTTTGTTGGATTTATGTTGTAATGGCCCGCACAAACCTGGAGTTTGATAATGATACCCGCAGGAATCGGAGTTTAATATTATTGTATAAAAGCATTCGAAAGCTTCTGGAAAAGTAATGTAATGCTTATATAGATTTGAATTCCTGCATTGCCGTGTTTTTGTCTCTTGTGTACGTTGCCTGTCGACACTTTGAGCGTTACAGAGGCAGTTGACTTAAACTGTAGTTCTGTGTCGGGACAAATTCTGACTTCGGAAGTATGTTCCAACGCAGGATAAGCATGTTTCACGGAAATAAAGAACTTGCCTCTTGAGGTGAATTTCAACCACTAAGGTTAGCAACACCCACGACCTATCATTATATTATCTTCGTAGTATCAAAATTTCCCTACAACATTCTTTCCATTTCCCATTTCACAAACAACCCTTCTTCAATCGACTAGCAACATGCAACACAATGATACTTCCAACCCTGCATTCCGGACCTAACTCCAAGTCTTTGAGATGGAAAACGTGAAAACAGTACTCGTATGACTTCATTCCCACATCATCACCTAAAGAGCCCGACCCTGCTCCGTATCGTTTGCGGTTATAGCCATGTCTTACGCTGTGGTTTCTCTCTTGCTCCCTTCTAATCCTAAGCATTTACGTACTCTATCTGTACAGCCCCAAAACCAAACCTATTGATGTGGTACTAGATGGGTTGGTGAATAATTTAGCTCCGCTGTTTATGGTGGGGCTTGTGCTCTCTAGGTTTGTGGAGCATTGAAAATATGCTATAATATCGATGACTAGGGAGTCGCGGGAAGTTGGGAGAAGGTATGTTCTTCGTCCCGACTTGTATATCCACCCCAACTCCCAGTCCCGAATCCAGCCTCCTTCAGAAGGCCTCTGTCCTCTCCCTGAAATTGGTACATTTGCATATGTACCTAGAAACTCTACAGCTAATTTCCAACAGCAGCGATAAACCCGGGCCTCATACCCAGCGCACCAACTAACATTTACATCCTCCCCTTCTCCGAAATAATCCCTCCAATTGTCTTCAGCATCCTCCGCTTCATCAGAGCCCGCCTCCCCTGGATGCTCCTCTTTTGCATCCTCGCGAACGCGGAAGCCCTTATCGTATCCACCATTATGCCGAAGCAGAAAGGGTATAACTACACATATATAAATAAATAAATATATATATATATATGCAGCTCTAGATGCAGGTGCCTGGACCGGGGTTTATGAGAGGCTTAGATGCGAATTGAAAACGTTGGGATTTAGGTGTACGAGTCTGCGACACGAAAGAGGGCGGTGGCGGTGCACTATCATGGAGCAAACTAGCTCGGAAGTCTGGGGGGTGCTAAAGCCGAAGATTGCCTACCGGAACGCCTCGTATTGATGCAGTCCTATCGCGATGTGCACTCAGACGACAGTCTTCCACAGTAAGTGTGCAAGAGAATCGCCTCGCTTACATTCCCATTGTTTACCCTTTGGCACTAAAGATTGAAGTTCAAACTGTGGAAGACATCATGGGGCTGGCGAAGGACCAATCAAATAACTTTAATCGATCGCTCATAAATCGGCAATGTCCGATATTTTATTGGCTTGTGATTGGTCGATTTCCAACAGCTCTGTAAAATCATTGATGCTTCGGACAACTTCACTTTTCCAACCCTCCCAAACATCAAACCTCCAAAGCAAAGCTATAGTTTTGAATATATCATTTTGTACGAAGTCTTCCGCTCTATCTATCTAGCCTGCGTTCTCGCGATTCTTGCATCCAATAATGTATGAAAATTTCATGCTAGAGTAGGTGACTTTTGAGGTGATCTGTGGAGGGTTCCAAGGTTAGGTGTTGGATCTCGAAAACTTTTGCAAGAAATGCAAGACTACAACAACGATATGAATCAATTAACTTGCTAAGTATTCTCATTGAAATATTGTCTAATACCTGGAATTTGAACCTGATTTGGTGTTGACATGGATGATTCTAGCATTCAGAACTACGTAGTGCAATGAAACACAATCACCCTCGGTTAGCAAGTAAAGTAGGGTGAAAAATTGTAGGCGGTTTTAACATATGGAGATTTTGAAGGGAAATTTCATCGAGTAAAAATGCTGGACCCATATGCATACGCTATGTGGCACTCAACTCCATCAATCCAAACCAATCCAACGCCACCAATGCAAATCAGATCCTCCTCAAAAACGAAAACCAAAACCGATCAAAACCCCTTCACACACCACCTTCTCAATTTAATTCAAACAGCCTCATCGCCTTCCCCTTTCTTTCCCCACGGTGCATGACAAAGACTTGTACACTCCTTCTTACACTTCTTACAAACCCACCACTTCGGCCCGCCCTTCAAAACCTTACTACAATTCTTACACTTCGTATGTCTTCTCGGATCCCTCAACTCACACCTAGTCCTCTTCTCCCTAATCTCCAGAAGCTCATCATCGGGCTTAATATCACATGTCCGACACACATTGCGTGAGATGCAGTTTGTCGGTTGCCGGGAGTAGTAGGACGCGCCCTTCCACATCCGCTGGATGGTGTTGGGGTGCGTGGTGGGAGGCGCGCAGATGCAGATTCGTGAGTCGATGCGTGGGGCCGTGGTGGAATGTTGGATGGTCGTCCAGTAGCATTTGTTGCAGTAGGGACGACAGCTGTCGAGGTGCCAGTATGGAGTTGTTTGGCGGAGATTGCGGAAGCGTTTGCATCCCTACGTCGATATACGGTTATTATCTTTGGTTCCGGAAACGGAGGTGGGTGCGAAGGTGGAAAGAGTGACTTACAGGACATATTGTGTTCGTGCAGACCCAGCACCGCTCCTTCGACCCTGGTTCACACGCATATCTTCGGAAGTGCTGCAAACGCCGGTCGTAGTCGGTGACTGGAAGAACAGCTTCGCGCACGCTTTTCGATGCCAGACTGAGGTTGACAATATCTGTGTAATGCAAATCCTCAACCACTAGCATAAGGATATCATAGATGCCCAAGAAATCTGCCAAACCAGTTGGCTCCCCATCCCCTCCTTTGTAGCGATTCGGGCCTTTTTTGTTCCGCCTGGTCTTCAGTTTAATCTCATGGGGAGTTGGAAGTCGCTGGCTAGTCTTAACTGCAAAGCGTCTGCCGTATCGGGTTCGGGACTTGATACTGAGCGGGAGACAGCGGAAGAAGACCACTGGAATGAAATATAGTATGTACAGAAAGATACCGATGAACCTGGGAAAGGTGGATACGAACTCGAACATCCATTCTCGGAAGGAACGTTGTTGGCGCTGGCTGTCCCGCGCTGCTATGGCGCAAAAGGTGAGGCTAGTGATTATGTTTACAACAGCAATTAAGCCGTAGAAGAAGCTATGTGGAATTAGCACATGGACAAAAAAGCAGCTAAGTGGAGATCTCAATTAGGGACTTTCGTGGTTTAAAGTCTTAGTCCCCCAGACAAAACACCTATCAAAAGAAAGTGTATACGTACGAGAGAGTAATACCATACTGCCACTCCTGCACATAACTTTTACACATCTGAAATGGACTGGTTTTCGTAGCGTTGAGCCTTGCTGAGATCTCAAAGAAGCTCTCGGTCGTGTTTGGCGGAAGTTGCCAGTAATGCGATCCGGATCCCCTGCATCGATTGACATCATGGGGAGCATATCCTGCCTGGTAGCGCGTAACTATTGAAAGCATTACAGTAACGGCGAGGTCTATGAAGCCGAAGACTATCGTAAACGGTGGTGGAATGATAATTGCCGGGATCCAGACGGCGAAATTCCAGTAGAAGCCGAATTTGCCCTAGATCTTGTTAATGATTGATCGTCACATAATTAGAATATGTGACCTTGGAGGAGGACGAAATAAGGGCTGCGACATTGTGACTTAGGATTTTGCAGAGGAAGCACTTTCCTAGAAGAACAGCGCATAGAAAGAAAACGAAGAACTCGAAACTGAAGCACGTGTTCATTCGACTATAGTGAGAGTTATTTCTTACCCATTGTACGGCGAGATGCTCTCCCTTTGCAATTACTGGGTTGTACGGAGCTCCCTGGAGCACATCATGGCTCTTGATGAGGTTCCAGTGGTTCGAAGACGTTCCAAAGTAGATACCAAAAGGCACAAAGATGGCGAAGCGAATGATGCCGATGGGAACGCCCGCTAGTTGTGTCCCTAGTTGACAAGTATATTAGATAGTTAATTTGCGATCGCTTTATTAATGCCAGGAGGAGTAGGGGTGCTACCATTGAGACCCATGAAGCGCATCGTGTCACCCAATGTAAGTCAGCTGGGTTAGGGTATGTATGTAAGGGAGCGTGGTGAAATGAAGAAAACTCGGTGTAGAATAGGCATGAAGAATAAAAGCCGTCTTGGTGTCTAAGCCATTAGCATATAGAACGTTCGTGGGTGAAGAAATGCAGGTTTGAAAACGAGGCCAGATTCTCGGCTCGTACAAGCAAGTGTGGGGGGGCTTAGCTGTGAGGCAGTCACCAGCACCACTCAAGCGGCTTCAGCCTTGTGTGACTTAGCCAAACTAACGATTCGGGAGAAGAGAGGAGAAATAACGATGGCGCGGGCTTTGCTGCGTTGAGTCTGGGCTGGGAGCCTTGGGAAATTGTTCAAGCGTCACGGGTGGGAGGTCTCCCGTTTGCATCTGCCAAGCTCCGGTGAACGCAAGCGGGCGGATGGTTCAGCTCGGGACTCAAGATAGCTCGCATTTAGAAGCAGCCATTCATCGCTAGACATGCTGCGCATTTGAGCCGTTGCTCGTAACTGCGCATGATTGTTCTTTGGTCCGATGAGCAAGTAGGGTTCATGGTGCTGGTAATGCCCACCAGCCTCGGACTTTGCGATTAGGCCGATAGCGACGACCAAAGCCATACATGACTGACATCTTTCCACAGAGTAGAGGAGGTGAGGTTGAAGGAAGATTCTCATGGTCTGATATCCGTCATCGCCAAGCCAGAGACGGTTGGCAGGTCCACTGGTAGCTCCATGCTAATGCCAAGGTTGGACGCTCTCCCCATAGCAACGGTGCTGTTTACCACGCAACCATCCTCCCCTCTTGGCTTGTTCCAGAAGACCCAACCCCCAATCGCTAGGCGCACAAAGCCAAAATTCCCTCCTTCTCCGCAATCTCTAATTGCTGGCTGCATGCATCTCCATTTCCCTCCCTTCTCCTGCATCTTCACGCACCATACTCACCCTATTTCGACTTTATCTCAATAGCTTTGACTGCACTCTCTCTACAGTACTTCCATCTTAGCCGGACTCAAGATGGAAGCGCTGCTCTCCCTCGGCTTTGACAATATTGCGTCCAAGGACACGCAGAAGATTCGGAAGGGCCTTCGCCAGATTGAGGGCATGCTCGCCCAAATTTGTCTGTCGGGTGGGAAGTCGAAACCATCAACACCATCACACCGACGGAATGCGTCCGCAATCAATCTCGGCGAGCAACAAAGCCCGAAGAAACTCAGCGCGTTATCTGAGGACCTCGCTTTTAGGGAATTTTTCAGGTTACAGGAAGGCTTTGAGTGGAATGGTAGGCTCTTCGGTGACTAATGGCGAACGAACGCTAGCTGACTGAGACATTCTAGTTGCAACGAGAGTGGTTGACTGCCTCGAACGCCTGCTGGGGATGGCTAGTAGTAAGTGACTTTCTGTAGACTGCTTCATGCGAACAAATGCTGATCGAAGCTCGATCAGATGGTCAGAACGATCTTCTTATCCTCTCCGCGCTCTCAAATCTCCAGGGCCTACTCCTCCTCCACCCACCATCCCGCACAATATTTGGCCGCGAGATATACATGAACATGCTATTGGACCTGCTCGACCCGTACAATTGCCCGGCAATCCAGTCGTCCACTCTGTTGGTTCTAGTCACTGCACTTCTCGCAACGCCTCAGAATACACGGACATTCGAGAGCATCGATGGGTTGCTTACAATAACGAGCTTATTCAAGTCCGACGAGACGACACAGAACGTCAAGCTAAAGCTGCTCGAATTCCTATACTTTTACCTTATGCCCGAAGTTCCGGTATCTCCTGCCAGCGCTCCAAATACCGCGATGGGCTTACATCGAAGTCCAAGCAAATTGGTCAGTGCCTTTGAGAAGCGGAACAGTACTGTAAGCGGAGACGATCCTGGAGGAGCATCGAGGAAGAATATTCGGACCCAAGAGGAGAAGCAGCACCTGCTGGGGAGATACTTGAACAACGTGGAGGGGCTGGTGCAGGATTTGCGGGAGACTGCACCGTTCACCCCTATGGCGTGTTGATACCGAGCATACCACGCAGTCAGGCAGGGAGTAGGAAAGACAGAGCCTGCTTCCTTCACCAGCTCCGCCATTTTCTCGCCATATTTTTTATGTTTCTTTGTCTTTGCTTTCTTGCCAATACCTTTTAAACCGACTCGACTCTCTCATCGCTGTTTCCTTGATCCAGTCCATAGCGGCGTCTTGGTCTTAGTCTTCAGAGAACTGGGTAATATCTGGTGCATCGTGGCCGTGGCCGGCCTTTTTTCCTCTGGGTAGCTCATCTTGGTCTTCCTGCTTGTATGGCATTGATGCATAGCGTGGGCGGGTTGTCCGTGGTAATACAGGTTTCTTTTCGGAGTATTGTCTGGTAGACAGGGATACCATTGCTCTGGCCCCGAAATGGGTTACACATTGCTAAGATTTATCTTGAATTTAATAGTGGGCGCAAGGCTGACATCATATTTTGTGCTGCAAGTAGACCCCGGTGATGGCTGGTCCTGTGCTAGAGCTTTCTGTCCTGTTTAGCTGGCCTATTGCGAACTATCGATATTGACAGCTTTACGGGGTGGGATTTGCTTAAGCCACTGTGTTGTTTAGCCGCAGCCTTCCCAACATGGGTATCTAACAAAAGAATCACTACGGGTTAGCGCTCCGACCGACTCCAACCACACCTACTCGGATTGGATGGCCAGCCCTCCTGGTGAGCCAAAAGACCAGTATGTTAAGTACAGTAGTCGAACCGAAACGGGTGGTATAAAATCCAATCCCAAAAAATCCAACTCCCTAAGTTCGTAGACTTCAATCCTAAGGAGAATCTTTAGGGTCACGAGAGCGGAGCATTATGGCGACCAGAGCCGGCCCCCTTAGGCTTTAAGGAGCGGCATTTACTAAAGATTAAGTGAACTGGAAGCTATAGGTAGTAGCATACACTTTCTGTAATCTTAGCAGATGTATTCTTAGCCAGGGAAGAGAAATAAATTAGAAATCATTGTTCTAGTTCACAAAACTTGCCGGTTCGCTCCACAAAGCCAGTTGCAATAGGAAAGCCTATTTAACGAACGCCTAACACCTGCACCAGATCGAAAAGCGAGGTGTCAAAGAACAACTAGGGCGTACACTTTTCTCCACTCACCTAAGCCCACTCTACTGAAACCAAGCACATATTATCAGACGTGCTCAGCTCCACACTATTCATTGCTAACAGTTCTGTTGCAACTCTGCTGTGTCCCCCACTTTCAGTCTACATAACCCGTAGTAAGACCGACGCTTGCCTTCGCCAGTAGCTGTGCTACTATCTCTTTGTATTCTAATGTTTCAGCCAACAAAAGCGGAATGTTTTCACTAATCTTGTCTTCAGAAATAGGATCAATACTATCCTTTGCTATCAGCAGCTACTATTCCCTCCTATCTACTTTGTGCAACGCACAAAAGCGAGGTCTCGCGGAAAGTGTCTTCAGCACCAGGGTCAACGTCTCTATGTGCAAGTAGCTGCTCCACTACTGCTTCGTATCCTTCAATTGCAGTAATCGAAAGCCATGGTTTGTCAAAACACTTCGTTAGAGTCGGTGTCGACCCCTTTATGTGCTAACAACCCTTCTACTTTTGCCTTATGTCCTTTCAATGTGGCAAGCAGAAGTGGTGTTTAGACTTCCGTGTCTTTAGCATTAGAACCAACACCTGCGTGTACAAGTAGCTGTTCTACCACTATCTGAGCCTGTTAACATTTGGCTGAGTTATAGCGCTGGAAAGCCAATAGCTTTTAAGGACCCTAAGAATGCATTGTACTAGCTACCAATTTCCGCCCTCTATAACTCACCAAGCCTTGGACAGATTTGGCCGATGATTATTCCCCTCTTAGAGAAGACTCGTTGAGCTCTACAAATACTGCATAAAGAACTATTTAATAGCTCCTACCGTTCGGTAGTGGTTTGAGCTGAAGACGCCAAGAGGGCAGGAGTTGAAATCGAAAAGGTGGGGTGCCAAATCCAATTTCTGTTAAACACAGTTTACCAAAATTTAGAAGAGATTAAAACAAGAAGATTCAAGGAAGAAGGAGCCAACATGCTTCCACAGTCTTAGAAGTTTATAGGAAACAATTCTGAGATTTTAGGAATCTACACATCTCTACTGGCGAGTATGGTCGCTCTGGAAAGAGTGTAAATATCATTTAGAGAACGACGGTTTACGGAACAATCAGCCTGCTCATAAGTAACGTCGATCGGGCCGTGGCGGGACAGTGGGTGTGGCGAGACGATATTCAGGTACTTTGACTTTTCCATAATAAAAATAATCATTTTCGTGCTAGAATCGACCCAATTTTAGTTTTGTCTTGATGTGTGCCCAATTGCGAAGATCTTGGGCATTGTAAATCTAAAAATTACGTTCGGCATTGTCGTTGCCGCCTTAATTTTTAGATCACCTTTGTTCATAATTAAAAAGCCTCAAGCTACCACATCACGACCAAAGATGTTCTTTCGACTTTGAAGAATACAAAGCTCTTTGACATTGGTTCCTTAGGCTATCTCGAAGACCAGGAGTCTCTATCAGCCTTGTGGCGATCATACGCCGCGATGTCATGCGCTGTCGCCACCCTGGTCGGTACTTTTAGACAAAATCGAACAAGGATCAGCTCGGCACCGTGTGCCAAGGCATTGTATTAATCTCTTAGATAATCTACAGCCAAGAAGAAGCCCCTGGCATTGTGGCTTTAGACATGTGGCTAGGGCACTGCTGACAGAATGCTGACTCTGAAGCCAGACCGTCTGAAATGACTTGCTAGACTTCTACAAGTACTGTACGACACTCGTCTTACGATCCGGTCCCATTTTTAACTGTGCAGAACCTTGTTCTTTGTCGTGCGAAACTCTGCGTCCATGGCTCGAAATGACCCTTTGCACAACATGCAAAAGTCTTGACTTCCGGACGCTCCTTTTGACATGCCTGCAACAAGCTCGGGAGAGACAGGAAGCACGCGACATAGGATATGATGATGCCCCGCTCGCATCTGACCTTCTAGCACCATTAAGACACCACTGCGACATTTTCGAGGTTGGAAAGTCGAGCTCTACATGCAAACTTTGCAAAATCATATTCCAAGCGTTCGAGAAAAGACAGGTCGCTGATGTGGAAGATGCGAGAGGCCTGCAGATCGTCTTCCGCACATTCAGCAACAGGATTCAGGTGTGCTATGAGACTGAGGAACTGATTCAACTTTGTCGGCTCGATGTCTACATGAATGAAGACGATGGTGAGCAGAAAATTAGCAAGACCTCATCCCTAAAGACTGATCCGGGCGATAGTGGAGCAATACTTTCAGCTCTGTGGCATCAAAGAGGACGATTCGCCGCCAATCCTGCGAATGAACGAGAAGGATCCCGGCTCCAAGGAAGCTTTCGCAATCGCGTCATCCTGGCTTCGAAGCTGTTTGGAAAGCCACGCAGATTGTAAACTCACTGCTCAGATCCAGAACACGCCGAAGCGATTGATCAACGTTGGCAGCGAAACCCGGCATCCATTCCTTGTGGAATTTCCTCTGGCCTCTCAACAAGTCGAATGGCTGTCTCTCAGCTACTGTTGGGGCCAAGAAGACCCTTTGATGAAGCTTACTGCAGATACCAGGGAAAGGCTTGAGAACGGAATCCCCTTAGACAGCCTTGATCCTACGATTCGAGATGCGATACTGGTCACAAGAGGTTTGGGGCTCGACTTTATTTGGATTGATGCACTCTGCATTATTCAAGAAGACAACAATAAAGACTGGGATGATCAAGCTCCCAAGATGAATGAGATCTATGGAGGATCGTTGTTGACTCTTGTTGTCGCCAGTTCGAACTCGGTCAAGAGTGGATTTTTGAAGGAGCGTGTAATCCCGTACGTTCCCATATTATCTTCCAACAGCTCATCTGGAGAATCTCCCAACGCTGAGCCTCCTACACGAGTCTATTTTTCGCCAGAATGGGACCCGGACGAAGACAAACTCACAGGGCCATGGACTAACCGAGGATGGACAATGCAAGAAGGTCTGCTCCCCAGCCGACTGCTGCATTTTACGGCTTCTCAGATGATATGGAAATGCTGCGAGGAGGAGAAGTTTGAAAGAGGCGTGACCAAAAGTGTAAACGACATGGTTTCTGATACTCTAGCGCGCTCGGACGACATTTCGTTTGGATCCGCATGGTTCTGGACACTAGACTCTTTTATGAAGTTCAAAAGATTTCCCAGTCATTTACCCACCAACCCAGACTATCCTCTGCTCTCGGATCCGAATACATTTCATTTGTGGTACGATTTGGTCGAAGAGTATACTCCAAGGAGGTTCACCAAAATCAGTGATCGACTAGTAGCAATCTCAGGTCTTGCCAGAATCTTTGGCAGCATAATCCGAACCCATGAGTACGTCGTTGGTCTATGGAAACCGGACTTGATCCGGGGTCTCTTGTGGTACACTGAAGGCTCAATGCTTATCCCTCGACAATCCGTAGACAGCATGAGATCCAGCTATAGCAACTTTCCATCTTGGAGCTGGGCCAGTGTGGGATACGAGATCGTCAAGTTCAGACAGAAGAGCAGCGATATCCTCACAAGTTTGTCTCAAGTCGAGAGTGTATCCATCGAGCTTACTGACCAAAGCCAGCCATTTGGTAATGTTAAAGGTGGTAAGATAACAATCAAAGGTCCACTAAAGAGAGTCTCCAGACTCTACAATGCAGACTGGTCATCTGCAGAAGCCTCCATGTCAGAACTCGAGCGGCATCTGTCAGAAATAGTCGACAAAGAGAGCCTTGGAGGTCTGGCACACAGATTCTCCTCGCCTTCCGGAGGTGGTCATTATGCTGCGCTTCAAATGCTTGGAGATACACACTCGCTTGATCTACTTGTGCTCGAAGCTACGGGTGATGTGTCTAATGGAATCAATGTGTATCGTCGTGTTGGGATGGATACACTCCGATACTTTTGTGACGCAGATGTAGCGTCGCCAGATCTCATCAACAAACTGAAAGAGTCTGAGAGCTCCCTGTCTGCTCGCCTTGGTCCGCAGAGGAGGAAAGGAAGAAAGGTCAAAGGCACTCGTGCTGTAGTTACAGAGTTGAAGTCGGAGCCATGGGGAATTGAAACTATTATAATCATCTGAATGATGAAGCTAGAATTCAAATGGGAATTTGGAGACAAAATGTTTGCCAGGGATACTCTGAACTTTTCTGAACCAAGATACTCTGGCTCCAACAACACGACCAATGATTCTCAAGATACATCGCTTTGATCATCCTCTTCCGCTCATACTATGGGCAGCAAAGCAAATGATCACGATGGAGGAGAGATCACTCTCACACACGGCAGCATTTTCATTCTCACCACCCTATAGCATCCATGACGCGTAGATTACGATTCTCATGTTACCTTCGGGCTGACAGCCCCGTCATAGTCCGATTTGCCACTGCCAAACTCCGACGATAGACGGCTCTCGCGAGAGGAGAACACAAATGCTAGACTCAATGTTGGAGGACAACATAATTAGAGGGGTACTAGTCCAAACTTGCAAAGTCGAGGAGCAGTTGAAGATGCCATCTCAGCAATTACAGAGTCGGAGAGCGCTCGAAGGCACTCATTCAAGGGCACTCATTCGAGGGCACGCGTTCGATGGGACCCGTTCGATGGGACCCGTTCGAGTCCACAAGCTCAAGGGGACAATTTCGAGGGCATATAGTACGATCAAGGGCACATGTTATCTTTTGCGTCCGACGAGTAAGGCAGCCACAGTGGTGGAGGTCGCTACTAGTAATTAAAAATGACCCAGCTCTAGGTAGTCTTTGCTCCTCCGGAACCCTTGTACATTGTGACCAATAGTGTTCTCCTTATGTTCCAGGGTGGCACCAGAATTAAAGTCAAAAGGTGCACAATCACGACGCCGGTTTTGCACGCGACTGTATGGCAGTATCCACTCCTAGATATTACGCAAAGACCCAGTATATTACTTTAAAACCCATCAAGCTTATGCTAACACTTATGTAGAAACCCTCCCACCACTTATTACCACATTTGCGCTACTGGAACCTTTGGCGATCCCTTATCATGCTCTGTGTGCGTCTTAGACTCTTTCCTTAACGTCTCCTTCGTCTGTACCCTTTTGCCCTTTGGTTCTCTATCGACTTCTGCAGCATTTTTGCGCTTCCGGCCGCGTTTGGGCTTATCTGCTATGCCATCTGCCGTGCCCTCGGCTGTGCCATCCACGGTCTCTACTGCAGCCTTTTTAGGCTTTCGTCCACGTTTGCCTTTGGATTTTTCCTTCGCAGCGTCTTGCTCGGCCCGCTTCACTCTTGCGTCCACGAGGTCTTCGTAGCTCATGATCTTTGCTGTTCCTAGGACCACCGACTTCGTTGATCGTCGAACCTTGGCTTCATTATTGATTTTCATCATCAGTCGAATCTGATTTTGCTGGAGAGCCCCCTTAGCAAACGATGCTTGAGCGGCTTTCGCAAATTTCTGTAGGTGTCTATAGAAACGCAGCTTGCTCGTCTCGTCCATAGCGTCGGTGTTATACTTCATAATGATATTCTGCAGCGACGTAAGACCCTCTGCTGACACTGGCGTTACAGGTGATTCCAATGCTGCATCTTCCGGAGCAGGTATTATCTCGTTGATTTGGGGAACGGTCAATTCAGCAAGAGGTTTTGGCATCGTTCTGAGCACTCTATCTGGATTGAATGGATACAAACCAGTCGCAGCAAAGCCGGATTTGATATTCTTGGGCGTGAAGGCTCTCACCCTCGCAGGGCTATAAAGGCATGTAAAATGCTCCTTACCGATTGTGTTCACACCACCTCGCTCCAGCCGATCGACTTGCTCACGATAGGCAGACTTCAGCGGAGCAAAGGTAGAGACGTCGCAGGGCTGGAGCTTGTGTGATGTATGAGAAGGAAGGCGGCACAGGATGATGTTATTCGTAAGGCAGAACTCTAGGATCTCAAGGGTCTCATGCGTCCCAAACCCATCACAGATTAGTACTCGAGGTCTATCCTTAGCCTGGTCCTTAGTCTCAGGATCGAATATACGTTTGAGCCACTGCAAGCTAATATAAGAGTCGGTATATCCAGTCTCGGTGCACGCATATTGCCATCCAGGGGTAGGAAACGTAGTCCAGTTACTTCGATGAGTAGTAGCCGGCCAAATAACGAGAGGATTTAGATACCTACCATTAGCACTAATACATTCAATTGCAGTTACCGTTATACGCTTAACTCGTGCGCCTCTATGCTTTCGTAAGTCGTCACTTCGCATTAATACTTTGACAGAGCCTGGCATCGATAGCATGACTCCAGTCTCATCCATATTATAGACGTTCTCAGGAAGTATCATCGGGTCATGCAAGACCCGCTGAATAGCTTCGAACCAGTGAGTTGTCTTCCCGTATATGTTCTTCTCGTGGCGGTTCCATTCAAGGGCCCTAACTCGTCTCGCTTTGATCTCTGGATATCGCTTTTCTAGATCCTTCGACCAGCCCTCATGCGGAGGCTTGGGAGGTCTGTTTGTAGAGCGCTGGCGGGTGATGCAGAAGGCTAGGGAGGGTATAAATTTGATTCGAACAGGTTGTCCAAGATCAGATAATTGTAAGAGATACTGAATAAGGGCAGCTTCCTCATAGTCTCTGAGATATCGTTGGCCTTTGGCCTTCTCCTCTATCGAGGGTCGACCGTTGGCACGAGCATGAAGGGTAGAAGAAGGGACTTCACTATGGTCTGCGAGGGTTCGATATGATCTGCGGACACCGGGGCGGACTCCTCGTGCTAATGCTTGACTTGCCTTGTCCATGTTAGCGTACTACAGGTTGATGATAGATGGGATGGAATGGAACGAATAGGTACAGGGTGGGCAGCGAGGGAGGGCGAGGCACTAGAGCAGAGGACACGTAGCCAAAGAATGTTGCTATAAAAAGAATAGCGCATCGGATTATCTATGTTCCGAGTATCTATCTGCACGAAGATCTAAGTTATATCTTCAACTGCCCCGCGTTCGATTGACTACCATCAAATTGGGTCAACCTTAACTCCTTTTTTAAGTCGATATCCATTCAAGGACGATGTGTTAGTGGAGTTGTGAGACATTCCGATCTTGTGTGCGGAATCCCAAACACGAAAATCGAAAAGAAATTCTCTTTTGTCAAGCAGCAGTCAATCGAGGCCGTATTGCATGCCTTCCTCCATCTGGGTTTTTAAGGGATCTTCCCCTGAACCGCGATGTTCAAGATACGGATAAAGATGGAGATTGTCCTCCTTGTAAAGGAGTAACGCCATCTAATTCGTCTGATTAGATTGGTTGGCTCCCCAATCTAGTTTAAGCGATCGTTGGTAAGCCCTTTTTCTTGCACCCTCTCCTAGATCTTCGAATGTACTAGATAGGTCTAGTTTAGTTGAGTTTCGCAGCTTAGAGAGACGTCGTACAATGTAGTATTTCTTGAGACTTTGAATACTTGAAGTTCCAACTCACTAAGATCGACATTTGGAACCTCTTCACAATGAAGATCAAGAACGAGATAGAGACGGGTAGAAGAGGGTTCGCTGCATATATGCACACCGTGTCCCTCGAGATTTGGTAGATTTTGCGATTCAAAGAAAGCATCTACCATTATCTTCTGATCTTTAAAGAATTGCTCGCGACAGCGGAGGATAACCCGCTTTGGAGTAGTTTGACCCATAGTAACTAAGATCTTAGCTGCGAAAGGCTGAGATTCCACAAATGAAAAGATAAAACTGGAAGTAGGGGCTGGCAGTGCTATAAGAGTGGCGAAAGTCTCGTCGCAGGATTGGAACTGAAAGGGCGGTAGATTTAGGCACATCATGTGAGCTGACAGGCATGCGCCACATCATCTAGTCTATAACGGGGGTAGCGGTATATTACTTAGCTGACAAATACAGCACTCCACACTGGCGTCAGCAGGGGCTTTAAAGGATTCGGCCATCGATCGGCGAAACTCGCGGAATGTGTGCAATAAAGTCGCAAAGGTCCTCCACACCAGGTGATATCATTTTCAGACATTAATTTTCATCTTCAGTCTCCCGAATCATGCTTAGACTGCGTTGGTCGCGAATGAACAGGGGTGACTTGCTAAAGTGGCGATCGACGGCGTTGACGAATCGACTGACAGCAACATCAGCCCTACACTAATGGTTGCCGGAGATTGGTTTCCTCAGGCATCTATAAATGTAGAATGAAAGAATCCAATTACAGCCTTATAGGCTTGCAGAGAAGAGATTGCGAAGGTCCGATTGCCAAATACGTCCCGCTACACCCACTGTCCCGTCACGGCCCGATCGACGTTAGTTAAAATCTTCCCATTACGAGTGTGTTAGCTGTGAAACTGCAGCCCACGAGCGGCAATGTCAGACAACTGGATTTTGTAAGCATGGATCTCCAATCAGATATCGTCAAGCAACTTACATAACACACTATCGAAATAAGCTTATGCCCGATCGACCGCCAGCTGACAGAAACTGGAATGTTGGCAACCGCTGGCGAGTACGGTACTCCTCACATGACATAATCTTATTCCACAAACGCCATGTGACGGACCAAAAGAGGAGTAAAATAATCAATCAGCTGCAAGTCCACAGTTCTTGTGTACCTCATCGGAAGCGCGGAGCTTTGGTCGGCCGATACCTGCGAAAGCAAGGCTTGCTCGGAGCGACAGCCTTGTGAGTTCCAGCCGGGAGGTACGGAAGCTAAGCCTAATCGGGCCTAGCAAGAGCCAAACGAGTGTGAGGTCGCGTGCTCGGGCTTCTGCTTATACTTTAAGATGCTGGCGGGCGTGACCTCTCAACCCTATTCGGCGCGCATCCGGCACCGCTGAGGGAGCGAACCCGAGGCGATGCGAGAGAGAGACTGACGGCAATGGGTAGACGTATATATGGCGGTTGGTTGTGGCGAGCTGTGAGAGCAAAAATGAAGCCGGCATAACGCAGGCGACATCCATCAAACAACAGTAATTCGGATTCACGATAACAACGAACAGGAGGAGAAAGAAGTGCTGGAGGACTCGAGCAAGCCACTTCTCTTCGTCGAATTTCTAATCTCCGTTTCTTCCGCTGACTTCACCGTCGCCTAATTACAAACTATCCTAACACTTGGTTACCTAGATTACTCACCTGTGAACTCTCCGCACTGCTTACACCTTTTTGTCGACGTCTTTTCGTCTGGTCTTTCTCCCTCACCCAGCTATTCTCGTTTTCCGTATATCGAGGGACATCATCAGATATCTGATCACATTTGACCCCGGACTCCCTCGCGGATATACCTACCAAAAGTGACCGGGGTATTCGGAGCTACCCTTGCCCACTACCCCACTAGGCATTCGACACCTCAGGACAAAGAAGGCAACGCAGCGATCCTGGGTAATAAGCTTCTGTGGAGGCAGCGAAGATCCGTGCCGCATCCGCAAGCTTCCTGCCCTTCTACATATAACCCGTCCTCGTCCTAGTTGGCTTCTCTCACTTCTGTCCCCCACAACACCATGGGTGCTGGAGCTTTTATAGAGCCACTCGTGGTAGTGACGCTGCTGTTCGGAGGCACATGGGTCAACCGGAACACTCGGTATCGTATATTTGACCGCCAGCGACGCAGTCAGAGATCCTCCCGCTCGTCTTCCCCAGATTCCATTGAATCCGGAAGCTCCAGTCCGCGCTCGAGCGCCTCACTGCTTGACGACAATCGCGCTTCTTCGCCTTCGCTATTCACGCCCCAGGAACCAAAATGGAGGAAAAGAGAGATACGGATACTTGGGTTTAGGAAGGAAGTCGTGTCGCCAAATACAAAGAGATTTCAGAGATATTTTCTGAGCCGGTTGCTAAAGAAGTTTCCGTTTTTAGTTGAGGCGTGGTATTGGGCGTTGATATATTGGGTATGCTCCCACTCTTGCTCTTCCACTTTTGTTTTCAGGAATACCACTGACAGTAAGTCAGGTATACCAATTAGGCCGCGCCTTCACCGCCGTAACCCTCGTCGAAGGCACCGTAAATGTCGCCCGTAACCATGCTCTCCAACTCATTCACCTCGAGCAATCCCTTCACATCTTCCACGAACTGCCCATCCAACACTGGTTCCTCAAACACCCGTTCCTCATACACTGGACCAACCGCATTTACTCATTCATCCACATCCCCGGCACTATCCTCTTCCTCGTCTGGCTATACTACTACACCACCGCCGGCAACCGTCTTAACCTCCCCCTCCCCAACAAACTCATCGAAGAACCCGGCGGCTCGCTCGCAGGACCAAAACTTTACGCCGCCCGCCGCCGCACAATGGCCGTCTGCAACCTCCTCGCCTTTATTGTCTTCACGCTCTGGCCATGCATGCCACCACGCCTACTCTCCGACCCCGACGTTGAAGGCCCAATTGGTAAAGAAGCGCGCTCCTACGGCTTCGTCGACACCGTGCACGGCGCCACGGGCGAAAGCTCTGTATGGACACAGAACAAATTCTGTAACCAATACGCCGCGATGCCATCTCTTCACTTCGGATACTCGCTCCTCATCGGCCTAACGATCTGCATGATCCCGCTTTCGCCGCGGCATCGTCGCCCCCGCACATTTTCCTCCCGGATCCCGTTCACGCGATCCCGCAGTCTAAGACTCAGACTCCCGTGTCCGCGCAGATTGCTGTGTTTGATCCTCGGTATTGCATACCCGACGATCATCCTCGTTGCGATTATAGCGACAGCGAATCATTTTATTCTGGATGCTGTGGCGGGCGCGATGGTGTGTGGGGTTGCGTGGATGGGGAATAGGGTGCTCTTAAATCTGTTACCTTTGGAGGATTATTTCCTGCTGTTGGTGAGGATTCATAAGCCGGAACGGAGTACGGGGGACATTGAGGGGGATTTTGAGGATGACGGGTGGGGAGACGTTGTGAAAGGGTCGGTTGTAAATTAAGTACTCGCGTGGTTGGAAGACGGGATGTGAATTGAAGGATTAATGATGAGTGCAATAGTTCGGTGTTGGGAGCGTGTTTCGCTTTTTGAAGCGAGTTTCGCTTTTGGAGCGAGCATTCTGCCTGGTCCTAAGTGTGCGGGGTTCTTGGGGTTGGGATTGGGGCGGATGGAGCGTCTACGAAATGAGCGACGCTTTAATGATTATGTGGGGGTTGTCGGAACTAGGCACAGGCTTATGATTTGAGCAGGGTAGAGATGGGGGGGAGGGACGAGAAAATGAGAGGAGAGGAAAGACAGACATCGGGTCGGTCGGTTGAGATACCCCTAAGCCTCCACTCCTATTCCACTCACTAAATGGAACTATCTATGGATGAATTAGTACAGGATGCATGCGCCTAATGAATGATATCGCAAGAATCTCTACTTTTCCTTCTTACATGGCATGAGATGAAAGTATACTTTGAACAGATGATGCAAGTTAGAATAGAGTTATCAGATAACCCTACCCCTATCCCTGCCCGTGCACGAGGCCCCCCTTCAACTAGCGTTTCAACATATTGGATATGTACGCTGATGGACCCGACCCAGTGAACTGGATCCAGCCGGGGATGCAGGTACCTTTTTCCAAGCCTCTAGTGATGGATGCAGATGACGCGTCGTGAGAGGGCGCTGGGATGGGGAGTAGGCCGGGCCTGCACCAATCTGAGTGGTTGATTAATCAGATGCAATGAGATGGCACAGATAGTAACAGCTAAGATTTGATAAAATGAAGGTGAGCGACTGTTATTGGTTCAATTTCCCTTCCAAAATATGAAGATATTGAGCAGAGATTGACAAGATGGAGACGAACCTGTCATGTGTACTGACCGATCTTGATCGGGTATTCTGAAAGAGAAATTCAACGAAAGGCTTTCTTCCTGGCTTTCTATGGCATCTGTGCATAGTATTCCAGCAGGACCGCAAAATACTTGACAGAAACGCGACGGACTGACTTCCGTGCCAAGGAAAGTAGCTCCTGCCTTCTACTAAGATTTCTGTCTACGGTTGCAGGGTACAGTGGTAACTCCCTACGCCGTTGTAACGGTTCAGGGGCCATGAATTTTTTTTTAGGAAGCTTGCTGATTCTCGTATGAATCGGATGCCGAGTCACAATACCAGATTACTACTCTGCTTTCACTTCAATTATTTCGCATTGTAGAACGTAAGGGTACCTGACGTTTTCATTGAAAGACAGGGATTTTCAGAGATTAGGACAAACATACTCCTGTTCCTCAATTTCCGCTCTTGGGTGATTGAATGAAAGAACCAAGGAAACTAGGCAGCGAGACGTGGATATACGTTTAAGCTTTCGTCTGGCTTCGCTCACCATGAAAATAAGTTGATAGTTGTAGAGTGAGAAAAGTTGTGCTCGAGGCCTCGTTCAGAGGGTGTGATTCCAGTTGAGGCTTACCGTTTTCTCCATTCAGCAGCCCAAACCTAACTGGGTGATAACGGGGTACTTGATGGTCTAAAACAAAAATCTTGAAGTTTCCAATATTGGACTCCATCGTGAGATATCCCCCCTATAGTCGAATAATGTATCCACAAGATGGGTTAGTCGGTAGAACGGATTGTGCATGGCCCTCAGTACCAACAGGGAACTACGTGATGAAAGTGCGGTTTGTGAAATGATCGCCTCTAGATCCTGCCAAAAACCCAGTAAAGCCGGTATGTGGAACCTGTGAGTCCACGTCGACCCTGAAGACCAAATTTGTTGATATGTGACTTAGCTGGACTGAATCGGGAAATCGATGCTGCGAGCGAGGTCGGGCATTGACTGGGCGGATGACAGGTGGGCGCGCTGGCAGTACGTTCATTTTCAGATCTTTTCCCATGATGTGGCTTGAAGAAGTGCATGGAAGCAGAGCCTATGAAGAAAGTGCAGGGGTTCAGTTCTAGGCCTCTGCGAGATGGATCTGGAGAAGCTGAGTTAGAGCGACGTCGGTAAGATATTGGCGGACAGTGCTTTCCTACTGTAACTTTAGGGTACTCTGTGAGAGGTCCGTGTCCAATTTATTGCACATCACATTCCTCTACAGATATGGCTGGCGGAGTCGTAGATCGCTGACTTGGTGTCTCACACCGAATATACACATACCTGAAGGCAAATCCATGTGATGCAATCCTTCCATTTACAGTATCCGGAATGCGGCTGTTTCTGCAAGTGATACAGATAAATATGGCTGAAGGGCTGGACAACAGCAGTTAAATAGGTGGAGCTGGAGGAAGAGAAAATGAGAAGTAAGGAGAATTCTGCGTGCGCTGGACCAGTCAAAAGCAAAAACGAAAGTGCAGAGAGTGTTTGTGCATAGGGCTGAACCCCAGTCGAGCTGAGGAGCGCTGTAGACTGCGATTGGACAGAAAGAATCGAAGAATGCTTCTCGGTAGGTGACTGCATCATGCAAGGTGAAATGATGCATACTCCGGAACAGAGAAGTTGAAATTCGGACAACAACGATGGTGTCTTGCGAATCCTAAATGGCGAAATTTGCGCGTCGGCTTACCTTGGTGGTGCAACTCGCTTCTAAATCATCGTCATCCGCGCTGAGAGCGCATTAAATGCTGAGTTTTCTGGTTTAAGCACCATAATGGTCGTCCACCCGGCATTTGAAGGCTGAAGGGATCCACTAGGATCCACCTATTTTGACTCCCAACGGTATCTGTAAGACGAGTTTTTATGGGAGATGCAGCATCTGCTCTTCTGTTACTGGATCGGGACAAGGCTGATGAGGCATGCTAAGGATCCATTGGCGGGTGAAAATTCTGCGAACCGGATTCGCGGAGCCGAAATAAGCGAAATATCGTGAGACCCCTGTTTCGGAGAGTGATCGAGCATCATCACGATGGCGGTTAGGAATGGTTGAAGCGTCTTCGGAGGTGGCCGACGATATCATTGAGGAACGATACGACGTTGGTGGAGACGCAGGGTATAAAAACAGTTGCAATCAAGTAACAGTATTGAATGGTTCCGAGGCTTGAGCCTCAACAAGTGGATTCTGTTACTCGACAGACTGCCAGGCACAGCAAAGTGCAGTGGGCCGGGAATCCAGGATGCCGAGTCCGATGGAAAATGCATGCCGAGGCGGAGATGAGTCAGGTCACAGTTGGAAGAATTGAAGAAAGCTTCGAAGCGTGCTCCATGTATTGGACCGCTGCCACGAAATTTTCCATGCATTACCTAAAACCTCATCCTTGGCATGCGAGTTGAGACAGTGCAAAGACATCATGTCTTGCTTCGCGTGTTACCCCATTAGCAATGGCAGGCAAAAGGCAATTTGCAGGGCGGAAACAGGCAGCGAGAGGGCATGGGAAATGGCCCTGTAGTGTGAGTGGGAGGCGCTCCGTGGAGATGCTGAAAAGCTCATCTCCAGCGTCGCCATTTTGAGCTGGGTCGACGCCATTTTGCGGGGAACAAGGCTTCGATGCTCCGATGGATCATCATTCTGCGTCACGGAGACATCAGGCGGTGCGCCCCTTGAACGAGGTAATTTGCGGGAATGTCCACGGGTGTTCGATGCTGGCAACCGAACGCCCCAGGTGCAAGCCACAGTCTGGGTTAGCATGAAGCATGCTCAAGTGAGCGGCCGTCGGCGAGGGACAGCGTATGGGGAGCCGCGCGCTGAGTATCACCACTCAGGACAGAGTCGGTGAGTGTCTGCTGGCGGGGCATTAAGCTGGTCAGCGTCGGCGGCGAAACAAAGGCGCATACAGGGCGGGCGCGAGATGGCATGAGAGCTGAAAGGTGAGGTTGAACGGCGAGACCGCTGAAAGGACAGTGACGACGCATCGTCGCAGCTGCCATTTCCTGGAGGGCGATCACGAGAGAGCAGGATGTGGTCCGGGCGCACCTGCCTCCTGACCCGAAAACTGCAGCCACCTGCAGCGTGGGCTTGCCGTGAAAGGCATGGCGCCCTGAACAAAAGCTTGGATGTCCGTCAGAGCGACACTTTCAAAGGACGTCCAGTCATCAGTTTCCATTATGTACAGACACGCCCAACAGGTTAAAGACCACAGCCTGCCCATGCTAGAAGAGACTCTGAAATTATTTTCCTACTTCAAGACCATGTTATTGCCGCTGCAGTGCCTTCATCAATTGAACCAACACAAGACCCTTTCGTAGTTGCCGTTAGACCCCAAACACTCCTGCCAACTATTTCGTCGCCGCTCCCCTCGCACCAGTGCCCCGGACAGAACTTGTTCGTTGGTTACTTCCCCATATTCCAACCGCTCGCAATTCCAAGTTCGCCTTTGTTATTAGTATTAGTCATGCCAGGCCGCCTTCTTGCGTTTGTCAGGGCGCCGTCGTCATCGCCAAAGTCCGACCACCAAAAATTAGACAAGCATCAAAAGGACGTGATACCCCTCTTCCCGCCCGTCTACTCTGTCAATCCCCCGCCCCTTCACAAAGCATCACAAGAGTCTCTCGTCATGGATGCCTTCAAGCGCCACAGCCTCGGAGGAAGGCATCACGCAGACAAGAAGAGCCCTAAGGTTGAGCCTCAGCAGCCCGTCAGAATGGACATGCTCGTAGAGTCGCCACCCCTCGTTTTCTACAACAGCCCGCAGACCTCTACAGGTGCACTCTTTTCTGGACAACTTAAATTGGATGTCTCCGAACCTCATGTCACCCTTGAGAAATTCGAAATGCGCCTGCTCGCAACTGTTACGACGAAAAAACCCGTCGTTCAGCACTGTTCTGAATGTTCCACTCAAATCACCGAGATTCACAAATGGGATTTCCTTAAAGCGCCAGTATCCTTAAGGCATGGCATGCACGCGTACCCTTTCAGTCATCTACTACCTGGATACCTACCTGCGACCACGCATGGCTCTCTTGCAACCCTCGACTACTCTCTATCCGTCGTAGCAACTACCTCCACTGGCGACAACATTAAATATGGTCGCCAGATCGATATCAAGCGAGCCATCTTTCCGGGAAATGAGAAGCACTCGATTCGGATCTTCCCTCCTACGAATCTCACCGCAGCGTTGACCCTGCCTCCGGTCATCCATCCCATTGGCGACTTCCCGATCGAAATGCGCCTCTCAGGTATCGTGACTAACAAGAACGACTCGCAAACGCGATGGCGACTGCGCAAACTCAACTGGCGCATTGAAGAAACTCACAAATTCGTATCCCCAGCCTGCGCCAAGCACACGTCGAAGGTTGGCGGAGAACGCAAAGGTATCCTCCACGAGGACGTCCATGTCATCGCCAACGAGGAAGTCAAACATGGCTGGAAGACCGACTTCGACCAAGGCAACATCGACGCCGAGTTCCGCGCCGCCTGCAACATGTCCTTGAAGCCAGTGTGCGATATGGACAGCCCCAACGGAATGGAGGTGAAGCACAACCTAATCATCGAAATGGTTGTCGCTGAGGAGTGGGCTCCACTAAAGAAACCCAACCAAGCCACGCCAACAGGTGCAGCCCGTGTCCTACGCACACAGTTCCACCTCGTCCTCACTGAACGTGCGGGTTTGGGAATTTCATGGGATGAAGAGCAACCACCAATGTATGAAGACGTTCCAGCATCCCCGCCTACTTATGTCGACGACTACGACATCGCCCATCTAGATGACGAAGCCAGTTCACTGAATATTTGAGTGGGCATAAGCGTCGACCGTCCGTTTGAATCGAATCTTTGATATTCCCGTAACGGCCTATCAGCCACGATTTCCTTTGTGTAGAGAAAGTCTTGCATTAAACGGTTGGTTGCGGAGGATATACCCGAAATTATTATTCAGTACATACATATTTCTCAACTCTTAGCAGCTTTGCAAGTAGTGCATCCCATTTTGTAACTTAGGGATAGCGATTGATACTGGGTTTTCGGAACAGAAATAGCGAAACAGCGTGGAGTTACATGGAGGCTGGTTTCCATACGTGGCTTGAGTTGAGCCCGGTGCAGCTGGAGCTCCTCATTGTGGATTAATTGGGAATCTAGCATGGTGTTGGCGGAAAAGCGTGTCTTGGTTACCACCAGCCTATGCAACTTATCGAGTAATTCTTAGTGTGAGTGGAATCTACAATTTCTGCTCCTAATGGTTCATCGTACCATTCTATTCACTCCCCCTGAATCACTACTTGCTTTACCTTCCAGCTGTAATCACCTGGACAACCAAGGCCTTTCCCCGACCAGTCCCAAGTCCACGTGCCCTCATGCACCCAGGTCCAGATCCGGAGATGTCACTCCCAAAAATCCCCTCACCTCATCACGTGGGTCACCCCCAGCTTTTCTCTCGTCACCGGCCTTGTCGCGAGATGTCTCGCCTCCGCGTCTCGTTACGTAACTTCCGGGTTCTGTGGCTTGACGGCTATACGCCTCCCGCCCTGCAATGCCTTTTTGGCCTCATACTGCCTTTCTGGCTTCACTCTGCCTAAATTATCTAGAACATCTAGACTTCTTTTGGAGGACTGTGCGCCTGTCGCAAGGTAAGACGTTGCATAAAAATCTATATCTCCGTGGTAAGTGCCGCTCAGGATTGAGAGATGGCGTTTGACGATGAGGGGTTTTGGGAAAGGGGGCTAGAAGTTGAAGAATTTGTACGTAAGTGCAAGAGGGCGATTGAAATGTTGAAGTTTGTAATACCGAACTGAAGCGATGCGGCCAGACTGGATGAAAGAACGGTAGTAACTAGAGATGGGGATAGAAATACTCAGTTTCCCTTATTGAAGCACAGCACCCCCTTCAGTTGCACTGAAGCGCCATAGTATTCCGCCACACATAGATGGTAGGAGATTAGATGACGCAACAGGGGGAGGCCTGCTACAATACGCTCCTTTGCTGAGATCTGTCATTTGGGAGAGTGGTATTCTACATAGCAAAGATACAATGGCTGTTGAACATATAGCGTGACAACAGGAGATCTAATAACGGTTGCGTCGATCCTTGCCAGATGCCCGTTATTCAGGTACCCGATGCTAACCGGTGGATTTCACTCAGGCGGAGGGTTGGTGATTTAGGAAGGATTTGGATTGACCCTGGAAGGGGCGACGGATGGCTAGATGGGGTATTCCGGGTGGGTTGAGGAGAGATGGAGGGCACTGAGAAGTGAGAGTGGGAGGGAGTGCTAGATGATGGAGGTAGAGGTTAAAAATGCTTAGTTTGAAGAGAAAAAAAGATAGAGCGGAAAATGAAGGGTAAAGTGTGGTGGTATTAGAAAATTACGGTAAATGCGTCTATCTACAAAGCGTTCCAATGCGTCGCACGATGCTATTTAGCATCACAAATCTAAGAATAAAATACCAATTCTCCATCTAACAAACTTTGAAGTATCGCACCCTTTCCAATTCCACCCTCTATGGTGCCGCAAACCTCCAAAGATCCCACTCAGCTTCACTCCCCTCCGTCTCCAGTACATTCACCTTTCCATAGCACCTTCCACAAACTAACTCCTTCTTCCCCTGAAACTTATTTAACATCACGTCTCCATCTCTGCAATCACAGCCCGGTTCCCCACAACCCTGTTTCCCGCTTTTCATATCTTCAGCACCCATCATAACCTTCTCTAACCACTCCGACAACTCCAAGTCCACGCTGCCGCCAACTCGAGCAACCTGTACGCCTCGAACCCCAAGGAAGAGTTTCAAAACGTCCCAATTACAGGCCTCGAATTGCGCTTGCCAGACACGGATTTCTAGATACTCCGCGCCAGAGAAGGCAGCGCGCGCTTGCTGCGCCGTGAATCGCGGATCCGTATCCAATCTCAGACTAATCTGCCAGCGACGAATTTTGCCGGTAACAGAAGGATACAGCACCGGGCGAGACTTAGAAGCAAGGTGTGGCAGGGAGGCGAGGAGGCTAGGGTGTGCGTGGAAGATATGCGTCGTGTAGAGCAGACTGTGCGCCTCGCCATGGATTTTCCGACATGTGGATAGGATACCCGGATAGAGTTGGATCGAGGTCGAGGTTTCGTTGAAGCCGCGGACGGCGAGATCATTCTTTTTTGACTTTAATGCACTTAATGACGATGTATCTGGGCATAGCAAGTAGCCGTAAATCTGATTTCGGAGTTCAGCGGGGAGGCGTAGGAGTGGTGACTGGAGTTGCTCGTCCGCTATCGCATGTCCCTTTCTCTTCACAGCGGGCTCGGCGGTGCAGCCTTTGGATACGGGCTCGCATTTACCATGAGGTCCAATGCACTGGGACTGCGATGGTGTTGTTGAAGGTACGCATGATTGCAAGGCTGTAGGCTGGATGAAGGGATTCGGATGTTGAGTGGTGGGAGGTTGGGGCGGCGGCGGGTATACCATGGAGGTGGGAGGGTGGTAGTATACGGCGTAGTAGGACATGTTGTTTCCTTTCTGTAGTCTTCTTCTTCTCCTTCTTCTTGCTGCTCTCCTTCGTCCTCTTGCTGTTTTGTCTTTAAGAGAATCTCTTCAGTGATTGAAGATCTGGCCTCAATGTGATGAGATACCGCAGTACACTCTGATTCTTCGCGGGTGTATGCGCAGTTCCCTTCGTCAAACTCAACTTCAGAAGCAGTCTGAATAGTCCCGGAAGGCGACGTAGCCGGCGTGGAAGCGAGCGAATTGTCTGGGGTAAGAATAACAGAACGCGAACAATCTGCGGAAGAGGGAGGAGAGGAATGCTGGAAGGCCAGCGCAGGAAACGCAGGTCTTATGTAAATCGGACTCAACGAATAATATCCTGGCATAGATATGCAAAGAGTAGGTACAAGGAACTGGAGGCTGCGTTCGCGGATTCCGAAGCCACCCAAAGGCGATTCAGCTGTTTATGGCAGTAAGAGATTCCTAATTGGGATGTACGCAGGTGGATGTCAAGCCAAGCTGGAAGAAAGACAATCGACGAAAAACTGACTTCACGCCTCCATGCTGAGGTTTTATATGCGCTCACCGACAATCAATGAAACCTTGCACAGACACAAATTTTCCAGTAGTCAGAAAGGAAAGAGTCATAATCACGTTGTCGAGGTCGTTGCGCTGGAACGTTGGGTTGAGCAACGGTAGACCGTGGATCCCTGTGCATGTCAACCCCGATAAGGCGTCGATAAGGCTAGCGCCACAATTTTCGGGGCTCCGAGAGCTTTGCCCACGCCTCAGCAACGCCATCACCCGACCAGCTCCCCCCCTCCCCAGCCAGCCTAAGAATAGTGTCTCCTGAGGCTGAAAACGCCGCATTTGAGACGGGTGTTCGCGGACATGGCACTGGGATTTATGTATCTCAGTCTCTATTTGCATCCTCCGAATATTGAAGTCGCGCATCCTGAATTGTTGTGAGCTGAAGATACACGGTGTTGCGCACTCAGTCACACGTCTCCCGCAGAAGCCAGCTTTCGAGTATCCCATCAGTCCATTATTGTTCATCCTGCAGGAACCCCATACCATACACAGCCAAATAGGTTATCGAGTTATGGAGAAGTCTCATGAGCCTCACCCGCCGCACTACACACCGCCTCACGCCGACCCGCTATTTGCCATCCCACGCACACCGTTCGCACGCATCCCGCCGATGTGCAGGTGCACATGCAAATCCATCTTGCCAACCATCTCCCAAGTCAAGGCACAACTGCAACCAAGTGGTGTGACACGTACCAACCCATCAATTGCCAATCTCCGAATGTTCTCCTAATCTCTCATTCTAATTCCTATCTCCCCGACCTCTTATATTCCAGCCCTGCTAGCACGTTGAAGGAAATTCTCGCATCTTAGAAATTCCTGTCCTGTGAGTCGTACACTCGGAGCTTTGCGCTCGGTCGGTCGTTCGACGTTAATATCAGAGTGTCAGTGTTGTTGTCAATGCGTTTCCGTAAATTCCCGTAGAGAGACCGGAAAGGGCCGGGCCCCACTTACACGGAGCTATATCTTGTTTGCAGACAGATCTTGTTGATGCTTCGCCACTTTCCTAGGTGTTCATGATTCATGATGCGGTGTGTTTGGTGAGTTGTGCAAGGGGGTAGAGTGGATCTCGTGGGTTATAACTTGGACTGACCGCCATCGAGGTACACGTGGCTTGCGGTGGTGATAGGACTGGGAGACCAAGATTTCTGTATGATTTGCAAGAGTTGTGAAAAGTAATGTGGGATAGCACGATTGTATGAGCATGAAAGACTGCCAGGTTTGGATACCTTCGCAGCCTAAGCTCAGGGAAGAAACGTTAAGTATTTGCTGATTCGTTGCATCCTACCTTGGATGGCGCAGAAGTCTGAATACTGGAAGTCTTAGAAGTGTCATGAGTCTATCATGCAGACTTCATCGTCGAATATTAAGATGTTTGTTTCATCCAACTCAACTGGGAGTATTCTGCACAGTAAGTCCTCCTCTTCGACTCTTTCAATATCAATCCATACAACACCTATCCCTGCTTGTGAAATCCTTCGAATCAACATCCTATCCAGTATTCCCTCTTCTTTTAATTCCGCCTTTCACTCTATTCTTATCATCATCCTCCTCAAACAACCAACCCAGCCAATCCCATGCCTAATGCCGCACCAATTCCTTTCCAGCCAGGTCCAGTCGTCGGCGCCGCGCCCTCCTTCACTGTCTTAGTGACTCCTACTACTCCTGTCAACGTCCCCATACCAACAATGCCTTTGCCTGGCCCCGGAGCCTGCGAAGGTACGGCTTCGAACTTGAAAGTCGCGGTGACAGGGACCCAGGTTTTTACGCCGTTCACAACTGTCTCCACCCATTGCACGGTTAGGGAGAGTTGCTCTACGGCGGCTGCGGTGGCAAGGGGTTGGGATGTGGGCTGGACGGCATTGGGGTCGGCGACGATTTCGCGGAGACTGGGGGTCGTTAGGTTTGAGGCTTGGATAGTAGGATGATTGGTTGATTGGGAAAATGATGATGGGAGTTATGCATTGGACTTACTCGAGATTCTCCGCGACAGCAGGGGTTGAAGTCGGCTCTGGCGCTGGTATACCCGAATTTGATATTGACGTGGCCGTGGGGCTCGGTATTGTCGCGGTTGAAGGAGAACTTGCGGGTTGTGGTTGGGAGTGGCAGATGCGGCTGGCAGCAAGTGTTGGAAGGAGAAACACTGGAAGAGATGATATCCGCATTGCGAGTCGTAAAACCTAGTATCGAGTGAATGAGGATGACCAGTTTCACTTAGGTATGCAAGAGGAGAATCTCGTGGTGTTGATGCGTGAATGGTTCGAAGTCTAAGGAACGACTGTGTGATGAATCGCTGGTTGTTATGCTGCTCTGCTTCTTCAACCCTCCTTTCCAGAGATGTCGAAGCCGATCAAGCACCCTGCTGACCCTCCCGTTATCTGTTGAAAGTGCTGACGCCAAAGAAAAGCGAGTGGACGAGATCCCCTTCTCCAGGACAAGAACTCTGGAAATCAAAGGAGTGCTCGGGTACTTCTGTTTGAGTGTAGTTCGAAAAGGTGTTCCGTATCCGTACTGTCTCAAAAGAAACGCGCAACCAAGATGCTGTAATAACGTGAGTGGCCTTGCGGGTGCACAACGTCGGTCAGGCAAGGCAAGACGAGTCGATCTAAAAATGAACGAGAGCGACGCAAATTGGCTGACGGCAGCAGCGACTGGCGTTCACGTCGGGCGTCAACAAAGAATGATAGAGAAGGAATGATGTGAGATTGGGGAACCGGAGGCTCGAAAAGTAAAGGAATGCAGACAGGCAAGCAGGGCTGGCCTCCTGATTAGAGGAGGAGAGAGCGGAGCGAGTAGAAAAAGGTTGAGAAAACAGTGCACTGCAGCTCGCGAGCACCGCAGCTTAGACGCATCGAGCCCCATTCTGTCCATACAAACCCCTTACGAACCCCCTTCTTCGCCTTATCCATGTATCACTGGACTTTCACAAAGACAGGACTTTCAGCCACCGGGATTTCCCTTCAGATCCCCTCAATCTGCTCTGCCGCCTCAATGCCAGGGTCTCATTACAGATCAAACCTTTGATTCGTTAACACAGGGCGAAGCATTCGTCTAACCCTCCCTTTTCAGCCTAGCAGAGCGGTGCTCCCGTCAAACCAAGTGCTCGTTCAGCTCCCGCCTTGTCCGCCGTGACACTGGCGACGGAGATGTGTCGTTGGCTACTCGCCGGTTGTTGGTCGGCAAAAGATTGATAAAGGAGGCGCAATTTTGTGTTTGGCCAGAGCAGAGCAGCATTCTCAAGAGGCGAGGGACATGTAATATCCTCACTGTCTTCAGGAGTAAAAGGGGAGAGATGTCAAGATCAGTGATGATTGATGATGTAAAGATGTCTCTTTATAAGCTTTTTGGGTCGTGAATCCTTTGTGGCTCAATCAGGCAATTTCTCGTGTTTCGCCGGGAGGATGAGGCGATGTGCCGCAGGGATTGTGGAATGCTGTGCGTGCTACTGCTGCATTGTCATATGCACAACCAACTGGATTCCAGAGCAATTTTCGTCTTCTACATTATGCGTACTCGCAATCTGTATCTATTGAGGGGTAGGGCTGTATGTTTACCGCGTGAAGACCTGGGCTGTCCTCCCATGGTCGTCGGCTCCAAACGCCAAGTCGGATTTTGGTGTCGCGCCGTCGGAGACGGAGGCCTGCCAGAGCGCAGCATCCCATAACGATAGCCAAATCTAGAACAACGCCCATAAGGCTTATGACGAGGAAACCATGGGATCGAGAAGAGGCTAATTGAGTGCCTCGATGCAAACTATATTACTTTTATTGTCCGGATCCCATGCAAACGGCCCTTCAATTTTGGCTCGTAGCGATATCTCAGACATGTCCTTCCCACCAACGCTAGTCTGCCATGCGATAACCAAGCCAAAACAGTTGACCGAAGAGGAAGGTATGTAGGTAGAAGAATAGGAGGAATCAATTCTCCGTTACAAAAAAGTATACAGGAAGCGGAACAATCCAATGAAAAGATAAACACTAAGCTAATCCAAGCCAGGGAGGTATCCAAAACAAAGTCATATGGACGCAGAACATCCTGAACGAAAAAGAAGTAACGGAATGCAGTTGCTGTGCCATGTGCCACTAACGCCGTGGTCTCATTAATCTGCTCGTTAACTGACACAGAAAAGGACATTTACGCTCGATGTTGCGCGTCAGTCAGAAAGGTCAAAAGGAAAGGTACATGAAGTGGTAAAGTGCTGATTAGTGTGTGAGAACTTCTAGAAGCTCATGTCGAGATCGCCCAGCTGAACAGTGCGATAAATAGAGGAACATAAGCGAAAGTTGAGCTAGATGAGGCGAAGCCTCTCAATGCACTGTTGCGGGTGGCATTAGTGGTATTATATACTGTCTGATTTGGTGCATAGCCTCCGTCTAGCGAGAAGAAATATGTGTGCGCGGTTTTGTTACCGTTGGCCCCTGACGGGTTAGGAGCGACGATCTGATCTGGGATTTGGCAGACTTTGGTAGCATCAACGGTGGGGCATCGTGTCTTGTAATCTTTCTGCCGTGCGGTGTCCGAAGAATTGAAATACGCCTTGATATACGAGACTATCAAGGCAGTATCCTGTCCAGGAGGACCGGCTGACCACAATGGATCGCCATTGCTCCAGTGGTTCATGAACATCCGTCCGGACTCGCTCGGAATGTTCTCAGTGAAATCCTGTAGCCACCCTCCATCGACATAGAATGAGACTTTTTGGGGTGACCAATCGAAGCGATACTCGTGAAATTCCTGATCGGGTCGGAACGGCAAAGGTTGGACCTTGAAATCGGAGGTATTTGAGGCGTCAAAGCCCTCTTTGACAGACTGAGGTGTTTGAAGTACGAGGTTTACCACTCCTTGTGAAGAGTTAAATTGCTTGGACAAGAATTCCATGTCGATCTCCTGGGAGTTGTTGTAGAACTGCACAGCATTAGCGACCAGACTCGAATCGTGCCATCACCGAATGCTCCCATACCCAGAAGAAGGCTCCACAAGTCCCTGCCGAACCCGACAACCTCATAGCCACTCGAAAACTCCCATATAACGCGTCGTCGCGAACCGATGCCATCTCGGCTCCGCTAACAAATCCATGCGAATGGTCTCCCCGAACCCACAACTGTAAACCAGCGTCTCCACCACGGTCCGAATTGCCTGCCCACGAATACGGGTCTTTTAAAGGGTTGGCTTCGATATTTTCTGGTACGAATTGTTTGCCGAAAGGTCCTCGCGCATCCTTTGCCGAAACATTGTACTCTTGCGGTCGCCAGCCCACGGCCGTGAAATTCGTGGTTCTGGTGTGCAAGAAATCGTTTTCCAACAAATCGGTGAACAATGCGAAACTCGAGTCGCTCGTCTTATTGACTGAATATCCGCATTCGCAATAAGCATTGGCTGGGAGTTTTTTGTTACCGAAAGGGTTCTTGAAGGATGACACGCGCGCTTTGCTCACCTAATCGAGACATCCCTAATAGGAACCATGCTATAGCGCCAACAGCGTTGCGCAACCCTGAAAGAGAATACATTCGAGAGAGAGACTAGAGGTCAGGTTAGAAGAACAAAGAATGACTGCAAAAAAGACGCAAAGAGTCAAATAATCAGGATATATGGCAGTTACAAGGAGAATGGAGGTAGAGACTAGGATAAAGCAACCAAGTTCTCCCAAAAGCCGTCACGGCGAAACCGCTAAGTGTGGAAAGTTGGGCAACCAGTCACGCTTGGACAATCCCAGGAACTTCGATGCTGATCTTCAAATGACGGATGGCTTGAGTGGGCGGAAACCAACCGAAATAAAAGGACACGAGGGTTGGTGGAGAAGCTAGGAGTGGGGATGATCCAATTCACCTGTCAAAATGGAGAGAGCCATAAACAAGGCCCGACCATGTTCACGCGATGCGCTTTCCAGCGGCTCGGTGGGAGGTCAGTCAGGAGGCAAGAGTAGCACACAGTTAACGTTCACTGATAAAACTTGTCATCCCCAGGACACAGCCTAGAATGTGTGAATGCATCTAGAGAGAGCTGCATCGTTGCACGGAAAGCATCGGTTTCGCGTTGCAAGGTATACCCATGGTCGCCACTGACAGCTTGCATTCTGGACAAGCAAGAAAACAACTAAGTTTGAACACGAGAAGCCGAGGCCATTGTTGGCTTGGAGGCCTTCTTCAGGGCCTCCTTTGTTGGCGACCTGACCTGATGAGCAAATTCTGTCATGACATGCCGTTTACCAAGAGGCCGTGCGAGGCTGCTATGTACACGCACGGCCGATGCTAGTTTGACAGTAGCTTGGTCACCGAAAGTGGCTCTCGGACGAGGAAACATCTCCCAGCAAATCACGAGCCCGCAAGCAGGGAATACGTCTCAGATCTCGGCCGCTTGATCCTGAATCTGGCAATTCATAAGAATCGGATCTTGGAACCTCAGGGGGCACGAGCCTGGTGACATTCGCTATCCTACTTCACACTGTTTTGTCACATTCTCCAACAAAAGGCGTCCCACCACGAGAAAGACAGCCAAGTGATCTTTCCAAATTGACATCCAACGTGCTCCAAATGAGTCCTCATCCGTACTGAAAAGTATCACTAGATTTCCACGCCTAAAAGACCCCCCCAATTATCCTTTGCAAACCAACAAACTTAGCCAACACTAGGAAATTCATTTCGAGATCAAATACTTCGTGGGTATCATTACAAGAATCCAGACTCTGAGAGAAGCCTACATTGCGCGACTCGTTAGTAAGTCTTCTACGTAGGCGATTTGTATACAAAGGGCACGGAGAAGTACCTTGCAATCTTCTCATCTTCCCGCTCGCGTGGTTCTACCTGCAAACTCGTATCATACATTTCGTGAACGTCGCCAGCCGATTGCATGTTTGTCAGGATGTAATCTTGCAGCTCAGGAACAGGCTGTAATGGGTACGGTACGTTCTGGTATTGCTGAATATCGCGAATGACTTCAGCCGTCTTCGCACGCTTGGCGAAATTGATAAGATTTGTCTTTTTGATGAGGGACGGAATCCCGTCTTCAATAAAGGTCAAGTCGGTAAGATAAACACCTAATTCTATTAGTCGATGTGAAACTATGACTAATTCCAAGGTACGTACCGAAGAATGGGATGCAGGGAGGGTTCGCTTTATGCAGAGTGTCTCGGTACTCCGCAAAGTTCTTTGTGCTTCCCATGAGCTTTCTCATGTTCTCTAGTGTAGCCATTACACGAGCGTTGACCGCAGCCCATGTCCTATTCAGTCGATGGATAGGTGCAGTACCCAGTGCGGAAATGATGGAGGTGAGTGTTGAGAAGTTGTTGAGAACACGACAGCGCTGCGTAAATATTAGTATGTGGCGTACATTATAGCAGAACTAGACTTACTTCTGCTACATTCACAAAGTGTTTGATGACGATCACTCTGCGTTTCACATCTGATTGGGTCAAAATCATCTGTGCGACCCAGTTTGTGAGCTGATTTGAGTGGAGAATTAGTGCCTTCACATTTGATGCAGGATCAGGCTCTCCAGGTTGCAGCTTCTTTTGCCACGTCTTGTTGAGGCACTCGGTAGGTCTAATCTTTCCGTATAACCTCGACTCAATGATGGTAAGTTGTCGGGCAAACTCTGTAGTGTCAATATCGAGAAACCTCAACTTCTTCATATGCTTTGGAAGGATTGGTTGAGGAGTTTGAGTGTTCAGAGTAAGGACCAGGCGTTTGGTTGGCATGTCGGGCCCACGGGATCGTTGCTCAACGGAAGTCATGAGCGGAGCAGCACCTGGCGTACTTGTTGTTGCTACATGGTCTTTTGCGAAATTATAGACCCTTTGGATCAATATCCGGGCATCCTCGTCGTTACCTTCCATCCAGTAGTTGTCAAACCAACTCTTAAGGATGTTAACAACGCGAAATCGGATGGGCTTCTGCTTCTTATCCACCCATGTCTGATAGTCTTCCTTAGCCAGACCATACGGCGGCTGAATACTCCATCTCTTGACTAGCATTTCGAAAAGTTCCGAGGCAGTAGTGAAAGATCGGTAAGTGAGAAGGAATGTGTTGTTGAAGGCTGGATCAAGTCGATCATGCCGGGTAAGCTGTTCCACAAGTCCTGTAAGGGTGCCGCCTCTAAGTTGCGGCGGGCTGACTTTATGGTCGTACGATATTTCACCTTCATGATCGAGCCTAAGAAATTCAGGAACTTCCTCCACAGTCGTGATGACAGGAACTTCCCCGAAGAATCTCTCGATCTTCTTGCTTCCGTTGGTAGCCCTGAGCGGCTCGGCTTTACTCTCATCTAAAGCTGTACCTTCAGAGTATGAGTGAGGCTGAACCATATCTTTCAACATGGGCCTGTTGTTTCCTGACGGCCCTCGCGCATGGAAATTCGCTACGTCCGTATCTGTGTTTCTTCGCGAATCGTTTCGAGGGGCAATATCTCCGAGAGGTACTGTCTCCGACAGTTGCTGAAGCAACCCGTATTGCCGTGCAATGTTTGCTTCCAGGTCTCTCGAAATTTCGCCCACGGCATTCACCCGGTCTTCTAGGGACTCCCCGCGAGTTTCTGCCCATTCGTCTGCCAAGGGTGCAGCGACCCCCTGACAGGCAATGACCAACTCAGATACGAGGTCGTAGACTGTCTGCTTCTGAATACTGAATTCGCCCAACTGCTGCCCTTGAATGTGAGCACTAAGGGACGACAAGTTGATAGATTCAATAGTAGATATCCATGGTCGGCAAACATCAAGGAGTTTTCCAGCTGCGTTGCAGATGCTGTCGCCAATTGCTTGATGCCTGTAGGGAGTGACTATCTTGTCTCGAACGATAAGCTGCTCGTCCAACCGGCGGATACTAGAGACGATTAACCTCTTCAAGTCCTCCAACCTCTCTAGCACGCGGGAATCCAGCTTGACAGTAGGCTCGATGAAAGGTTCGTAATCCTCCTGATCAATGAACGACATGGATGTTGCAGAATCGCGAGCATCCAACCCATTATTGTGCCAGTTGCCTCCAGAATTGCTTCCTACAACGAAACCTGGGACAAGACGAGGAATGTCTTCACCCCGTTGTTGACGCGCGACTTCGACGAACCCATAAACACCGTTGAGGACACCATCCGCTTCCTTCAGACACTTTGTATAGGAATCTGGTGGGGGGAAATCGGCGGCAGCAATGTGCGAAGACAATACCAGCTTGGAGAATCTTGACATGGTTTCCCGAAAGTGCGGATATAAAGCCTTATTGGTTGAAATAATGGATGGGTTGCCAGAATGATTGTCAGTGGTTCCAGAGCCTGCGGCAAGGAGTAGTCGAAGGTGATCTGAGATATCTTCTGCTCGTTTGACAAATTCAGAACGGTCACAGTTATTGATGGCTTGTCGATAGCGCTCAACGGCCCGCCGCATATCCTCGACCATTCTGTTCCAGGTCAGAGGTACAGGATTGGCATCGTCGTAGAATTTTCGTGACATTGCGGAAGTCAACTGCGCACCTCCAAGAGGATTATTGGCGAAGGAAGTTGCCGTTGTGCCAATAGGGGGGATCGAGGCGCCTGAGAAGCTGCCCCCATTTGCCTCGTGCGATCTAGTGGTAGGTGAAGCGGCATTCATGGAGTCCATTGAAGTCGCTGGCGAGACGCCGTCTGATACCCGCCGTTTTCCAGACTGAGACAAATGCATCAGTAGCGATTTAAAGGACAAAGACCTACACGACTTACTAGGGAGCTATGTGAGCCCGTCATACCGGGCCCTTCAAAGTCTGAGGCCGAGTTCTCATCATCTGTATCTTCGACACTGTATCCTGACATTATTAGCTCTGGTGGAGGCCGGGATGAATCCGGAATGTAAACGTTTGTGCGATCACGCGGTCCATTCTCGTTTAGAGAGGGTGTCTCGAGTGGAAGTTCCATCGTGCTAACTCCAGTTAAGGTATTGAAATAGAAGAGCCTTCCGTCCGGAGTCGCTTGCGGGATCCAGAACGCTGCTTCCTCCTGCTCCTTACTCTCTGTGCCTTCTATGGGCAACCGAGAGGTATCATTCCCGTTCATGGATTCAGTATCCGAGTTGGTGTAGTCAGTCCCTCCAAGGGACTGTGTGTCTTGGTCGTCGTCGACGTCGGCGCCATTCTGGCCCTCCTCCACGTCGTCCGTCGGACGGGGCACTACGGCGCAGTAGTTGCTGGGGAACCATCCCCGAACTCCATTTATGACCCCATCCCACCAACCGCTCTCGAGCTGCGTTATGACTTGGATGATGTCGCCTTGCCGAAAGCTCAGGCTGGTGCGGTCGTCCGCTTCGTAATCGTACAGGGCTCGCACGTACATGCCGCCCGGAACTACCGTCCCACTGAAGCCGTTCATGGTGGAGGCTGTGACCGTCGGGGTGAGGAAAGAGGGTTTGGGGGGGGGGTGTTCTCTGAGGCAAGTGCGGAACACCCTCCGCTTTGGGGTAGAGGACGAGACAGAAGCAGTCGGATGATGGACCTTCTGCCCTACAACGCGCGAAGACCACTAAAGGTCAGGTTGTTTGCGTCCTACGGTCAGGGTTGGGTCCTGTTCTAAGGAGGAGACGCAATTGGGCTGGGGTGTGGCACCGCCTGGGCGCGCTGAATACCGAATGAGATGCCTCACATAGGACTGCAAGGGAGCGCTCGCGCTTAGAAGAGAGCAACGCAGCGAGTAAGATTGCAGAATAGGACTTCTGGTATAAATATGGGCAGAAGGGGTATCGTGAGCGAGGGAGAATGCGGTGCTCGACGAGTTGTCGCTGGACTGGAGTAATGGTTGTGGGACGGTGTGCATCCTCCAGAGCGTGGAGAAGGCTGCACACGTGATGTGCTGGCTAAAGACGCTTTGGCACCGTGTTTTGAGACGGGAAGCATCCTTCACAACATGGGGGGCATTGACGGACTCCGCCTGCGCTCGCATGCTCCAACCCCATTTGTGCTTGTATATTGTTGCATATATTGCAGGCCGGACCACAGCTGATGTTGTGCATTCGCGCAATCCGCGCTGCCTTGCATGTCATTCTCCGAGGGTTACGAGAATTTACTAATGTCCGGAAGGCAGACGGACTATTTATCAAGGGAACCGTCGGGCTTGCTTGACGTCTTCCTTTTGTTTTGTCGGTTGCCGGTCTGTCAAGTCCAACGCCTGAATGGCAGCTAGCGCTAGAACCTGGTCGAGTTGACAGCGTGAACCCTAGCTTGGATGGGGTCGAGAATCCCTCGACAAAGGATGCATCACGAATGGCGACACCGTGGCGAGCATAGGAAGCCAGACGTCCGAGAGTTCATTTCTCAGAGACACTGCTTGACTCGTTGTGTTCTACAAAGCTCAAAGCACCAGTTGGGTTCCTTGAACGGGCCAGAGGGTGTCGTGCCCGAATGGGGATGCGGCGGTCGGGATGTAGGCGAGGACTGTGCGGTGCAACTGTCACGAAAGTGTTCCACGCATGTCGCCTGTGCGACTCCACCGCGCTATTCACGAACGTTAACCCCACGGCTGTAATGAAGCTATCAGACAGCATTTGAGAGCCGTGGACAGAAGAATCTCAGGAAGAGCAGGTGGTTCGATTTGTTACCAAAATCATCAACGAAGGCCACGACTGAAAGGGCCGATAGAATCATGATCGCTCGTAAAATAGTCACAGACACTGTGCCAGAACGTGCTTGAAGCCTCGCGTGGAAGCGGATGGCCTGTCTTGCAACAGTGGCGTCAAACGATGAGTCTAATTTCCAAGGGCCATTGCCTAACAGCACAAAATATGACCACCATGTTGCTGATAGTATCATCCGGCACTATCATATCCAGGCTCGATTTAAAGGACTCTCGCACCCAGCTGGGAAAGTGTTTGCGTATCGCACGTGGGAATGCGTGGGATTTTGAAAGGAAGGTCTAGATATCAGATAGAGATAGCTCGTTCATCTCATCAAATGTTGCCAACGTTTTCCCCAGCGCACGGCAGGCGGGAGGCGATCTATCTGCTGTGAGGCCACCAAAGCTGAAACGACCAGAAACAAGGAGCAGGAAGCGACCCTTTCTTCTAGAGCATTACGAAAAAGAGCCTAGCGCGGGGGTCTGACGCAAAAGTAACTCCCTTAGAAGTGTGAGTAGAGGGGACACTGTTTGCTCACAGTCGTTTCATCAATTCCTCGATGAGTAGTCGTGACTGACTGGGCAGAAAATTCTGACGGAGGGACGACGCAAATTTTGCCAGCAGTGCCTTTGGCCAAGTCTCAACCAGCGCCGTCTGAAGTTGCTGCCAGGTGGAAGGATCAAGGGGTCACCTCCGCTATCCCTGAGGAAGAGCGGGGCATAAGAGCAAGCAGTTAAATATTTGCTGTTGGCCTCGAGCCAACCTGCCCCTCCAGTGCAACCGAGTAGCGCCCGCGGCCTCTGTCCCACCATGGTCGGAGACAAGATGATGCAAGACTGCACAGGGAAACGTCCTCTTCATGCTTTGCGCGAGTCGGCGAGGCTTCTGAGTTTCCTCTTGATGCTTTATGCAGCGGTGGGAGCTGCTAGTTCCGCCTGGTGGGTCCGGGGAAGTTGATCCTGGACCGCTAGTATGGATTTGAGGTGCCAGGAACGAGTGAGGAAGCCGTCGATCGACCGAGAGAGCTCGAAATTACTCGGTGCCGCAATGCTCTGGAAATTGGAAGGTTCCTGGCGTCACCTTGATGCTTCTGGTCGAGGGCTGCCCCTTTTACTTTGTTCCCGCATCTCAGATGAGGGTGGGCTGGCGGGGGCAGCCTGAGCCACAACCCCTCGTTTTTTCTGCCGAGTCTTGCTGTGCGCTGGAAAAGTTACAGAGGCAAGTCGTCGCGGGAGCGGTGTGAACATAGCTCCAATGGCGCATCCGGAAGTGCCTTTGAGAAGTAGTTCACTGGCAGAAGTAAACAGGCTACGCCTCCAAAAGGAAACGTGAAGAGATAAGTGCAGCGGACGGAGAGTGACAAACTCATACCGCTATTTCGTAGACGCCGTGCCACAGCCAGGAGTGCCACGAACGGCAGGAAAAGGCATCGCCGTGGTCTTGGGGACACCCCGCATACGAGGGTTCTAGGTACCTATAGCCTGTAGAATAACGGTTGGGTGTAGAGTTGCCATGTTGCAGTCAGGTGCGCGGGCATCAAAATAGTGGTGATATCACGGGCTGGCGCGGGAGAAACCACTGGAAATGCCGCCGGGGCGTGAGCAGGACAGGGACTTGACGATGCAAACGCTGCACGGAGTGAGCGTTCCAAGGTTGCCGTCATCAACGGCACACCCTCATCTCACCTGGATAGTCATCTCACAGCGGCTTTTCCAGAAGTTCTTCGAGCACCAGGGCTGCCAGCGTTAGTGCACCGGAAGCTTGGAAGGCGAGGCGGCGCGCCCCAGCCACAAATTAGAGCTGAATGACCTAAGCATCTGCTGCCCCTCCGCTCTTGCCATCGCTGCATCCCCCCCTTTCCACCTTGGCTTGAAGCGAAGCGAACAAAACTCCATCGCCCACTTTCAGCAAGTCGTCTTCCATCTCGCTCAACACTCTCCATTATTCCCATCGCCTATCTACGCTCTTTGGCATTGTCGCCCGCCCTAGATTCCCTTGTTGCACCGGCCCTACCGGTGTTGTCTCCTGTATGCGCCATCCCACGACACGGAATGAAAGAGCACACCTGCGACTCCACCCAACCGCTTCCAATTTAACATCCACGCGCACTCGGCCGGCAAGAACCCATTAACACCACGGCCCGAGCTGTTAGAATACTGCTGCTGCCCTCATGCCCTCCGCCGACATGACGCTCGTCTCCGCCAGCTCGTCGCCTGCCGTGGCCCGCAAGTCCGGCTCTGCGCCCGAGAAGAAGTACAAGTGCCAGTTCTGCAATCGCGCCTTTAGCAGGAGCGAGCATCGTAGCCGGCACGAGAGATCGCGTAAGTCGCCCTTCGTTTCCTGATAAAAATAGTGGGATGTAGAGGTCCGAGTTTACTGATGCGGGTCGCGAGGCGCGCATGCGGGGAAGACTGACACAGTGTTGCTAACTGCCCCTCATCAACAGACACGAAAGAACGACCCTTCAAATGTCTCAAATGCCGTAGCACCTTCGTGCGCCGCGATTTGCTGCTGCGACACGATCGAACCGTCCACGCCAAAGATGGCGGCGTCCCTCTGCATAGCGAAGTAAAGCGTCGAACCACCACAAAGGCACCCGAAGTCTCTCTGCCCGGCCCCTCTAAGACGTCGATGCCCATTGACACCGCCACGCTCGAGCAGATAGAGGCCAATAGCGATGAGATGGTCGATATCGAGACGGCTGCGATGCTGATGACCGACTTCCATCACAAGGCCATGGCCAGCCAGGAGCCCGAGATCGCCAGCGAGGCGCCCATCTCCCCGAACGGCCAACCGCTGATGGAGCCATCGGTAGCGTATGCGCCGGGCGCTGTGTCGTTGCCCCAAATGCCGTGGGACTCCATGGTGCCGCACTCGACCTCCGAACCGAAGTCACACTCGATCGCTTCGAGCTCTCAAGAATCACATCCAGCTTTCAACAGCGCCAGCGCCCTGAGCTCGCATCCTCACCAGCTGCCTCCTATCATGGAGCGACAGATGTCTGGAAGCGACACCCTTGCGCCGACCTTCCAGTCGATGAACGGCTCAATGCCGGTGTCTGGTCTTGCTACACCTGGCGCCCTTTCGCCGTACCCCTCCATGCTTGGCCCCGTATCGCCGGTCGATTACCGTAGGTCACCTGGGCCGAGCCAGGCGCTGACAATGACGAAGGCGCCACAGATCGAGTCGGAGGAGCAGTGCGCGAGGATTTTTGAAAACATCAAGAATTCTGACAGCGAGAACGCCCTCTTGGAAACCTTCCATCTCCCAAGCCTAAACACACTGAACAGGCTCCTCAAGACCTACTTTGACCTGTTCCATCACCACCTCCCGTTCCTGCACCCAGCATCATTCCAGCCAACGGAGGTCGCCGCCCCTCTTCTTCTAGCGGTCTTGTCGATCGGAGCGTTATACATCTTCGATCAGGATCAAGCATACATGCTTCACATTGGCTCAAAGGTTCTTGTCAACCAATTTCTTCAGAACAAAGAAAACTTCAGCTCTCGAAAGTGTCCGCTCTGGACCATGCAAGGTACGCTGCTGAACATGATCTTTGCTAGCTGGAGTGGTGACCCTAAGGGCCTCGAATGGGCTTGCTCAATTAAGAGCTTGCTTGCCAATGTAAGTGTTCGAATCTCCATACCCGGAATGTTAGCTAACTCGACCCAGATGGTTGCTGGGAACCGATATGAACTCAAATTACGCACGGAAGCACGAGAGGGAGCACAGCCGAACCATGAGCAGTGGATCGAAGATGAACAGTGTCGACGAACTTACTATGCTGTCTACATCTTCTTTGGCCTTTTGACACTGACATATAATCACACACCGGCTATGGGATTTAATGAGTTTGACACGCTCGAATTGCCATCTTCCGAATCTCTCTGGACTGTGGAGGTCTCTGATGACGAATCATGGCGTGAAAGCCTGGCTGCATCCAAGATCATTACGTTCCGACAAGCGCACGACAATCTTTTCCAAGGGGAGCCTGCGCGCTACAGTGCTTTTGCGACCCGCGTCATGATCAACGCACTGTTCCTCGAGGTTTGGTATCACAAGCGTAGTCCTGAGGCGCTCCAAGATGTAGTGACTGAGTATAAGCTGAGGCTTGCACTTGAGACCTGGGAAAAGTCACTGGATCTTTGCGAACCGGAAACCGTTGTGGTGCAATTGAGCGCTCCCCACAAGGGCCATCCGCTTATCTTTAACGCTATGGCCCTGTATCGGAATACTCGGACTCGTCTTGTGGTTGACCTTAAGTCTGTTCAGGAAGCCCTCCGCTATCATGACTCTTACGAGGTCGCCGCTGCAATGACGAACGCCCGGGACAAGGTCCAGCGGTCCCAGGAGATGATCAAAGTCATTCAAGAATGCTTCGACTGTATCGAGGTTGCAGCCGTGCAAGGCATCCGTTGGGTAGCACGTACTTCTGCTACAAATTGGAGTATTGAACATCCCCTGACTGGCATGGATCTCATGGTCATTCTTACGCTCTGGCTCTACCGTCTAGAACATGATGAAGAGCCTGCTTCGGAAGAAGAGCTTGCAATGTACAACAAGTTGCGGAATCTGTTCGACGATGATTCCGTGGATGTCTATGGTGCAAAGCTGAGTTCCACTGTAGCGAGGCTTTGGGGAAGCATGATTGACGAGGTTGTAGTTTGGGGGTATGTATATCCTCTCGAAATCCCCCTGAGCTCCTGCTAACATCTCGACAGTATCACCAAGCTAATGGGTGAAGCATTCAAGCTCCACTCGCAGGCCCTCGTCGGCTATGAAGATGCAATGTCGTCCCGCTCGGGTTCCGCAACACCTTCAATGGCTACTGGGGGTGTCCAGGTTTTGGAGATGCAGGTGGCCTACTAAGGGCACAACTAATGCCTATTTTAACGAGTTTTATGATCTCTCTTTGCTCAGTTCCTTTTTTGGTTCTATCTTTACTCTAGACTGGGCCCACATTTCCGTCTCTCGTCATCCCCTCTCTGCATGTGGGAGCATGGCTTGGAGTTCGGGTGTTCCCTTTGTTGCATATCAGGCGTGATAATCTCTCTCCTATTTCTTTTATTTGTCAAGACTGGGGTGATAATGGCGAATTGGGGCGGTCTGGTCCAGTTACTATACACACTCGGGCTCGGGCTCTTCCTCAGAGGCTTCGGGGCTGCACTAATATCTCGGCGTTGCTCTCATACCCTCTTTGTCTACTGGACTGTTCTGCTGGCTGGCCCCATGCGCTTATTTCACCCTGTTCTTCCGCAGTCTTGGTCGCTGCAAATCGTAATACCTCACACTCCTCTGTTCGATTTTCTTATTTTCTTGCCTTTTTGGTCACCTATCAGATCTTCTTCTGCATATACCACAGTTTCTACGTCATTTGTCGTTGCGAAGATGGAAGATGAATTGGTAGCATGTGGGCCGTTGCACTCGGCTGGGGAAGGGGTGTGGAGTGAAATCGTTTGATTTTAGAATAGCCCTGTATAAATAGTCGTTCTCATGGGAGTAAATACCTTGACTTCCGCTTTGCTTCTGATGTTGTAAATCCCTACTCCCGTGACCTTTAAACTGGTGACTGATACCTAGCGAATGTGTGGGTGACCTTTGCCATCTCGCGAGCGCCAAGATTTCGCCAAGGCGCCCAACCTCGAAATTTGGAAGCGAAAAAAGTTCAGTCGGAAAGCTCTACCACAGCTTGCAACCTCACCACGACCAGCACCCTCTCACTGCACACCATCTACCAGTTGCTATTGAGTATATTCAATCAAAATCATACATAATGGGAAAGGATCACTCTGACAAGAAGATTAAGAAGGAGAAGAAAGAGAAGAAGGAAAAGCGCGCCGAGGAAAACGGCGTTGTGAAGGTGAAGAAAGAGAAGAAAGAAAAGAAGAGCAAGACAGTTGACAGCGATGTGAAAGTCACAAAAGCCTTGGAGGCAGAACTTGAAAGGGCCGCTTCACCAGAGGTATCACTGGTGAGACTGGACGACGATGGGGATGTCTCGATGCAAGACAACAAGCCCGCACTGGGTTCGCTGGTACCGTTTGCGAACCCTCTTGCAGACGACCCTAAGGAAATCAAGAAGATCTTGCGAACGGTTAGGAAATGTGAGTCTTTTGGCACTCCCTTTCTTCCCTTCTATCCCACACCAGGCTGTGTCGCGTGGATGCTAAACATTGATTTCTCCAGCGGCCAAAACCAAGACTCTGAGACGCGGCGTTAAGGAAGTCGTTAAAGCTCTTCGCAAGTCGGAGGCCGCCACTCCCTCAGCTGCCAACATGGCGGACCCACCTGCCGTTTGTATCATTGCCGCCGACATCTCTCCTATGGACGTCATCTCGCACATCCCAGTCCTCTGCGAAGACCACCTCATTCCATACATCTACATCAGATCGCGGGCGGAACTCGGCGAAGCCAGCGCGACAAAGAGGCCAACTAGTGTCGTCATGATTGCTAGAGAGCGTGTGTCAAAGAAGGTGAAGGATATCAAGGACAGTGATGTGAAGGAATTCCAAGATGCATACGGTGATCTAGTTAAGCTTGTCATCAAGGCGTCGAGAACTGTGCGGAAATGAGGAAGTCAGTTCAGTATGGATTGAAGTCTCTTTGCTATGGCGTTGTGTCGTTACAACGGGAATGGAGTCTGGCGTTCAATGCCTACGGGCCGGGATCTATACAGCATCCAGAGAGCCATAATCGGGAGTATCCAGAGGCCGGCTAGCTTCTGAGTTTCAATCTCGTTCAAGACCTGCTTCGAAGTAGTCCTTATGTCCGATAAATCCTGTTGTGTTAATGATCACCAACATCTCCGAACCCTCTCACAATCTATTATGTGCAAGGGTCAGGCGTTCCCACTCGTATACATGGCCCATCTGAGCAAGGCTATTTGGTTCGCCTACTTTGGCGGTATGCTAATTCCGATCTTTCTAATTATACCTACATCCAGATGCATCGGCGTATAAATGCATGGTCAGAACGCCAGCCATAGCAGCCTGACTTTGTAGGTTTATTCTTTCTGTCTGGTTCTCCCAACTGTAATGTGCATAGGTCAGCCGTCATCGCTCAATAAGACGTCCTTTGCAATGGCTTGCAAAATCATACTCGTAACTAGGGCAAATAGAGGTATACACACCCGCCGTCTCAGTTTCCTTAGTCTTTCGGAAAGAGCAGGTGTCAAGAAAAGTGGTGGGTTTATTGCAGGATGCCATTTCCTAAATGCTTTCGCTCTGCCTTGATACCCCAGAGAAGGACTACCATAGCTTTCTTAATCCACTAACCGAGCCCAGGCATTAGCTTCGCCATCGTCCAGGCTCTTTCGATCCGCTTCCCCCAGCATACCTACCTTCTTGGCGTCCGCCCCGTTCCCTCCGGAGAAGAAGCCATATCTTCCCTCCAATCCCTCAGTCTCACCTCAACATTTGCCACCATCGAAATCAACATCACAGATGACACCTCGGTCACATCCACCGCATCTCAAGTCAGCGAACGCTTCGGCCACCTCGACGTCCTGGTAAATAACGCCGCAATCAAACCAGATGCCCCCGACTTCAGAATTTTCTTCAACCAAATCCTCGACACAAACGTTACCTCCGTCGTCCAGGTCACGCAAGCTTTCCTATCTGCTCTGCACGCCTCTCCCTCCAAAAAACCCCAGGTCATAAAAATCTCCTCGGCTCGTGGCTCCATTCACCAGCAGACGAACAACGCACTCCCGCCCACGGCGTCGATTCCGTATTTAGTGAGTAAGACGGCATTTAATGTTACAATGTTGGAGATGGGGAAATTGGAGCCAGGAGTCCTCCTTCAGGCGGTGCGTCCAGGACATTGTAGGACAGCTTTTAATGGGTTTAGGGGGACGAAGGACCCGGCCGATGGGGCAAGTGTGGTGGTGGAGCTTGTGGAAGATGAATGGGGAAGGTGGGGAGTGGGGTTTTGGGAGGTTAAAGGGGAGTGGGGAGTGGAGAGAGTGCCTTGGTGAGGATTGTATGGAACTAGTGTAGAGGCTTCTGGAATTCGATGTTAGTTTGGATGAAACTCTGTATTTGGCATAAAGAGGGGCGCCGATAAATAGTCATCAGTGCCACGCTTGCTCCACCTGCCCACTCTACACCTGCCCCTCAGGACCCATCACCATCTCGATAGAAGTCTCTGCTTTCTTCTCTATCGTAAGCCGAACAGTCAGATTTTGTCCACTTTCACCGTCCAATTCATCCACCTTCATGATTTCTACCAGACCTGAACCATATCTTGAACCTGAGTCCTCCGCCCTCCAGTATTAGTGAAACGGGAAATCTGCGAGTCTTACTAAACTAGGCTAGAAATTCACCTCTCCTTCTTTGGCAAATGTCATCGGATCTAAATCAATGATGATTTGTTTGTTCTGCTCTTAGAGATAAGATGAAACGTAAACCGCCTGAGATACACGTTCTGGTCTTTACAAAGATTTAACGGAATACCGCAAGCTACTAGGGTAGGATTAAACACCTAACGAGGTTCGTCATCTGCTCAAGGCAAGAGAGGTGCTTTCACCCCACATGCGGTCCAAAGTAAATTGCGGAGCCCAATTGCCCCTTCTAAGCGGAGACTTAGCCTAGCCGCTCCTCCACGAGGTTTGCATGTCTTCGCCTCCAGCCGATAATACCTTGCTATTGTCGAATAAACTTCGTGATGATACCAAGCTTCTCAACCATACCTTGAGTTCCATGGGCAGGTCACTCTAAAACGTGAGATTCACCCACCTCCAAACAAGCACTTTGCAGTTGAAGCTCTACCCAAAAATATGGAACTTTGGTACTTGGTAAATAGGGTTGGAGGTTGGGCCTGGCTGCTATTGCTTTTACATCTGTTTCAGTTCTAGATGCCGGTGCAAGCAGTTGTGGGTATTCTGGACCTCCCTAGACAAATGACGTACTTGGGCTTGCTCAAGAGGGTATCTCCGTATTCGGTAAATCAAAAGCCATATCTTGTTGGGAGTGTCACAAATTGTTGGGTTCCATCTTTGCGATGGAGTTCGAGAAACATTGTCTTGAACCTGGACCGTTCAGATTTATATTGGTGCCAGATTTTCCGATGCTAGCCCTGGGCCTTTAGATGTTTATGCCATCTAGCTACACAATCAGAATCTATGGAATTGCAGCTTGGAGATCCCAACGCATGGGTCTCACGGAACGCATAGCACCTTTTCTTCTCTTTGCTATGTAATTAGTTCGAGCAGGAACTCTAGGCTTCCAACCGCCCGGCCTAGCAAATGGTGAGTTCTCAAGTATATATAGAGGCCTCTCATGCCTTCTACATCTGCCATCAACATCGCATTCATTTTATCTTCACCAAATACGACCAACCCACTATGAGAGTTCTAAAGGCGACAGCATTGTTGGCTCTGGCCGCTTCTGTGCTTGGATTTCCCCAAGGTGCTGACCCCGCCAACTTCCCAACTGCGAGCGCAGTGTCTGCACCCATTGGAGAATCTGCTCAATTCGTTTCCTCCAACCCAACTGGCTTGTCTCAGTCTGTGGCCGCTGAGATTTCTTCTTTATATCCACCCCAGGAACGCTCCATAGCGTATAGTCCTTGTGTCGAACTGCCTCAAGGCTCTGGCGATACTCCCAAACCAGATACTCCAGCGGTATTCCAATCCTATTCTGTATTTGCTCAGGTGGCACGGTCTGCTCCCATACCCCCAGGCTACAGGCAGACCTTCGGGAATCTCCAAGCTTCGTGCAATGCTCAAGGATACCTGGGCTATGCTTCTATGAGGAGCTATAACCCAACGATGTGTGCAGCCTTCTGTAACAAGACCCTTGGTTGCCAATCCTTCAACATCTACTACGAACGCGATCCAACTCTCAATCCAGGACCCGGCTGCCTTAATCCTGCTAGCACCACTTTCATCAAGTGCGTGCTCTGGGCCGGACAAGTCAACGCAGCAAATGCAGTGAACACTGGTCAGTGGCGCGCCAACTTCCAAGTTGTCATAGCCGGCAGCAATGGCTACTGGACTGGGAAATGATTGGTATATGGCCAGTTAAAGTCTATGGGATTGAGAATTCAACGGTGGGTAGTGAGGGTTTGTTTACGAGGAGTAATCGGGAGAGGGAGGGGCTGCGAGATCTTAAGGGGATATGGGTGGTGAAGGGTGATGCTTTGGTTTTGGTCGTTGTTGGTTGGTAGTCGGCTTCCCTTCCTGGTGTGATATAGTTGGTAATTCTGTCAAAACTGCTTCGACATACGCTTCCCTCAGCCCAGACCAAACAAGTGATTGTAAAAGAGATGCGGAAATTGGGGGCCAGAGGATCCTGCCAGTTCTGTAGCACGTGAGACAGTATACTTGTGGCTGATGCAGTCCATCGAATGTGTCCGGGATTCCTGCTTCCTCAGCTTAGCCGTGAATAATGCAGCACAAACGAGGGGGGCGATGCCCAACACAAACACCCATTAGCCAATGATGGCTAGAGCCGTCAGCATTCACTGGAGACTGGGAGCGCGGGTGTGGCGCAGCATGGGCATGATGCGGTCAAAGCCAGGTGCGGTCATTTCAGCTTGCTCACCCTCGACCTTCCGAGGACCCTCAGGCTTTCTTCGATTATAACACTCTTGCTTTCTCTTTCTCTTCCTCGCTCGATCCCTCGTATACACACATCCACACGGCTAACTCTCCAGCCACCAGTCCAAATCCACAACAATAATGGGAGTAAGTTGTTGCCTGCGCCCGTCTGGTTGACGGCTCGTCAGAGCTGCCCCTCCATTGCTGCCCCGCAGCTATCGCACGTCATGCAAACATTCTCGTTGGGCTGACTTTGTGCCTCTTCTCCTATAGCTCGCGTCAAAACTCGCCGCAGCAGGCCCACCGCCTGGAGCATATCCACAGGGAGGCCAACTGCAAGGCGGTTATGTGAGTGTTCCATGGTCACTTTGTGCTCAATGAAGGCCTCCTCAGGGCACTTTCTACTAACGCCACGCACTCCAGCCCGGGCAGCCACAGTACCAGGCCTTTCCTGGCGCCGGTGCTCCGGTAAGCAAAAAGTCTCTTTACTACTTCCTCGTTTGCCTGCGTCGCCGTCATCTTTCACAAGCGCGCCACCTTGGACTCCCGCGCAAACAACTTGTCGTCTCCCGTACCTTGTCCTCTGCCCTTGTTCTATCTGCGACTCCTCTACACTATTGCCATGGCCAACTACGGCGGATACCAGCCATACCCCAACTATGGCGCCCCTAACAACTACGCGCCGAGCCCTCGACCACCAACGAATAATCCCGCTATCCCCCCTCCGTACCCATCTGCGTCGTACTCATCGCCCTCCCCAAATCCAATCTCGGCTGGATCCTACTCACCCTACCCGCAGTTACAGCCTGGATACAACAGACCCCCACCTGCGCCTCCAGGGCTGTCGGGCTATCCACCATACCAACAACAACAACAGCAACAACAACCATATGGACAACAGCCGCCACAGCAATACGGATATGGTGGCCAGCAGCAGCCACAGCCATATGGAGGCCAACTAGGCTATGGACAACAGGCACAAGGACAATACGGCCAATATGTTCGTGACCGACGACGCAGAGCATAACGAGGAAACCTTCGTCTTTGCATTCTCTCTTGTAGCAATTGAGCCACGCTTCCTTGGTTCCGGTAGTTGGACATATGGGATTGGGAGTGGGCCCACTGCCTCTGGACATTTGCCAGAACCGAGGAGGGTGCAGTTGCTTCAACAGAGAGTGCTGGGATTGACGGCCAGCATCGTCTTTCAACTTCGAGAAAAGGAATGCTAACAGCTGTTTTCTGCAGGGACAACCACCGCAAGGCCAATACGGCGCACCACCGCAGCAGGTTCAGGCTGGTCCCGCCGAAATTGCCGCCTACAAGCAGTTGCTGCAGAGCTGCATCCAGGAGAAGCAGCTCCAGACCTTCTATCCACCAAACTCTCCTATGCTCGATCAGATTGCTAGCCGTGCCCCAGCCTTGATCAACCAGGTTATTCAGCGTTGGCGCATCGCCAAGGAGGTTGCAAATGATATTGTCAAGCTTGCCTTGTACGATATTGTCTTGTATATCGACGATAGTGGTTCCATGCAATTTGAGGAAGAAGGCAGCCGTATCAAGGATCTTAGGTTAATCCTTGAGCGCGTCTCCTTCGCTGCCACCTTGTTTGACGCCGATGGGATCTCCGTTCGATTCATGAACACCGACCTCGCCCAGGTCCGCGATCAGGGCGGCCGACCACTCCAAGATGGTGTTGCCAACGAGTCTCAGATTGAGACCATCATGCGTGGAGTGCAGTTCAAGGGACTGACTCCTATGGGCACCTCTCTCAGGCAGAAGGTCATTGATGGAATTGTCATGCAGAAGGCATCCTCCGGTCAGCTTCGAAAGCCTATCTTGGTTATCACCATCACGGATGGGCAACCAGCCGGCGAGCCCCAGAACGCCGTTTTCGACACCATTCGCTATGCGTTTGACACTCTCCAACAACGATTCCCGCAGTATGGACGTGGCGCGCTTGCCTTCGAGTTTGCGCAAGTCGGAAACGATGAGATGGCGAAGAAGTTCCTTGGGAAGCTTGATGAGGATTCTCAAATTGGTCTCATGGTTGATTGCACGTCGAGTATGTTGCTCCTGATCACATCTTAAATGATAGCACTGTATCTAACAACGATTAGACTTCGAGAACGAACAAGAGGAAATGGCCCGTGCCAATCCACCCGTCGACCTCACGCCCGACCTCTGGATCGTCAAACTCCTCCTCGGAGCCATCGACGCCTCCTACGACACTAAAGACGAGAAGACGAACCGTCCTGCCGGCGGTGCTCCGGGAGGATACGGTGCTCCTCCTCAGCAATACGGTGCCCCCCAAGGATACGGTGCTCCTCCACCTGGACAATATGGCGCGCCGCCGCAACCAGGCGGATATGGTGCCCCTCAACAGGGTTATGGAGCGCCTCCGCAACAAGGTGGATATGGAGCGCCTCCCCCCGGACAGTATCCGGGACAGGGACAGTATCCGCAACAAGGAGGTCGTGGTGGTGGTCCCGGCGGATATCCAGGTCAGCAGCCCTATGGACAGCCGCCGCCACCTGGACGGTATTAGAGTGAAAGGTAGATGGTCTGGTTTTGGCCTAGGCTATTATCGATGGGGGTGTGCTCTTTGGGGTGATTTGTACACGGTTGTTTATTTTCTAGGCTCTGGTTGATGCGGAGCACGGAATGGAAAGGAAAGCAATCGGTGGTTAAAAATCATGAATTTCACTTATCTTTTCGATGGATGAATGGGTGGTTTTATGGCTTTCCTAAACCTTGTTCTCTTCCGTGATATGGTGGTTTATTACCATCTCAAGAACAATGATGGGGATTGGGATGCCATATGGTAATTATGGTAGTAAATGAATGACTCGATGAAAATTCTGGAATTTCGATGAGGGATAAGCATATAGGGGGCATGACTGAGATCGTGAATTCGTTTCTAGGACTTTGTATGACTCATTCAGAACCATCCTATCCTACCCCCCCCCCCCCCCCTCTCTTTACCCACCGTTCACAAAGTCCCTCTCCAAGCATCCACCAACAACACACCACCTGCCACAGCTCCTAACCCTGCAACCCAAGTCTCCCCCAACAATCCCTTCTCCAGACTCCAATGTATCGTCATCGGGAAATACGCGATATTTGATAACAGATCACGCATCCATAGCCACTGTCGCTCACGCCCCCGAATCTTGGCATCTTTTTCGTTGTCATCATCCTCGATGGGGGAATTGGAGCTAGATTTAGGAGCGCACGTGACCGGCAAGATCTGCATCTGCAGGTAAAGTCTTAAAAACTCAAGCGCGACGTGGAGGGCCCAGAACCGGGACGAGAGTATCCACCACCTATTCTCCCTAGCTTTCCCTGCTTCCCCGGACCAGGAGGATGAAGTGAGGATGTTTTTGGAGGAGAGGTAGGCGCCGTTTTCGAGGATTTGGAAGGCGGCGCAGGAGAGGATCTGGGCGTAGGGTATTGCTCGGAGGAGCCTGTCTTTGGTCCAGCTGGATGGCTGGTTGCTGGTGTTGGATGATGGGGACTGGAGCCCGGAGTGGTAAGTATCTCGCGCCCAGGAGTATATCCCAATGATTCCCCAGAGCCGCACGAAGATGCGGTAGTCGGAGATTACTACTGCGAGCGCTTTGGAAGTCCGGGCAGCTTGGGCTAGGAGTTTCGCACTTGGTGGGGCGGGGATGGTGGCGATGAGTGTTTCGCCGGGGAGGATGATGGAGGATGCGTTTGTGGCGAGGGTGCTGGCGAGGGTGGTTAGACGGGTAGACAGGGCTTTGGAGAGCAGCGAAGAGAGGAGTTCGAGCGTGTAGCCTAGGGTGCACAGGAGGGCGTCTGTGGAGGAGGGCGAACTGAAGAGGCGGGAGAGGCGGAGGAGGGTTCGATCTGTGCAGGAGAGGTGGCGGAGGATGAGGATGCGGAGATGCTTGAAGAGAGGGGAATTTGGTGGGGGTTGAGAGGCAGCTGGTGGGGACGAAGATGGCGAGGGAGGGTCTCCCGGAGCAAGGGCATGGGGATCAATGGATGGTATCGTGGTGCTTGAGGGGGGGTCTAGAGATGTCATTGTATCTATTTGTCTGGGGAAGGATTACAGAAGAGAAAATCAAAGATGACGGAGACCAAGGAAATTATCGGGGACCTAGCTGGAGGTTTTCCAGGCATGGAGGGGAGTTTATACAGTTCAGTGTTGAGATGCGTGACTGCAATGCGCCTGATATGACCGAGGTTAGATAAAACTTCCGTGCTGCGACTGCACCTGCATCTGAGTCTAGACAACCGTGGTTCTGAGTCCACTAGCATGTGGGATATATACGTCCAATATATCTAAACACCATAGAGAAATCAAGGCAACAACACTCTTGGGTTGCAAGCAGACTCTTGAAGTCTCCAAAGCTCTCCGTGCTTGGCCCAAGGATGCGAATGACGCACATCAAAATGAAGCTTGGACCTCACCCCTGAGCCCTGAATCAGCGGGGATCTCGTCTCTGCGCCCCAAATCTGTCCCCGCCGAAGAAGCAAGCTAATTAGCAGCCAAGCTCACCCCAAACCTCTCGCTCGCTCGCTCTCTCCCTCTCTCTCTCACCGCTTCCCCCCATTCCAATCCAATTCATTCTCTCTTTCCTCCCCATTCTCCCCCTCCCTCCTCCCCTCCCCTTCCCCTCGCCCCCTCCTCTTCCTAAATATCCCCCAGCAACTAGCATCCTACCATGTCCCCAGAACGCCGCCACACTCGCCGCCCAACCTACCCTCTCGCCCATGCCGCGCGCCAAAAACCTCGCCGTATCCCTCTCGTCCTCCGCTTCGCCAAAGGCGCCATCCACAACATCATCCTCATCCCCGTGCTCCTACACTCCCTCTTCACCGTGTTAATCGTCTACCTCGACCGCAATGTCGCGGGTTCCCTTGGCGTCCCTGCAACCGTTATCCCGTCCCTCTCCATCGTCGTCGGCCTGATGCTCGTGTTCCGGAATTCAACTAGCTATGATAGATTCTGGTCCGGCAGGAACTGCTTGACGACGATCGGCACGAGTGTGAGGAATCTGGCACGTGGGTTTTTGGTGAATGCGCATAGGAGCAAGAAGGAGGGCGGGGGATTGACGGATGCCGAGAAGAAGGACACGGAGAAGATTATTCGCGTGTTGATTGCGATTATGTATGCTGTCAAGCATAATCTTCGGGCGGAGTTCAACATCCCTCCCGTACCGCTCAGCACTAGTAGCAGTAGTGAAGAAGCGCCGATTGAAACCAGCAAGGCGGAATACTTCGGGTTGTTGCCGGATGGACTTATGGGGTATGAGGATCAGGGCCTGAGTCTTCCACTGCAATTGACAGTGTTGGTGGAGAGCTATATTCGCCGAGGCTTTGATAGGGGCTGGTTTAATGCGCCGCAGTCGAGTGGGCTGAGTGCGCAGATTAATAGTTTGGTGGATGCGTATGGGAAGATGGAAACGATTCGGTCGACGCCCATCCCGGTTGCGCATCTGTATGTTTCCTCTCTTCCCCCTCCCCTCCTAGCTTCTCTCATCCCACTAACATTCATGTTCCAGCATCCACCAAAAACAAGTCCTTGCCCTGTTCAACTGCATCCTACCCTTCGCGACTGTCGACGACTTCGGGTGGTACGCGGTGCCCATCGTAGCGATCGTCTCGTTCACTCTCTACGGTATCGAAGGCATTGGTGTGCAGCTCGAGGACCCGTTCGGCCACGACAAAAACGATATTAAAATGGACGGTATTATTGAGGATACGAGACAGGAAGTTATGGTGCTTTTGGAGGAGTGGAAAATGGCGGCGGATGGGCACGCAGAGAGGATGGCGGGTGGGATGTTTGATTTTTGATGTTGATTTGGAGGAAAAGGTTGGAGGGGGTGGGAGGTGAGGTATGGTGGGGTGTACTTGGAGCGGGGAGTACGGATGGACAGATAGAGGCTGGGGGATTGAGTCTTTGGCTGATAGCGGGCGGATTAACTAATTACCATATGAGCGAGTATGAGTGAACGTATTAGCATGTGCATAGATGTAGCATAGTTGTGGAGCCGAACCAAACCCTTTCATTCAGTCATTGTACCGTGCACTGTTAAGCTTCTTACAACGATGATGTCACCACTAAACCTCTCCATCAGCTGACTAAATCCGCAAAAAGGGGTTTGTTTGCGGACATCCTTTCGTACCCAGGTACCCTTTCATGTGAGCGTTGTATATTGGGGGCGAGTAATATATATGCAAAAATAGGCATGACTGTCGTATGAATTTAGAAATTTCTCTCTGGCCGAATTCTTGACTTCTCTGATCTGTGCATGTGTCTGGCCGTCCTCATTGCAACCCTGGATCATAAACAAGCAGGCTGACGATTACCTCTCGTTCCTTATCCTACTCCTCGAAAGATGGACTCTTCTGCCCACGTCCAAAATTAGGTATCCCAAAAAGGTGAGCGAGGGAGCCAACAACGATGCCAGAGACTCGAGGAAAGGAGAGAGAGAGAGAGAGTATAGATAATGCTGCCACCCCTTCCCCGCAACTCCCCCAAATGATTTCCACCGAACCCAACAGCAGACAAGCAATGAGAACCAAGCCAAGCAAGGGTCAAGTACAGCCGGCAGTGCAGGAACAGGAATTAAGATAGCCACCTCCTCGCTATAGTCCGTCCAATATTCGGTCTCCTAAATGCATGCAAGGGTAAGGACAGGCCGTGATGATTCGTTCGGTTCAGAACATAGAAACACAGAATAGAAACGAGCAGAGCTTCCAAGTATGCGCCAACACTACTCCTGCAAATGCCAAAAAGACAGACTTCAATTATAGAAAATATGCCCCCTCGCCTCCTGACCGTGACTATCAATTAATATGCAAAGGAGGGAGAGTGGGCGCTGTAGTGCTACTAGGATCCTCTCGTCTGGCACCAGATCCCCGGCCACCGCTCCCGTCGAGGACGAAGGGGCCCGCGTCGTTCCTGGGCGTCATGGGACAGTCAGGTTGGCGGTCAGGACTTAGACCGTTGGAAGCAGTTTGGAAAACAGGAGAGAAGCCTGACGTTTCGTTTGCGTGGGAGATGTTGATGGTGACTGGTTGGGTGACAGAGGACGATGCTGGAGTCCCTGCGTTACGTTGCGGGGTTGCCGGACCTGGAATAGGCTGATTTGCGATGCCGTTTAGAGACTCTGCAATATTGATGTTGGAGAGGGCGGCGGCCAAGTCGTCGGCAAGGCTGACCTGCCCGTTATTCTGTGTGGCAGATGCATCTGGAGCCGGAATCAGCGGTATTTGAGACGCTCGAGGCGTGATGTGGCGATCTTCCTGGGAGTCTTGACCATTTGCTTCAACCTCACTGCTTGCCCGAGCAGGGTCTGAATCCCACTCTTCAAATTCGCCGGGATCTTCAACATCAGCTTCTAGGTCGGCCACGGCCCGACAATTAGGACATAAAAAGTTGGGCCAGGTTGGTCCGTTGAGGATAGGGCGTATGCATTTGTAATGCCAAACATGCGAGCACGGGGCGACAAACAACGATTGACAAGGCTGGCCCGTACTTAGTTTGACACACAGACCAATGTCGAGCGAGACTTACCGCAATTGACATGAGACAAATTGAGCACTCGGAACTATGCGTCGATGCACTGTCACTATCCTTCTTGTTCTTGGCTAGATTTCGGAGTCGTTGGTGGGTTTGTTTGCTGCAGCCGTTAGACTCGATGAAAGAGGCGTCATGGAAGCGAAACATACTTGAAAGTATTCAATGCCTGCTGCCACCCCCTATTACATTCAATCCTAATCTTTACACATCTAAATATCATTTCCTCGCCGCCACGAAAATCGATACCCAGCTGAATGATGTCCCCATCCTTGAGCTTAAACGGTTTCGACTCGGCATTTGGCTGGCTCAAGCGTATGTGGTTTAAAAACGTGCCCGAAGAGCTCTTCACGTCCTTGATGTACCACTGCGAATTTGAGCACCACAACTCGCAGTGTTTCCGGCTCACGACCTTGGACTTGAAGCCTACGGCGGCGGCCGAAGGGACATTGGCTGGAATATCTGGCATGTTATCCCTCTCTGAATACCTCCCAACACGGATAACGGACGACTCGTCTGGCAGTGTTCGTGTTATGGTCGGGAACTGGAGAGACGGCCTCCCCGCGCGAGGGTCCTGATGGGGGATGAACCTTATGGACGGTAGATGCTTGTTGACAGCGACACCGTCGTTCTGGCCTTCAGTGCCTTCCATGGCCGACGCGGGCGGTGTGGTTGCGGGTGTAGGGCCGGACTGATTTCGCACTGTTAGTTGGGGCGCTGCCGTTTCCGCGCGCGTTCTGGTCATGGTAGAGGAGGAGGGAGGGGGCCGGAGCGGATGTGACTGCAAGTCTGAGGGGTCGGGCGCGGTGTGTGATCGCGAAAGGCTACTTGGACCGGCAGGAGCAGCAAGTGTCGAGCGCCCGGATGGCGGGAATATGGGCGAGGTGGTGGATGCGGCGCGAGGGCGATTGCTGCTTGCTCCTGTCTCAGGCCCAGCGTCTCGAGGTATCCTAGCGTCAGCACGTGAGGACCCGCCTGCAGTGCCAGCGACGTGCGAGTGCAGGCTGTGGGTATAGTTACGTAGGTAGCTGAGACCCCGCAGTCTGCTGGGGCGGGTCGGGGAGGGCGACGCTGGAGAGATGGTGGAGGCAGTCACGGCAGTCACTGTTGGAGCGGCGGGGGCTGGGGTTGTAAACATGAGGAGATAACGGCCAGCAGCCTGTAAGGCAGACTTCACAGTCGTGTCCGAGCGGCTGTGATGGCAGAACCGTGGTCGCGTTAGGCGAATAGCGACGGGGAGAGGCTGTTTGAGCGAACCTTGGAAGGTCTGATGCGCGTAGTGAGGCAGAGGAACCCGAAAAGCGGTGGAGCCAAGGAGCGCGCAGGTGCAGGCCAAACGAGTGGAGAAGTCAGCAGAGGACTACACGTCTGGTGGGCATCATTTCACACATCAAATGGTGCTCAGTATACAATAAACGGACTTTGTTCGTCGCCATTGCCGCAGTCGACTGCCCGTGCTGATAGCGGGCTCTCATGCTTGTTGTCGGATTGATACTTCTACACATTCCATCATACATCCTCCATGATACAAAGTCCAGGAAGTCACAGCCAGTGAACAGTATATGGACGTCCAGGGATCAGGAGTGAGCCTAGCTCAGCTGGAGTATCATCCCCTCCTCAGTTCTCCTCACCACCTATCACTGTTTCCTCTTCCGCGTAGCAAGAATCGTCATGTTCATGCGTTGTCTGGACACCAAGACCTCGGGACTGAAGGGATGAAAGGATCACGTGATTTATGATTTCGCTTACGTCAACTCGGTGACGGAAATTTCATCGAGGCATTCCGAAGTGACGGACGCCTTCCTGCTATTCTTTTACCCGACGTTCTATTTTCCACCGTCTCTGGACATGTTGAGGCCTCATTTTCTGCGGCCGCTATCGCGAGGCCTACACCAGGGTGTTCCTATACTCAGAAGCTCAGCAGCTTCCACAGGTTGTAGAGGGTTGGCTACCGTTGTTGCCGAGGAGAAGGTATTCATCCGCTGCGGTTTCTGAGATTGTTCTGTGTCGCTGATACAGCCCTCGCTCTAGGATCCTGTCGAACTCGATCAGATTACCACTCTTCCGAATGGCATCCGGGTCGCGACTGAGGCCCTCCCAGGTCACTTCTCTGGTGTTGGAGTCTACGTCGATGCGGGTTCCAGATATGAGAACGATGCGCTGCGGGGCGTCAGCCATATTATAGACCGGCTGGCATTTAAGTCGACGAAGCAAACGGCCGGGGATGAGATGATAGAGAAAATGGAGTCATTGGGCGGGAACATTCAATGTGCCTCATCTCGCGAATCGCTGATGTATCAATCGGCGACGTTCAACTCCGCAGTCCCAACAACAATTGGTCTTCTGGCCGAAACAATCCGCGACCCCCTCATCACGGAGGACGAGGTGCAGCAACAGCTCGAGACAGCAGACTACGAGATTGGGGAAATCTGGTCCAAGCCAGAGTTGATATTACCGGAGCTTGTACACATGGCAGCATACAAGGACAACACCTTGGGCAACCCATTACTTTGTCCCAAAGAGAGGTTACCATTCATCAACCGTGCGGTAGTGGAGGCGTACAGGAAAGAATTCTACAAGCCGGAAAGGATAGTGGTAGCATTTGCTGGCGTAAACCACGACGAGGCAGTACAGCTATCACAACAATATTTCGGCGACATGCAGAAAGGAGCTGGACCCTCGCTGATCGGCGTCGGCGAAGACAGCATAATTTCAAGCACCATGCCCTCACAACAATCCTTCACAGCCCAACACCCAACACCCACCGGCGCACCACCGCAGACCTCTAAACTCCTCTCCAAAATCCCCTTCTTCAAAAATATCTCAACATCCGCGACTTCCAACGCTTCCGTAAATACCTCCTTTAACCCCTCTCTAGACTACCCACCAATTGACTTCTCTGCACCGTCCCACTACACCGGCGGCTTCCTTACCCTCCCTCCAATCCCACCCCCCCTCAACCCCGCCCTCCCCCGCCTCTCACACATCCACCTCGCTTTCGAAGCCCTCCCCATCTCCTCCCCCGACATCTACTCTCTCGCAACCCTACAAACCCTGCTCGGAGGTGGCGGCTCATTCAGCGCCGGCGGGCCCGGCAAAGGCATGTACTCCCGACTCTACACCAACGTGCTGAACCAGCACGGTTGGGTCGAATCCTGCATAGCCTTCAACCACTCATACACCGACTCCGGCCTCTTCGGCATCGCAGCATCCTGTACCCCCAGCCAAGTCGCCCAGATGCTAGAAGTCATGTGTCGCGAACTCAGCGCACTCGGGCAAGAAACTGGATACTCAGCTCTCAAAGACGGTGAAGTGCAACGCGCAAAAAACCAGCTTCGATCGAGCCTGCTGATGAATCTTGAGAGTCGCATGGTGGAGTTGGAGGATCTGGGGCGACAGGTGCAGGTTCATGGAAGGAAAGTTGGAGTTAAGGAGATGTGCAGGAATATCGAGCAGGTTACTATTCAGGATCTACGGCGCGTGGCGAAGCAGGTTTTTGGGGGTGAGATTGTAAATGCGGGGTGTGGGAGTGGGGCGCCGACAGTGGTGCTGCAGGAAGGGGAGCAGGAGGGGCTGATGAGGAAAGAGTTTTCGTGGGAGGATATTCAGGGTAGGATTGCGAGGTGGAAGCTGGGGAGGAGGTGAGGGAATGGGGATGTGGGGGCAGGCGTATGATTGTCGCGTATGAACGGATCATAGATGGAGGACCTTGTATTTATAGAATGGAGTTTGGAATGGGTGGATGTTTGAATGGAATGGGTTAAGGAACCTGGTTTTAGACCCGGGGAAATTGTACGTTGTGGGTGGATACAGTAATGTGACAATTACGCTCTTCATAATAAAATCGCGAACACGTATACTACACTTTCGTATTTTTCCCACATCAAAACTTACCATAAGTCTCACTCAAACTCACTCCTAGGATCAGGAGCACAATACCCCCTCCCTAACAGGAACCCGGAGAAACTGTCTTCTGCTCGAGCAAACTACTATTGCGTAAGCGCAGACCTCCCATGTCTTCCGTAATGGGTAATCGGTACTTACAAAATTCTTCCGTTCCACAACCCCGTCTTTCACCCAGAAACCATAGCTTCCCATTAAATTCGCCATCATGATGTCTGTGAAGAGACGGTCGCCAACGATGGCGATTTGAGACGGGTGGGTTACCCCTGAGTCCGGGGCGGCCTGGAAGTGGGATAGGACTTCGGACTTGCAGCCAGGTTTCTGGGGAGAGTTAGATAATATCCTAGCCTCACCGGCACAGATACATAGAGGAAAGAATGCGGTCTTCGAAATAATAAAGTGTACCTTTGTGGAATGGCGCAAGACTTTTACGCCTGTGTTCTTCTCAAGTAGCATGGCTTCCGCATAGTCTTTGTCGGAGTCGGTCCCCGCGGTGTTGGAGACTATGAGGAGTTTGGAGCCTGGGTAGGCACGGCGGAGAGCTTGGAATTGGGACTGTGGGGGGAGAGATTAATTAGGAAAGGACGGAGAGAAGGGTAGATTGGGTAGAGAATTGTGTGGGGGAATTTTCAAGGGGTATATATGATGTGGGTAAAATGGGGAAATAAGGAGCATATGGAGCTGAAAGGAAGGCTGGGGGAGGAGCTATATGAAATTTGAAGTTGTAGTAGATACCGCTCGTGAGAAATGGGGAGAATCTCATCCTAGAAAATTAAAATAACAATTTACCTCGTAAGACTTATACACTTCATTGGCATGTGGAACCGCAAAACAGTTGTCTTTATCCAGAACTACCGCCCTGATATCAACTGGCTTTTCTCCATCCGTTTTTGGAAATGCCTTGGACAAGGGAATAGGAAGATGATTGAAGGTAGAAACAGTGTGTTGCGGCAGACAAAGAGTCGGTGACCATATCAGCCGGAATACATTTAGAGTCCCGGAGATGTTCATTTGAAAGTTTGGATGATAACCGCGGAAGCATGGAGAGAAAAGCAGATGAAGTGGGCAGGGTGAAAGCACGTGCGCATGATGGTCCAAGCTCCAGGCACTTCTGAATATCTTCAACGGCTCGAAGTTGGGGCATCCAAAGACCACTTCGCGCTCCCACTCCACATCAACGCGCGCTAACACCAATAAATCTAGTAAATTCCCTTGATCTCCTCACACGAAAACCCCTCCGCCATCATGACTTCTACGATCGGTATACCGATTAAGTTGTTGAACGAGGCCGCCGTATGTGCCGTACCATTTCCCACACAACGCTGTTCAGGCGGCTAACGCCCCACACATAGGGCCACATCATCACCCTCGAAATTACGTCCGGCGAATTATACCGTGGCAAGCTACTCGAAGGCACAAGCCCCCCCTCCCAATCCCCAAATCTGTATATGTCTAGAAATAGTCCACTGACTGTCCAAACAGCTGAGGACAACATGAATGTCCAACTCAAGGACATCACGGTCACGGCGCGCGACGGGCGAGTCTCACATCTGGAGCAAGTGTATATTCGGGGATCACATGTGCGGTACTTCATTGTGCCTGATATGCTTAGGTACGCTGCCTTTGTGTGGGGTTCCTATTTCATATGAGTGTTCTGACAGTGTTGATAGGAATGCGCCGATGTTCCGATCGCGTGGTACGAGGGGTCGCGGTGTTGGCTTGGCACGAGGAAGGGCTACGGTCAATAGGGCAAGGGGCGTAAGGGGAGGACGCTGAGGGGGAAGGGTGCATAGCTTGAATTTTGGAGGGAATGAAATTGGCCGCCGACATAGCGGTATGGGCTCAGCTCCCTGGTGTGGCGGAGGGCACTGCATGAAGGCCAGAACTAGACCCAAATTTGCTGGTCTGGTCGAGAATATCAGGATTCGGGCACGAATAGGCAAAGCTTCAAATACCCTCGAAGACGCTTCTTGAGAAGCAGGAAAATAAGAAGAAATCTGCGATCTTACCTGGTTACCTATAGATATCTGATACGTGACAACTCATTGAATGCGATAATATGAAGCCTATAATATCCTCCAAAACCAATATGGGGAAGAACAGGTGGGGTACTCAGGTGTGGACTCTGGGGCGACGTTCCCCACCTCGTTACGCAAGACCTCCGTCCAAACTCCGCAACCCTTCTCGCTTCCACAACAACACAACATGGAAATCCAACGCCCACGCCGTATAATGGCTCTTGGAGCCCCAGGCTCTGGCGTCCTCCATCTCCTCAAAGGTATGCCCCAGCCACACTTACCTTGAACCCCACTAACCCTCACTCACTACCAGACCTCACTGGTTCCGCCCCAGAACTCCTCTCAGACACCACAGCTGGCCTATCACACACCTACACCCTCAGCACGCGCTACTACTCCGCTACGCTCCCCATATGGCTGGACGAAATCCCCTCCGTCTCCGAATGGCGCGCCGAATTCACAAAGCCCGAAGCCAGAGAAGTCGTATCCGTACTCGGGGCGTGGATATTTTGTTTCCGAAAGCCCGTGACGCAGGACCATGTCAACGAAATTAAAGAGGCACTACAAGCTATTGCCGATGTCATTGAGAAGGCGTGTGGGTATGGCGCTGATATGGTGTGCCTAGCCGTTGCGATGCCGCAGTCTACGACCCCTTTTTTGGAGCTGGAAAGTGAGGAGTGGGATGGGATTTGTATGGAATATGGGTTTGAGTTTGTGGATGTGGAGGCTAAGGGGAAGAATGCGTTTGGGGAGGCTGTGGGTGTCGAGAGGGTGAAGGATGCGCTGAGTGCGCACAATTGGGAGGGTGGGGATGGTGATGTGGGGTTTGATGGCGAGGAGGATGCGCAAGGGTTTAAGGAGAGCTTTGAATTGGAGGAGGTGGAGATGGGGATGGAGCTTTTGGGGATGAAGGGCGCGGTTCATGGGGCGGAGGAAGAAGATGAGCGGGTACAGGTTGAGGAGCTGGAGAGTGTGATGAGGAAGATGGTTGCTATTAAAGGTGCGCCTTGCGTTTCTTATTGAGCTTTTATCTACTTTTTGCTAACTACTGTTTATCAGAGATGGGCGAGAGTATGCCTGAAGCAGAGCGAAAGAGATTCGCCGCCAAAGCTGTCAACGACTTAATGAAGGACCTTTGAACTTCCTGTCTGCACCATCCTTTTGCTTCTCTCTTCCAACTTAGCAAGCATTCACCTCAAGCGAGGGCATTACCTTACAACACCCCGGCCAGATAAAGTGGACTATACCTCAGCTCCGCTGCCCCAAGCATATCACAAACGGGAAATCCATTTCTCTCTTCGGCTCTCCATTCTCGGCTTCGACCTCCTTCCTCAGTACAAACGCCTCCTCAACCTTCACCATATTAAATCCCGTACCATCAATTATCATCTCCACCTCGTCCTTTTTAATTCCATGTCTCTCTACGCCTTCCCTCTTGCTCTTCGGATGAAACCTCACCGCGCTCTCGCCAAAATCTTCATAATCCGTCAACGCAATCCTACCCCCTGGCTTCAAGCATTGGAAAATTGTGGCAAAGACTGCGGGCATTGAGGGGATATGATGTAATGTAAGATGCGAGACTACGAGGTCGAACCTGTACGGTTGGTCGTGGCCGGATTCACCACGTCGGCTGGCGAGCGCTGCGGCTGCTCCTTGGACGTGTACATCATCTGCTTCTTGCACCAGCACATTCACAGCAGCGAGGTTGGCTTTATAGGGATCGGGGAGCACGGCGACCTTTTGGTTGAACGCTGCGATCATGCCGTCTGCGGTGTCGACGCCGACAAGCGACCGAACGAGCGGGGCGAGGCGGAAGGAGAGGAGGCCGGTGCCGCATCCTATTTCGAGGACATCGAGGTCTGGAAATTATAGGCATTGAGATGAAGAGATTTGGGTGGCAAGGGGGTGCTCACTTTTAGAGCTTCCATCGCTGAAGGCAGGAATGCTGCGTTTAATAGCGTCGAACGCTTTTTCAACACTTTCGACGTGTTTCTTATTCGAGTCCCATGCAGCTGCCTCGGCGTTGAAGCGGAGATTGTTGACTTCCAGAGCGTTTGGTGTTGTGGCTGCCATTACTGTTTATAGGGAGGGGTGGAAGTTGGATGTGACGACAGTCGAGCTTGGGGTTTTGGTTAAGATGGTGGGGTTGCGGGGCTGTTTCGGACTGATATCAGCAGATCGTTGAACAAAGCTAGCAAGCTGATATTAAAAGATAGAAGGCCGGAGATATATTCCTTCGTTTTTTCAAGAATAGCGTGGTATTTGGATGGCTTCGGTTTTATATGTAACCCGTTCCCCTTCCAGATCTCAGTGTTCATGTGCAGTAGGGGTTTCTTCCGACATCGGACTTCGCCTTCGCATCTATATTCTAGAAACAACTTAAGCTTCCCTACTAGAGGATTCTTTCACTAATCTCTCCATAGAAAAGCTCTAGAAAGTTTCCGCCGGCGACTTTGACGTCGAAAGCAGGAGCAGCTGGTGAGTGAATGTCCCCGTTCATGCTAACCCACACTTGGATTTAAGCTTAAATCTATATTTGGGTACGGACATGGATGCACCTCGTAACGCCAGCCTTCTGTCCTCCCCCCTCCGGTCAGGTAACAGGTTTGCTCCACCTCTCTCAGCTCTCCTCGCTCGCTCACTCACCTTGCTGTTTTGTCCCTCTCGTTCGTTGGCATAGTCACTCGCTACACACTAGCACACATCATGCGTTCCGCCGCGGAATTGCTTTTCTTTGCCCTTGGCCTTTTTGAATATACATCAGCGTCGTCGTCGTCGTCGCCCTCCTTCAGCAACGCAGTGACATGGATCCAATACGGGCAAAGCGCTGTCGTGAAGCTCGATACACCGGGTTATCCGCTCTGGCTGATGGACAAAGCAAATGCACCCATCTTGCACGAACAGGCCGGGGATTCCTACTGGCCGCAAGACAAGCCGAGCGCGGTTCTTCTCAACTTAACAATGTCTCTTGATAACAAGACATTATTGCTAAACCACAACCCCATTCTCCCGCTCTCAGACCCAAATGTCCCACCCCTGATTGAAGCATACCAAGTCCCGGCCGACATGACCACCACGCAGATCAGAGGATTGGTGTCGAACGGACTGTTGAATAGACAGTGGGAGGGTTTGACGCTTGGATGGCGATATCTCGCACTCGACTACGACCGGCTTGTTTGGGCGGATCCTGAGACGGGGCCATACCAGAACCACGTCCCAATTCTACGCTTCCGGATCATGGGTATCGGCGCACATAGTCGGAATGATGTGCTGGACGTGGAGAAGCAGCAGGTTGTACATGTCACGCTCCAGGACTGGAAACATGGCTCTTCGGATGCGAAGGATCGGTCGTATGGGATTACCAAGATTGAGTTGGTGGATGTGGAGGAGTCGTACGCGTATGTGCCGGCGATGGAACCGGAGCAGGAGGAGTGTTCGCTGAGGTCTTGGAGATGTGCGGATAAGGGGTTGTATCAGGAGGGTCCGCCTTGGTATCGGTTCATTTGGAGGGAAAGGTTTGATTGGTATGGGAGGGTTGGGTCGCTGAGGCATGCGGTGGTTAGAAAAGTGGATGTCATGAGGAAGTTTGTGGCGGATGCGGGACCCGCGATGGTTTTTGCGTTTGTCATTTTGTTTGGGGCGGCAATACTGGTTATGAGCATGGTTGGGACTATTGGGAGTTTGTGTAATAGGAGGGAGAAGACGATCAGGGAACTGGCAGAGGACGATCGGTTTTTGGGGGAAGAAGCGGACGAGGAGAGGTATTTAGACGACGAGGAGGAGAAGGAAGTAGTTCCATCCCCGCTCCCACCAAGGTCTGGTCAGGACAAGGAGGAGGCTGTACTGATTGACTTAGGCTGCTGAAGCGTCCTGAAACTAACTGGAGCTTGGCATCTTTGCAAGGGCTCCGTCAAGGTGATGAAGATACCGTGGGAGCGGGGGGCGAGATGTTGCAGCACCGTTGAGATGAACTTTAATGTAATCATAGCCCCTCTAGAGGGTAATGTTTTCACATGCCGTAAGCTTGTCACGTCAGGGCGATGAATGAGAAACTATGTTCTAGCACCAAAGCATGATGCTGCTGTAGAGATTCATTTTCATATTCACCATCCAGCCTTCACTCTCACGATCCACACCATACCATGAACACTATCCATGTCTCCCACTCGCACTCTCTGAAGCACGAGGCATGAAATTCTACTCCAGATCGTCTCTGAGCATGTTTCGATGACGCGCTTGGGAAGGTGGGGTTTACGATTGGACGAGGCATCGAGCATGGAGACATTCACAGCGTTACGACTGTGCCACAGTTCACCGGGCAGGCAGCCGTCACATGGCATGGACATGAGGTACATTTCAGCTCTCATGGGCGGCGAATAGAGACAGAGAGACGACTGAGGGGGGCGAAGGGAGGAGTGAATGGCGAGCGGCAGGCTGCCGTTAATTTTATCCCCGCAGCTCTCGTGACTGCGCCGCCTCGAGTGCCTCAACATCCCTCGAACTCAAATCCAGAGGCCGACAAGCGCAAGTAGAAACGCCAACAATTGCAGGCCCCGCAGGCACCGGCACCTTTTCTCGATCCATTGCACCTCGCAAGGCTATGCGATATAGCCGACGACACGACCTTTGCCCCGCCGTCGACACCCTTTGACGTTATCCGATCATCCCACAAAACCCCGAGCACGCTGAACCGCCGCAAGCCGAACACAAATATGTCTACCGTTTCGGGGAGTGCGTCGAACGCCTCTCCGCCAGCGCAGCGCACTGCTCCCCAGCAGCACACCCGCACCTACCAAGCCTGCATTCCGTGTCGGCGGCGCAAGGTTCGGTGCGACCTGGGGCCTGTCGACAACCCCCATGAGCCGCCTTGCGTCCGCTGCCGGCGCGAGAGCAAAGAGTGCTTTTTCTCTGCCACCCGGAGGAAGAGGAAGCAGGATAGCGGCGAGGATCAGGACGACGGCGGGCTGTCCGACTACGAGATCCGCAATGGCAGGAAGCGGTTGAGACCCAACGAGGAGCCCCCCCCAGCCCGCCCCGAGCCTCTCCAGATCAACAGACCCACCACCACGACCGCATATGTCTCCCAGCCTCTGACTCCTGGAGGCTCTGTGGGTCGCTATGAGCCGCTGCGCCGACCTGCGCAGAGCTTCAACCCGCACAACGACGAGGAGGACCAGAAGGTGAACAACCAGACGGCGGCGATCCTGCAGACGAAAGAGGTTTACAGCGGACACGATGCGCTGAACCTGCTGTTCGAGGCCGCCGGGCGCAATGGCGACATCGACCACCACAGAACTGGCAGCTCGGGGAGTCTCCAGCGCCCGACGTTGGGACACGGTAGCACGCCCGGCTCGCAAGCAAACTTCGCCAGCCCCCAAGCGAGTGCGGTCCACGGCAAAGACGGCCGTCAGTCGCGGGTCGCTGCAGAGCCGTCAGCAGATCCCGTCATTGCGTCTAGCTATCACAACCTCCCCGATCCGCCCAACGAAGCCACATTTGCCGACGCTGCGAAGGCGTGGTCGAGGTTCCGCTTTGTGCGGGCCGGATGGCTCACAGCGAAGGAGGCGATTGCGTATATGGACTATTTCTACATCTACCTCTCGCCGTTGACGCCCATCGTGGTCCCCGATTACCGCGACCATGCGCTCCACAGCAAGCTCCTCAAGGAAGAGCCAATGTTGACGGTTACGCTTTTGACCATCTCATCCAGGTTCGTCCGTCTCAATGGAGCGGGCGCGGCTTCTCGAGCGTATGCCATCCACGAGAAGCTTTGGAAGTTTCTTCAAGGAATGATTGATCGCATGATCTGGGGACAAGAACAGTTCGGCGGAGGCTTCTGTGGCGCAGGACAGCAGCCCGGATCGGATGTGAACCCGCTTTCTCGAAAAGGGCTGAGGACGCTGGGCACGGTGGAGAGTCTAATGCTTCTTACCGAGTGGCATCCGCGAGCGCTGCACTTTCCCCCCGGAGACGACGATGATGAGTTGGTAGTTCCAGATGACGGCCCCGGAGACGGCCATACGACAAATGGCAGCGATTCTGCCGACCTATATAAGGGAGTCGGGGGCCAACGCATAGACAGCTGGCTCGAACCCTGCTGGCGGAGCGATCGAATGTGTTGGATGCTGCTCGGAAATGCCATGGCTCTAGCTTTCGAGATCGGCGTGTTCGATGACACAAGTGAGAAAGAGTTTGAGCAGGCTAACTCACACCTCTCTCACGCTACCGTCAAGGCTTACTACCGACGGAAGAACCACCTCAAGGACCTACTGATCATATATGTCACTCAGACTAGTGGCAGGCTAGGATTGACGTCGATGCTTCCACAGGTCCAACGCGAACCTGACCATTTCCCGCATAAGACGCCGCTCATGAGGTACCAGGATCGCATAGCCCACATTCAACCACCGCCGCCTCAAATCGGGATGCGGCCGGATGGACAGCGTCTCCCGTATGAATCAGTGGCCACTCAGAATCGACATGCAGTGCAAGATTTGGTGCTTGATTTCTGGAACTGGATCGCCAAGGTCATGGAAGGAGGAAACCTCAAATTGTTCCCAAATCGTCGTCAAACGAGGGAGCTGTTGAAGACGGGGAGGTACGAGGAGTTGCTGAGGGAGTTCCAGACTCCGTTGTTGGACTGGAAGAAGAGTTTCGATGTGGCCCAGCAAAGTACGATTGGTTCCCCGAGAAGGGTTTTTTTATTATCATTTTTTCAGTTCCGTACTGACAAGTTCCAGTTCCCACCCAACTTCGGCACGTTCTTACCATCGAGTATGAGTACACTCGAGTATACTTGAACTCTCTAGCGCTACAAGCAGTCGTCGAGCGTTGTACTCACAACTCGCCAATGCAGAACCATGCTCAGCCGAATGGCTCTTCAAACACCTCACGAGATGGCGGTGCGATTCCGTTCAGCACCTTGAGCAAGATGTACGGAAACGACAGGCACTACATCGACGAAGTTATCGATGCGAGTCGGAACGTCCTAAAGGTTGTAGTCGACGGACTGTTCCCTCACTACCTCCGTCACGCTCCCGTCCGCACGTTCTTCCGCATCGTCTCGGTCGCCATCATCCTCCTCAAAACCTTCGCCCTCGGCGCCACAGAAGACGACGTCGCCTACTCCCTCGGCTTGCTCGACCGCGGAGTCGAAGCCCTGCGCCAATCAATCGTCGACGACGTTCATGTCGGCAACCGTTTCGCCGATCTCGTTGAAACCCTAACCCACCGCATCCGCGCGCGCTTCGTGCGCATGGCCGCCAGCGGCTCTGCAGGAATATCCCGTGCACCAAGTCACTCCCCCCCTCGCACCGGTGGCCAAACACCCATGATGCCGCCACCACCCCAAACGCACCAACACCCGCCGCACCTCGCGCCTCCCTTCAGCGCCAGCAACAATGCCCACCAGCACCAACACCAACACCGCTACCACAGCACAACGGGCTCCGGCAGCCCACCACTGCACCTCGACTCCACGGGCCGCTCAACTCCGAATCCCGGACGCTCGACACCAAATCCGAGTCTCTGGGGCATCGCAACAGAAACCTACGATCCGAATTCGAATTCGATCTCCATCATGCCGCCGCCCCATTTTGGACCTCACCAGTATAATTTTATGGAGCAGCTGCAACATCACTCACAGTCGCATAGCCAGAACCATAGCAATATTGGTGGTGGAGGAGTGGATGCGTATAACCAGGATTGGTTGGCGTTGCCACTGGATCCATTACTGAATCAGTGGGGAGCGGATATTACGCAGACGGCTATGGGTCCGGATGTAGGCGGGATGGATATGTTAGATATTTTGCTGAATATGGGGGGGCCGCCGGGGAGTGCTTGATCCTGGTATTGTGGGCGGGTAAAAAGGGGGAGAGTGATGAGGTTAGTGGCGAGATTGGTGAAGAGGATTTTGAAGACTGAAGAAGGTGAGGGTAGGAAGAGAGATATGTGTGTGTTTGCTTTGTGCTGATTCTGATTCTGATTCTGATTCTGATCCTGATGCGGCGGTGGCGGTTGCTGTTACGATACCCCCGACTCTTTTTCTCCGATGCCTTCTCCCTCTTTTTTCTTCTGCTGAGACGGACTTGGAGTTGGGGTCTCCCTCACATTTCTCTTTCTCTGTTTTCTCATTCGGAGTGGTGTGAGTTTGTTAATTTGTCGTTTGATACGATCAGTTCTCAAATTCTAGCAGCGAGCGAGGGAGTCTGTCCACCTATCGGGCGGTATTTTTAAACAGCCAATCTCGGAAACTTTCGTAATGGTCGTACTCTTCGGAGTCATGGTGAGCGTGGGAGGGCGCAGGGGTGTTTCTAGGCTGTTCTGATCTAGGAGGGATAGGGATGTGGAGACGGAGTTTGAGCTCGAGCTTGAAGGAGAGATAAGGGTTAGAGCTAGAGCTAGAGCTAGAGCTAGAGCTGGCGCTCATTGATCTCACTCAAGCAGCTACGGTCAAGGGTTCGATGTACCTTACTCTACGGTGTAGAGATGCAAGGACAGGAAGTAGAGGAGGCAGGAAATGATATGTGTTTGTAACTCTAAAACTCTGTCAGTTTTCAGTGGGTAAGTGGTTGAAAACTGTGTCATATGGGGCATTTATTACCTCAGCCATCTTCCTCACATAGTGTGTGTAAGAAATATGAAACCAAATTCTAGAAATTTCATGCAAACATGTTAGCAAGTTGGTGAGCGAGCCAAGTTTGTTCTTGATACACCACTCATCTCTACACTCGGGTCCAGAAACCCTCGTCTTTTCCTCCAATGTGGCTAACACTGCAAATATAAATGCACATGCACATGCCTACTATCATACATTTTAGCTCCTCCGTCCAACCTGCCTGCTGATGGCCATTTTGAAATGCGAGGACAGAGAGAGGGGCGTGGAAGGTGTTGTACGGTATAGTACAGGATGCATATGTGAATAGGGTTGATGAGATTCGTAATGGCCGTGATAAGAGAGAGTGGGAAGAGCGGCAGGTGCCAAAAGATGAAACGACGCGAGAGAGGAAATGAAGCAAAAGAGAAAGAATACCAATTTTGGAAGAAAATAACAGAAACAGGATGCATAGCATTGCAACTCTGTACTTACTACCTTCATCTTCCTACTAATGCCTTTGTGCTCATAGATGATACCGGACAGATCCTTACCATCTCCCATTCTCAAAACCATCTGCCGCCGCCCATCCCCATCCCATCACCCCAAACATCGCTAGTGCCCAAACCCCTCATATCAGGCCCTCCGAATGGATCAGCGCTCATACCCCCGTCCCGCCACCCGTCATAGCCAAACCCGTTTCCCACGCCCCAAGAATCTCCCTCATACGGGGCCAAAACATCACCCCTCCTTGGGGCCCCCAACATCGCCACCCCTAATCCCAGTCCTAGCCCTGATGACGACGTAACAGGCACCTGCACCGGTACAGGCATAGAGACAGTCGTCGTAGCACCCCACAACCCGCTCGTTTGACTTCCTCTCCCATATCCATTTCCCAAACCCCCTAACGCCTCCCTAACCTTGAGAACATCAATATGTGCCGCCCCACTCTGATCGATCAAATTCAGAAATCGGTCTCGGAATACCATCTCTCGTTCCAGCTTAATTAAATTCGGTGCCTCTGGTCTCCCTCCGCCGGCTCCACTTGCAGTTGCAAACCCTATACCCACACCCATACCATCCCACCCATCGCTCCCCCTCCCTGGTCGCTGAGCCAAAAACTTCCTCGCCCAAGACCTTAAGCTAGGATCTGGTTCCCCGCATCCATCATATATCTCCCTAAGCACAGTAATCGGGTCTTCGCGCGTAATACACTGTGCCTTGAGTCTTTGAATCGCGATTCCTTTGACGTCGTCGAACGCTAGCGCGTTTGCGAGTTTGAAGATCCGGATATCAGTCAAGAGAAACGGCTGGGAGTCTCTATGCGGGGGTTTGATAACCGGTGGCCCCTTCCTCCCCGGTGTGGTTACAGGGACGATATCAGGTGAATATGATCCGGTGTACAGGAGTTCGAGCAGTGCCATGAATGTCTCCCTTTGCACATCTTCTGGGATAGCGAGGAATCGAGAGGCGTTAAAAGCTCTGCGGATGGAGGAATAAGCATCGATTTTGTCTCGCGGGATTTGGATGCATTTTTCATCGAAGACAAATTCTACAGCATCAGCGGAGGGGGTTGTTTGTGCGCGGGGGATTTCTTCGAGATTGTCAGCGTCTTTGGATTTGGGGTTGTAGATCAGGATGGTCGACTTCTGTGCGGACTCTGGGAGCTCGAGGGTTGGGAGGCAGTATGTTTTGTACCAGTCATCGACTTCCGTTTCTAGGATTGGGTCGATGTCGGAGTAGCAGTGTGTGCAGAACCATTTGGAAGTGAATCGGTGGCGGGTATGGTAATTATCATAGAGCCCTCGAGGAAGTGGGTGTCCGAATCCCAGTGGAAGAGGCCTGGCTTTGGCGCCAGATAAATTCTTGATGGTGTGCATGATTTTGCCGAAGTGCACGCCATGTGCGAGACGGCCATAGTCCACCTCCTTCTCTTCTTGCGGACCACATGCAACTAGAAAATAGGCGTGAATCATGTGGTGGATGAGGCTAGCAATGATAAACTTTGAACTTGCATATTGATGCAGATCGGCATTCAAAATGATAGAAATGCGATGGACTCGCTTGTTCGGGCTCTGCCCAGGGTTGAAGGTGACTCCAGATACATCGCGTTGTATGCTCCTGATACCTAGGAAGACGGCGTCCTTCAAGTGGCCGGCGAATAGAATCTCGTCAAGCTTGTTGAAGACTCGATACGCAACGTCCCGAGAATGTCCCTCCTTGGTGATTCTTTCAGCGAATATTCGAACCTTCTTGAGAGTATCTGCAACATCTGGAGAGTTGGCCTCGTCGAGATGATTGACCAAAAAAGCAGTAGCGTACTCAATATTCCAACCAAGGTTCCTGTCACACCTTAGCCGTTCATCCTTTAGCCTTGATACGAGGCTTGGGGGTGGTCGAGGAATGCATGACGGGACACAGTCGTAGGACGAGTCAGATTCAGAATCAGACGAGTGTCGGTAACGACTAAACCCTAGAGGGTCACCATAGGGAAAGAGTGGTAGGTGGGAATCGAATGGCATGAGGGCAAACCAAAGCAGGGGTCATTGCGTAATTGCCGTGAGGGTCTACTGACAACGGCGCCATCGTAGTTATATAGATCAGGCGTTATGATGCTGACGATCCCCTGTTGTTGTGCGCTAAAACGGTTTGCATATGTGCCGGGTTCTACACAGAGTCGGCGTAAAGTGTTGTAGATGGGGAGTTTCGAACACGTAGTAGGTAGCAAACAGCTGACCCCTTAGTAAACGTTGTGCACAGGGTTTAAGCCGAGACACGCGCACGAGAGCCGGCACTATTGATGCGTCATACTCTCCTGGGGTAGTGTTCAGGGCCGTTGGAAAGTGAGTCCAGACGTGACGTTTGGTGCGTCCGTTTGCAAACAAGATATCCTCCAGACATCATGCGACAATGACGGACTAACGGCTCGAAGAGATGTAGCACATGGTAGTGCAGACCAAGGGAGGAACAATACTCTGGCACAACCGACGGGTACTGTGATTTCAAAATGCACGGGGGACAGATTGGTTGACATGGCGTGTGGATGGCCCAGCAGACATAGAGCAGGAGTGCGAAGAGACTAGTGAGGCGTAACGCACGTAAGAGGTCACGGGTAGATGAGATAGAAGAGAAGCAGATAAAAATAGGAGGAAAGGTATGTAATTTTGCAAATCCAAAATGAACACCAAGATCCTGCCTCCAAATTACCTTGAGCAGAAGTGCGAGAACTATACAATGTCACTTACGGCGCACCCAGAAATGGATGCTGAAGCGGCGACGAGCTTTCCGGATGTCGAAAAGCAAAGAAACTATCTGCTCGCTCCCGTCCCATTAGTTTGTCGTCAGCCGAAGGAAATACGTGGTGCCGGCCCCTGATGTTGACGCAGGGTCGACGATAAGGGATGACAACATCTGCCGCGGCAATCTTTGACGCTAGCTGCGGATCTTCGTGGACCTTCGAAATGTCGTATCTGAGCCTGACACAGTCGTTGCTGGCGACCCACTCGTGGACGTCTAATACCCGGGACGTCGGTCATAATCGTCACCTGGCCTGTCACCTGGTCGTCCCGATTGAGACCTTCCGTCACCGTAGTGCTTCCGCCTCAATGCGGCCAGCCTCTTCTTCTTGGTATGCGAGTTGATATATGTACCGATAATGAATCCAATGATGTTAAAGAAAGGTACCCAGGTGTGCTCGGGCAGGAACTTCTGGGCGAATGCCAGCGAGACTGGAGAGACAACCCAGCTGACCTTCATGACAGGCCAGAAACCGGCCTTTACGGTCGCGCGTACCTGATGGAAGGTGCGCGCGCCGGCGATGATGGCCATAGAGACCAGGTAAATAGAGTTTTGGATGGGGGCGATCTGGGAAGGATCAGCCGAACAAGTCAGGTTGGAAGTGTCGATGGACTGGAGCTTACAATCAAATTGCTAACGAGAATTTGGAGAATCTTCGCCTTCAGGCTGGTCCTTCCGCGGAAGACCTTCTGGAGGATGCTAATGAGGAAGTGGCCCAGAGGAGCGCTTATAAAAGCACCATAGATGGCCATTTTGGGGACACGGGAGGTGAAGTAGTGGCCCTGCTTGCTCCGGTCATGTGCAATCCAAGACGCGAGGAACTCCTGGAGACCAGAGAGGGTGCCCGAGGTCAGCATCTTGGTGCGCAGCGGGTTGTCCTGCAGTTGCTTGAGATAAGCCTGGTTGCGACATGGCGGGTCAGTGGAGATGCAGACTCAATTCTCAATTGCGCGCCACTCACTGCGAGGTATCCATTTGCGCCGCCGCCTTTGGTCAGGGCTTCGCCGACGTTGTGGACAAGATCGTGCTTTCCTCCTTTCGCTCCCACGACGCCGGCGGCAGCGGTCGCAGCTGCCCCCGTCGTCTTGATCGTCTCCTTCTCGAACTTGACCGACATGGCGGCGACGCTTCAAACTAGCAGGAACAGTCGCAGGCGACGGGTAGGCGCGTCGGGCGTGTTTGTGCAGCAGATTGGGAGCGGGGGAGGTGTCGATGGGCGATGTGAAGCTGACGGCAAGGGCGATGGCTGGGAGTGTTTGTTGTCCGAGTCCCTCGGCCGACCAAAGTGGACTAGCGCCCGCGGCAGTTTTGGATGTGCTTTTGCGGTTGGAGAACGAACGCGCTCTGACTCTGAACACTTCACGCGCTCGCTCTCTCCTGATGTTGGCTTTCGGGCCGTGTTTCGGTTCTCACTGCTGTTCCGTTAAAAATGAGGGTTGGAGATGAAGGGTTAGATGAAAATCGCTGCCTGTTCAACGGCGTCGATGACACCTTGGGCAACAGAGCGATTGCTGGTTCGCATGGCGCCGGTATCCGTTGGCGAATCGATGCGCGCACGGTGAGCGGTAGAGGGCCATGGTCTTGCGAGATTGCCATTGCTAAGAGGGAAAGGGGAAGCCATGCGTCCGGGAATGTGGCGGATGGAATGCGGCTGATCCAAGGAACCCTCGTCATTGTGCTACTGCCACACCCCATAGCTGGATCTTTCTTTAAGCTGTAGAACGCTCCGCCACCATGCTCGCAGGTAAATGTTCGGCATCCTGTGATGTGAGTCCTGTCTGCACTAAATGATAGGTAAGGCCTCCACTCGAAACTTTTCCCTCTCAGTAAAGCTCGTATGCTCAAACTCGTGCGTCTCATACTCATCCACACTCATGCTGGCATACTGCAAACGCAGCTGAGCCGCCAATCGTTCCGCTGCGTTCCTTCACTTTCTCGTCAATAACCTCTCCTTGTTGAAATATGCAGCGGAACATGATAGAGATTTGATCAAGGGCACAAATCTGCATCTCCTTAACCACCTCCTTGGTTCCAGTAAGAGATTCAGAGACCAGTCCCTAACTGGTCGTGTCCTATGGTATGCAATCGCGTACTACCACTTCCGCCCTTAGATCTCGGGTCTTCTCCTAGAGAGGGTCCTGGGAAGGTGAATGGTGCTGATGGCTCCCGTTTGACCTCACCCCGTTGCCAAGACAGACATCCATCAACTTCCCAACCCGTCACCGTCCACAATCCCACAACACAACAAACCTAAGTAAACAATTTTATTTCCACTCACTCGCACGCCGATACTACCTACGCTTCCCTACATTTCACCTTGCAATGTCAATTATGCGCCGCTCTGCTGTCAACACCTCGTGATCTCGAAGCTCTCCTTCCTGCTCAGGTATTTCAACAGCCTGGGGGTTCAACACGCCTGACCACAACACGGCTTCTCCAGGCTAACACAAGAAAGCCCCTCCGTGGACGGAGCGTCCGCACACCTACCGACCACCCACGACCAACCCACGCCTGCACCGCTCCAACGCTCAGCCCTTATGAGAGTAGGTAACATCGATATCAACGTGTCCGACCTCGCTGAAATGCTTAAGACACGGACCGCTCCACCGCGGCGTGTTGCCCCCAAGGCCCCCAACTGCACGCATATCAATATGGACCGCATTTATGGCCGGGACCAGAATTGTTATGTTTGTGGGCGCGAACCTTCCATCGGATTCCTCTATGTCTGTCGTCAGGACGATAAGGTTGTACCGGACACCCCCCTGGAAGGTCCTCGAGTCGCCCACGGTACCTTGGATGACCACTACCATGATGAAGGATTGAAGTCAGATTTGCGTCGAGAGCTAGAAGGAATTGGATTGAGTCAATATGTCATTAGCGCCGCTGAACGAGGGGAGTACACGGCGCAGCAGCTTAAAAAGCTCAAGCTGCAGAAACTCGAGCTCAAACAAGCTATCTCGGATGTCATGCAAGGAAAGCACATCCTTTCTATCCAAGCCAGTCTGAGCGTCGACGCGGACGAACTGAACTGGGCTGCAGAGGCACTCCCAAACAACGACGGGGCTGGACATAGCACTGTTCAAAAGGATCACGTGAGTGCCTACAACTAAATGGTACTGCGAAAGTCAGAACTAACAGCACCCTGACAGATTCCGCAAACATGCACTTTCCGGGCTTGCCACACCTGCCGTCCGTATTATAGAGACCGCGTCTACACATCTTTTCACGCCGTCCTTCGCAACGAGCTCCCACCATTAACTGCATTCGACGTATCCATGCTCCCAACAAAGTCTGCCTCTATCCTCAAAACCATTGGTTTGCTCACCACCCCCACTGACAATGACCCTTCGCCCGTCCCGCTACACCAACCTTCCTCCACGGACTCCACAACTTTGACGACCTCGCGTCTCAGCGTTCTCACCTTCAGAACCTCCCAAACAGACATCTCGGAACTCCGACGCATGCACCGCCCACGGAAGCGCTTCTACAACCTCGGTGCCAGAAACTCAGCTTCTATTGCAGACAGCTTATCTAAACAACTGTCCTGGCGCGCAGGCCTCAAGACAGCCATTCAGGGCATCTTCAAATCTACTCGAGAATCTAGCAGTGAAGGATCCACCATTACGCTTCCCGTTTCTCGAATGAGTACCGTGCGACACGGCATCAAAGAACTGGGTGATCTCGACCTAGGCAGCCTGCGCCACGTGAAACGGCAAAAGGATCGTATGGACATGAGGAATGAAGTTGGTATCGAAGCCACCGAAGGCGTGAGGCGGCATAGTGTAGACGACGGGTCAGAGTCTGCCTCAGAACTCACCGTCTACAGCCGTGCATCAGAAGCCGGGAGCGAAGTTGAAGTTGAAGGAGGTGTCGCGCTGACGGAAGAGGCTGTCGAGACGCATACCCCAGATATCTTGAATGTGGAAGATGTGCATGCTGACATCGAACCGATCATGACACAGGTTTAAGCTAGAGAGCTAATTTTTGTAGTGGTCTTGGCACGCATATTGGGAATCAAAATGGAGTACGACGGAGGAGGGGTCTGGAGATGTGGCAATTCATTATCAATCACTATACCCAAGGCCGCATTCTTTCGGCGTTTGGATTGAGGGAATTTGGACCTTCATACCGACAGGTCAGGCGTATGCATGGACCGTATTCATCCATGTAGATGCTTATATTCATTGGCTGAACAGTGCCATGGGCGAACTGTGCATACCTAATAACGACCTGTACCATCACAATCCTCGGTGCAATGGGAAACTAAAAGAGTACGTTGATGTGAATACATGACGGTGATTGTTCGAGTATTGTGATGCTTGGCATGGTGTTGAGGGCGATGCAGACTGCCGAGGCTGGAAAGAAAACCAACATGCAGGTACGCAGCCCCCAAGGCTTAGCACTTAATTAGCCCCAAGCTCACATCATTCGTCGTAATTGTACGTTGCGGCTGAAATCAATGTACTGCGGCAGCGTATTTCGACTCGTTTCCTTTAGGGCCGTAATACCTTGTCCGGTCTCATTTCGTGTGGAAGGATGCGAGATGAAACGTACGAGTCCGGGTATCGATAATGAACCCATCACCTCAATCCTGGATCCCTATCCCTCTGCATCTATCCTCTTCCTTCCTTTGCTACCTGTCGGCAATTCTCTCTGAACGGCAATGAGCCTGGCCAAGTAACGGCGATCCCGTTGTGGCAATTTTTCATGGCTTCTGGGCTCTCCCTATCCCTATTACGTTGATATGCAGGTACGACTGCCCCTCTTCTTCCCCTTCAATCGACGGTACGAGACTGACTATGCGCAGTTCAAACTTGCGGCTCTCAATACGGAGAAAGAAGTCGCGCCAGAACGTGATCAAAAGGAAGTCCTGATTCCGCATCATCCCGAGGCCGTCCGACACTCTCATCCTACTCTCGAAGCACTCCCGGGTCAACACCCGGGAGAAGTTTATGCATACTATGGACCGGACGACGTCATAAAATCTCAAAAGAGATCTTGTTGGAAGCGGAAAAGAGTATGGGTACTCGCGCTGGTGTTGACGGTCGTGATTGCGTCAACGGCTTTGTGTGTGTCGTTAGGGATTCTTCTGAAGAAACCTAAGAGTGCGACCTCTGGCAGTAAGGCTACACCTACGAATCTTGCGACTGCTACTGTGACTGCTTCTGCGTCGTCTGTTCCTTCCCCCACTGCAAAACCTACCAGCATCGCTTCTTTATCGCCTCTTGCCGTCACCGCGTGGAGAGACAACAACTCAACGGGCACCACTTTTAAGATACGAGTTGTATTCCAGAATGACAAGGGAATGCTCCAAGGCACTTTATTTGACTCCGGTTATAAGAGCTGGGCGAGGAACAAAGATTTCACCAAGGCGAAACAGGGAACTTCTCTGGCTCTCACTAGGTTTCGACATAATATTTACCCCGACGCTATTAATAATGTATGATCTTGGCTTCTGTTCTTTGGCGCAAAGGTTGCTAATGTGCTGTGTAGGACGAGCAGGTCGAGCTATTTTATCTGGATGATGCTGGTACGTCCCAAACCTTGTTTTCTTCTCAACGAGGGAGCTTGCTTCAGTTTGCTAACAACCTTTTAGATCGAATATGCGAATGGAACTGGGATTCTATTAACATTGCCGGCAGTGCCGGATCTATCGACAACCAAACCTTTGTCGCTAGTTCTACCTCAAGACTCAGCGCCTATTGGCCCCTCATCATCCTCCAAGATGTCGATGGTAGTCTCCACGAAATCTACTATGACGCTTTTAGCTACTCAGACACAGGGGGTTGGTACCACCGATCTGCGAACTTAACGATTTATGACGGCGCCGCGCTTGGGTTAGTACCGGTTGCGCAGAATATATCTAAGATTGGGGTGTTCTATCAAGGCGAGGATGGGAAATTGAGGGAGGTCCAGAGGGACAAACTTACCTGGGAGTATGCGTATGAAAGTGAGTGGACCCCCAGTTTTGTGTCTCTTCATTATGGCAGATTCATGCTTTACGGGAAATGCTTTCATGAGATAAGGAGAGCTGACATTAGATTCTTCACAGCACACGCCCTCTCCCAATCTATACCACCCCCTTCCCTCACCCCTCCCCAGTTCGCTGCTTTCTCCCTCACCAACGTCACAAACCCCACCGAACTCGACACATATATCCTCTGGCAGGATACCTCCGCAACCATCCAAATGCAATGGCGAGACGACTCCTCGGGGTGGAAGGGCCCGAAAACGTTCGATGCTTTCAGGGGTGCAGATAACGGAACCGCGATCGCATGTATCACTATGGAAACGTTTAATGAGCCGTTACCTAAAGGCATGGACATCCCTCGGTGTTATTTTCAGAGTGGTGGGAATTTGAGAGAGGTTGAGCTGAATGGGAATCGAGATGGGTGGTCGGTGCTAGGGTATGTACCGCTCGACTAGCGATACATTTTAATGGATCGGAACTCTACATGTGGGCGAGTTCTCTTGCGGTTTGGAGTTGGCTTCCATGAGGATTTCAGGTGCTTGAGGTTTGGCTGGTTCTTGTACGTATGTATTATACCCCGTTCTTTCAGATTGGATGGTTTCAGCACTGCCCTCTGATTGGAGGAGATTTCCCCGATTTTTCAAACCAGGTCGGTCCAGCATATAAATTAAACATCGACACAGGACTCCCGTATAGTATCCACTTTTCTCCTAGATTATAGTACTGCATTATTTCTCCAGGTTCTTCTAATTCCCCTTCGACTTCCTCTATATCAGCCTGTCCTATCTCACGTTTAAAATGTTGTCTTCTCCATTCCCCTTCCTTCTTCCCCTCACAATGCACTTCCTCCACCACATCCCCTTTCTGGCAGCCCTCGGCCAATTCAGCGTTACCAACGCCCTCCTCGCCTTCCCCGGTGCGGAGGGCTTCGGCCGCAATGCCATTGGCGGACGTCAAGGCAGCGTCTACATCGTCACCAACCTCAACGACTCCGGCACAGGCTCCCTTCGCGATGCGGTCTCGAAGCCCGATCGAATTGTTGTCTTTGCAGTCAGCGGGGCCATCAAAATCACGGACCGCGTCGTAGTATCAAAACGAATCAGTATCCTCGGCCAAACTGCACCAGGCGGCGGTATCACCGTCTACGGCAACGGCTGGAGTTTCTCCGACGCCGATGATGCTATTATCCGGTATATCCGGATTCGTATGGGAAAAGGTGGTACGAGCGGGAAAGATGCTATTACCATTGCCTCGGGGGCGAATATGATATTTGATCACGTTTCTGTGTCCTGGGGCCGGGACGAAACTTTCTCGATCTCCGGCTCCGATGTCTCAAACATCACCATCCAAAATAGTATCATCGGCCAGGGCCTAGAAACGCATTCCTGTGGCGGGCTAATCCAAACGAATCTCGGCAACGGAATCAGCCTGTTCCGCAACCTCTACATCGATAATAAAACAAGGAATCCGAAAGTCAAAGGCACAAACGACTTCACTAACAACGTAGTCTATAACTGGGGTGGAGGTGGCGGATACATTGCCGGGGATTCAGATGGGCAGAGTGAGGCAAATATCGTCGGGAATTATTTTGTGAGCGGCCCGAGTACGAGTGTGACTGCTTTCACGCGTGGGAATGCGAATTTTAGGGGCTGGGTGGAGGGGAATTGGTATGATAGTGATAAAGATGGGGTCTTGAATGGGAAGGAAATTGGTGTGGCGTCGTCGAACTATGGCGGTATGGCACTTGCTACAGCGAAATTCCCATTCCCGGCGCCCGTGAAGACTCTTAGTGCTAACGATGCGTTGAAATTCGTGCAGCAGTCTGCGGGTGCGAGTTTGGTGAGAGATGAGGTTGACAAGAGATTGATAGCGGAGTTGGCATCGTTTGGGAAGATGGGGGAGCTGGTTAGTGATGAGAATGCGAGCCCGATGAATGGAGTAGGGAGTGTCGATGGAGGAAGTAGGTTGGTGGATACGGATGGGGATGGGATTCCGGATGAGGGGGAGATAAAGGTGGGTAGTGATAAGGGGAAGAGTGATGCGATGGTGGATAGGGATGGGAACGGGTACGTTAGTGTTGAGGATTGGGCGAATTCGTTGGTTCTTGCTACGTACTAAGTGGGTGCCATAGCAGGTAAGTATATTAAAATTTCAGCATGAGCCACGGGGTCTCACCAGTTCCGTTAGCACTGTCTTGTTCATTATTCTACCTCTTCAATCCCCCTTCTCTTTCACTTTGTTCGATTTCAGGGACATTTCTCTAGTTTGTATCAAGGTCACCTGGAAGGAAGGGCAGCGGCACGAGGTATGGGTCATTCTTTCCCTTCAGTACTGCACACCGCCTGATCTTGTACCTTTGGAGCTATACCGTCACTAAGCTTTGGAACTTTCAATCTCCATTTTCTTTGATTCAATTACCTAATACACCTTTAATACCTGCCAGCCCTTTCGACCTCTCTTAGGCCTATGAACACAGCACACCAACTTTATCAAAACCCTGAATAATTCACCAAATTCTCAATATGGCCAAGCCATTTCTCTACATGTTGCTCTCTCTCATCTGTTTCCTCAGCTCCACCTTCAGTAGATGTATTGGGGCCCATGACCGCCGATCATTCTCAACATATCTCCCCAATACTTTCATCAAACGTTCAAACCACGGGAGGTGCACTTTCCACACCATGATCTACTAAAAGCGTACAGCGGAGTCCACCGAGCACGGCATCACCTGGCAAAATTCTCCTTGGGTCACGATCAAAGACGCCTATGGCGACGGCGATCACTCAGTCGCACATCCCGATAACGGCAAGCAAAACTACATCGGCGATGTTTGGAAATTTGATGTCATGAACTCTGATTTCGCTGTCAAGATGGTTGGCAATACTGTCGACTATTGGTACAGCAATTCTTTCAGCTGCGAGTGGGCTGGTCGGGAAGCTGGACAGGACAATAATTGTGGGCTTCGGGCGGGGTGTGAATTGGGGGATTGGATGAGGGGTGGCTTGAAGTGTGAGCAGGATCATCAGTTCATTGGCAGGGCAAGATCAGCGTTCAAAAGGACTCTTAATATGCTAACTAATATCTAGACTGAAGACATAGACTGCTGGTTCCCATGCTTGGGAGTATGGAGACACGGCTTCTAGGGTTTATACTACGGAATCTAGAATGTCATCTTTTTCACAACTTCAAACGAGGACGATACTGATTTGCACAAGGTCTGGGATGAGACTTTCAGAAATCTACCAAAGCCCAATAGTATCAGATTAGCAGGGATCACCTTTGACCAAGGTGCACAATTACTCCAATGTGATCAGCAGCTCACCTGAGTCAGGCAGAAGCTCCCTCAACTACAACTCATATTCCTCGAAAGTCCGTGGCAAGCCGAACCTCGGATTGCCTTAACAACCCATTTGACGTGCTTCCATTGTCCTCGAGAGATAGTAAAACCTCCTTCACCACAGTCCCTCCGTGATCGTTTCCCCTACTGCTTCAACGAAACCTTCTCAGAGCAATTCCATGGTATTTCCTCTCTCTCGTCAAGTCGAATAAACTAACTCATGCTTACAGCTTCTTCTCAATAATAATAATACTCCATAAATTTGCCCTCAAATCAGGCACAAGGAAATCGCCGTGCAGATTGTTCAATTCCAGTTTACTCACCTTCACCGCTAGTCATCATGATCCTTGCTATCACGATCCTCCTCACCACGGCGGCAATGGCAACGCCTCTGCCTGAGGTTGCAGACCCAGCCAAGAACCTTACCATCAGCGATCTCACCTGGCGATGCAACTTCCACACCATGGTATACCAATACTGCACGACTGAGAACGATCGTGACTTCTGGATGAATACCCATGCAACTATCCCTAGCATCAATCACGGCGGCGACTTGATCAAGAGCATAGGCGAGACCGGAAACCTCGATGTCGATGGCGGCCACGGTGGCGCTGTCTACCGCGTCCACGATGTCAACGGCTATGACTTTACGGTCATATGGCGCGACGGGAGCATCGGTTACACGTATGATATCGGGGGGTGCTGGTGGGATATGCATGATAAGATAGATCGTTCTCGATGCGATCATCGTGCAGGGTGTAATCTCGGGGACTGGACTTCTGGACCGCTTAATTGCGAGAAGGCTAAGAAATGGAATCATAGAGTAAGTGGACTCTTTTTGTATTTGTGTCTTTGAGGTCAATAAAGGCTAACCGCTCTGATACAGACCTGCGATATGGACTGCTGGATGCCGTGCTAGATCTATATCGACAGGTAGAAGGCGGATGCTCTTCCACTTCCGTGGTCTATAAGGCACTATTGATTTTCACACTCATCATTCTGAGGACTAAAGGGACTTGGAGACTCGAATTGGGTAGACTCTGGATTGAGATAGAGATATCCAGGAACTTGAATATCTGCCCATACACTTAACTGTGTAGACTTGAACAGCTGCTTATAAATAATGGTGGTAATGACCTTTGCGTAGCTCGATTCTACAAAGGTACTCATTCATGGCTGGTAGTTTATCAGTGAATTGAGTCAATTACTTGCGTAAGCGTGTAAAGACCGTTGCTCCTGCCTCCTGGGCTCAGTTAATTTCGTTCAACGGGTCTTCAGTCTACCTGTGTTCTTTCAACCACACCCACGTACCTATTATGACATCTGAGTTGACGCACTTTTTGGGACTAAGAGTGGATCAACAGTGTTCCGAGTGGTGGAGGATGCTCGATTGGGAATGAACCTTGAAAGAAGGAAATGGAACTACCCAGGAGTCTCGCGTAAGTTAAAAGTGTTCCCCGTTTTCTAAACAGTAACGAATAATAGAAAATAGACCCAAGATATTGACTGCAGCGTCCGGTGTTAATCACTGATGGTGCGGCTTCTCGTGCATGTGCTCCCGCTGCTGACGGGTAAACTCCATCTTCTCTAATCCTGTATGGAGATTGATCTTTGTGGCTCGATGCCTTTCCTCACTTCCTTCTATCTCCACTCCTACTCTTAACTGATAATTCCCCTTCATCTACTGGAGGAACACTTCTTGCTCAATCTCTTGGCCCTTTGTCTAGGACCTAGTGGACTTTCTTCCCGAATCCCAGGATCGGGATCCATTCGTGGAATCCTTCTCTTATGTTTCGATGCTCTATCGTCCCACCTAGAGCAAGTGCATTAATTTCTTCACTCCGCTCGGGCTAGACTAGTTCCAACCTCTCCACTCTTCCTCCAGTAACACACACTTTCCCTAATATCAGCTCCGAGGTAGGCTTCTCTATAGTCCGTATGTAGAATAAAACTGTATCCTCCCTTTACAAAGTCGTGCTGAATGTGAACCTTATATAATTGAAATGATGGTGCAAATGTGTGAGGCCACGATAGCGAAAGCTGAACCTTGGTAAGCATCTACCCAACCAGAAATTTGTCACCACAACTCCTCACATAATGATGAGGACATTGAAACCTAGCAAAAACTTGCAAAATCAAAATTCCCTCACAAAAGAGTCAATACCTGCTGTTCTCTTTTGTGCTTGATTCATCCCTACCCAACACATACCTTCCAACCGCAAATCCCCGTTTTAAGACTCAGTATGGGCCGTCAATTTTCTCTCCCACGCCCACGCAAGCCAAAATTCTCATCTTTCAAAGCCAAAATGTCAGCACTGCGACAACAGACAGGCTTTCCTAGCCCGCCTACTTCCACCCCCCATCCACCCCCAATAAACGAGGGCCTACCGCCACACATCCACCCCATCCTCGCCCACCAAAACTGGATCCAATTCCATGGCGATTGTAGAGAATGCCGGGGTAGTTGTAGTTTATGGCGAGACCTCCAGCCCTCAATCCAACTCGCTAGCGAACTCCTTACCCACCCCAGAAGCCTGACATGGTTCATCCGCGTCCTACACGGCGAAGAAATCTTGGACCCAGTGACTGGACACTTGTATTTGCTTCCATCTGAGCTGGAAAGGGAGCCACGTGCCCTGGCGTGGGTGGTGGAAGCTGTGCGGAAATACCTCATAGACTTTGCCCCACACATTAAGATTAGTTTCGGGGAGTTGGGGAAGGAAATTCATGGTCAGATGAGACCATGGCCGAACAAAGGTTTTATCACGATCAATGCAACGTATGCGGAGTACTTCCTCTCCGGCCAGCGTTCGCCGATCCAAGACCTGCGGACTAGTTGGGCAGTTGCTGTCGTCCTGGTCCACGAGATTGCGCATGCGGTGGCGTTCCTTGCAAGAGGGTCGGGGAAGGAGGCGCTGTATGACCGTGCTGGAGACGAGAATGATGATCTGGGATGGGCTTTGGAGCGACGAATTTTCGGTGTTAGAATTGATTGGGAGATTGATGCGATCCGGGGAGCGACAGGGATGTGGGTGAGGAAGTTGGAGGACAGGAAGGGGATGGGGAGAGAGGATCTGGTACCCTTGTGGTGGCTCGGTATGTTTTTTGAAGGGGAGTGGTGGAAGAGAGTTTATGTGTGATATAGGTTGGACAGTTGGCTTTGAAGATAGTGTATAATGACATATCGAGGTGTGTTGAATAGCCAGGATTCAGGTTCTTGGATGCTAGCTGACATTGTGAGGTAGTCAAGAGAATAAGGATCTCTGTCAGGAGGCAGCGCTCTAATTAGCAGACGACGGCTTCGTTTAGTGGAAAGGGGAGTGAGTGGAGCTCAATGAATTAATCACTTCACAACTCAAATTCAATTCCTCACTCCTCTTACTCTATATTTTCAACATATAGCTAGCTAGATATTGTTAGAGCAGGCGCGGGGGAGTGAAAGGATTCTCCGTCGTTTATGCTGACTTTCGGCAGGGGCCGATTTCGAGTGAGGCTTAAACCCACTTAACTTTCGCTAATTATTGTGCCCTGCAGAAAGCTTGTTCCAATCAGAATTCAACTAATAGTAAGAAGTTCTGCGCACGACTTGCTCTACGACACCCTGGGCATGCGCACAGGTAAACAGGACGAACAAGAGACTTTGAAACTAGAAGATAAAAATATTTTAAATCTTAAGATATTACTAAAAACAAAGATAAGAGAAAGACATAATGTAGTTTGTTGCAAGGGATTGTTGGGTTGCATACGAATATCTCTTGTTTTGGTGCTACAGTTTCTTTTCACGACTGTCCTGAAAAACCTGATCGTAGGCATTTTTTTTGCAAGGCACAATAATGGCGCTGCGCGCTCCGTTCGTACTTCCCCCCTAGTCTACACTGTAATTATCCCTCAGCAAAATAAGCGTAAGGTTTCAACCTATGAATTGGCACCCAGGAATTGTGACTTGAAGTTCGGAACTTTGCCCAATCAGGAAATATATTACAAGAACATAGCGTTCGATAACTTCGGAAAGCTTAAAACGGCCTCTACTAAGGCCCTCCCTCAAGGGCTTAACAACCTAATAACCTAATAGTTCCTCAGCCTCTAACCTAGAGCATCCAGGTGGTCAAAACATGCTCCTGTCAAATTATGCAAGCTCTTGTCTTGATATCTCCCCTACAATCTCCACTGTACCGATCAAAGCCTCGCTGAACGGAACGATGACTTTACGACTGCGATAAATAAAGATGCTGAAAACGCCCTCTCAAAGAAGATGGAAACCCTTCATCATCTTCCAATCCTTCAGACACAGACTCTATTACACCAATGGCTCCGAACTTCTTGTCTTTGGGCGCTACAATTGTCCCTCTTTCGCTCATAGCCACCCCAATACTCGCTCTTCCAACTGTCCAGGAGGACTCGGAAGGGCTGTCCAGCTACCTAACATCGAGACAAGATGTCAACCTATCAGCTATCCATTTTGAAGGATGGTAGGGATGTAGCGCAGCGAACGAGTCCGCCATCAGAGGTGCGTGGAGTGAGATGCTTATGCTAGGCAAAGCCGTGAACATGGACGTCGATTAGAAGGCTCCTGTAAGAGATTTGGTTTTCTCTGCACAAATCTTCTAATCATCTTTATTATCTTTCATAATCTTGCGCCATATTTCATTTCACTCCTTCGCATTTATTACTTTCCTCTCCGTCTGAATTTTAGCTCTGACTCTGACTGGCCGTGGATGTAGGCGACACGTGATTATCTCGGGTCCGAGAACAACAACGAAGCATATCAGTCGGAGATTCAAGGTACGTTTATCTTATAGATTACCATGTTTTAGCGCGTAATGCACGGCCTCGCGTAATGCATGATTTTAGCAATCTGCGCCTTTTACTTTTAAAGCTCTAGAGACTTACATAAATTATAAATTATATAGATTTTTTGTTATAATACTAATTAAATGCTATAGATTCTATTCCTAGTAATAATTTATATGCAATACCTTATAAGGAGGTTAATTTGCCTGCTATGTTAAGTCCTGCCTAATGCTAGCTCCCTCTTTTTATTTAATGCTGCATTATTATTAAAATCCTCTAGCGTACTAGTAATAGGCTGTCACGGTATCCTCCCCGGATCCCAGACATAACCGTATTAGACGCGTACTGGAGTATTATTAGTGCACGTCTGACATAAACACAACACAACACAGACATAAACTTAAGCATAAACTGCCTTAACACTAACTAAACCTAGAACAGGCTTAATTTATACTTAAAGTGCTTAGACTTTTAAGCTAAGTATTTAATTACTAATTTTTTTCTAAACTTTTCTATTTCTTACATAATGTCTTGTACCTACTATAATACCTTATATAGTAATTAAACTAGACCTCTGTAAAGCTCTATAACCTTACTTGTGCATAATTATAACATTATGTTATATTAAAACTTTAGCTAAGAATAGCCTTTAAATCTAATCTAATAAGCTTAGTACTTACATAACTTTAAGCTATTAAAGTAAGCTAAAAAGCCTTTTAAAAAGCGCTTACTTTATAAAAAAGCTACTATGTTATAAGCTTTAAAGCTTTTTAAAAGAACTTTAAAAAATAGCTTTATATTATTAAGTAGTCTATTTCTGCCTTAACTTTTGTTATAGTAGTAAGAACTAAGAACTTACTAGCTTTAAAGCCTACTTAGAAGTCTAAAGATAGCTTAACTCTTTTCTGCCTAACACTACTTACAACTTATAACTTTTTTAACTTAGTAATAAAATCTAACTAACTTTTTAATCCTCTACTATTTAATAGAAAATAAAAAGACTTACTTTTCTTTTTATATAAGCTTTAATATAAACTTAAAGAAAATGTAGACTAATTCCCTTTTAAACACTTCTAGTTACTATATGCCTACTTTTAACTTAACTATAATATAACAGCCTTAATTAACTTACTAATAAATAAAGATATTATTAACTTAGATTAATTTATAGTGTTCTTATAAGTAACTTATAGAAACTTAAATAAAAAGTTAACAGCCCTAAGTTGCCTAAACACTTTATAATAAAAAAAAAAAGTTTTACTTTACACTTTACTAAGTTTTACTAACTTGCATTTAATATAAGCCTAAATAAGATAAGTTTAATTACAGCCTTATATAACTCCCTCTTAACTAAACTGTAACGCGCTATAGTAGGAGAACCCCTTCTAAACAACCTTAACGCGTATGTAAACCTAATTGCTACTTATAATAATAACATAAGGTTCCTTCTTATACAAGCCCTAATACACTTCTAAACTAGCGCAGTTATAAATAAGGACTTTAACATAATAAAAATTAATTTAAATTATGCTTTAGTTAGTTTTAAAAAGCATAAAAATTATAAAAAGAAAAGTTAATATTTTAAGTGTAGTAAGTATAGTTATATTTTCTAAAACTACTCTATTTCTTTTCTTTAAGTCTACATAAGTAGCGCTGCTAGTACTTATTAAAAATTTTTACTATTTTAATTTTATTTTTATAAGGGCTTTAACTTATATTTAAGCTCTAATCTCTTTTGCTACTTTTAACGTAGCTGCAGCTATAGCAGTAGAAGCCTGTAAAAAGGCTTGTTTTAGGGCTAAGTTGCCCCCTAGAACTAATTTAACACTAGATCTTTACTAACTTATAAGCTAAGTCCCTTACTAATAACTAGAAGTACTAAGTTAATATTTCTATATGTTTATAATAAAAAACTATATTAGCCTTAATATAAGCTTTTATTAACTTAGGAGTAAATAGTATAGGTTACATTAATAAAAAACTAGCGTGTAAACTAAATCTTTAATTAATACTACTTACTTAAATAATTTACTTAACTAGATTTAATAGAAAATAACTTAAAAAAGGTTTTATCTTTTATACTATAACTATTATAATTACTTACTAACACTATAAGAAGTAGATTAAACTTTATGTAATAAACATAGAATGTTATAACTTAATCCTAGAACAACTATAGCTGTATTAGCATAAAGTTGCCTTTAATTACTAAGAGTAAGTTCTAAACTTTAACTTTTTTTAATGCTAAGATATATGCTTACACTTACACTTAAATAACACCTAAATAGCACTTAATATAAAAGGTCTTTAGACCTACTTTTTAATAACTTAAAAAAGAACTACCTAAGTAAGGCTAATAAGCTAGGCCTTTTACTAAAATAGGCTATGTAAAATAATTTAATAACTACTTAAACCTAAAGAAAAGGAAGCTTTTAAAGAACTTTTACTTACCTAATTTAGACATAAACTAGGACTTAAATAGCAGATAGACATCTGCTACATAGGACCTGCTCTATTTATAACTCTAGCTTAATAACTAGATTATAAAATCTACATAGTTATAATTTCTAATATAGACTAAGCTTTAGCTCTTTAAAAACATACTAACTTAAAGATAATAGTCTTTTAAGACTACTATAACTTATTACATGTTTTTTTCTAAGATAAGTCTAATAAGCTTTTAATATAATGTCTATATAATTACTAGATAACTTTTAAGCCTAGTAAACAACTTAGTTATAGGCTACTATATAAGATGTTACTAAATAAATTAAAAGTGCTTTAAAAATACCTTAATAAGAACTTAAAAAAAGGGTTTATTTAAGCTAGCTTTTTACTAGTAGTGTTACCTATACTATTTGTAAAGAAACCTAGGAGTAGGCTTTAATTCTATATTAACTACTAAAGACTAAATACTATTACTATTAAAAACTAATACTTAATTTTTTTTTTATAGAAAACCTTAAGCTAACTAAGTAAAGTAAAGTATTTTATAAAGTTAAATATTATTGCTACCTTTAATAAGCTAAAGATAGTAAAAGGTAATAAGTAGCTAATAGCATTTTAGACCTAATATAGACTATTTAAGTACCTAGTAATGCCCTTTAGCTTAGCTAATACGCCTAGTACTTTTTAACATTTTATAAATAACTTACTTTAACCCTACCTAGATGTGTTCTGCACTATGTATATTAATAATATTCTAATCTACAGTAATAGCCTTTTAGAGCATAAACAGCATGTACACCTAGTGCTAAAGGCTATAGAAGAAGCAGGTTTGTAACTTAACATAGATAAATATAAGTTCTACTAATTAAAGGTTATATATTTAGAATATGTAATCTCTATAGATAGCATCTAAATAGACCCTATTAAGGTTTAGACTA